CAAGGGAACTTCTTCAAGCAAAATTTATTATGATGTGTCCAAACAGCGAACAAGGCACGACTCGACTTATGAGCATGCAAGCAGCTATATATTGGTGCCGCCTGCCGTATATATGTATGTCGCGTCCAACTATTTCTGTACACATGAGAGGAAATTAATAGAGTACTATATAGCCTCGGAGATGTTTCATGTTCGTTCCACTTGAGTTAGACACCTAGACTGCCGCAAACAAGGACGCCAAATGCATGCATGTCACATGATACAATCACAAAGCACACTTCAAAACCTGAAAAATTGGTTGGATTATTCCTCAATTTCCGTCAGTCAACTGTTTTATTTAAAAATGTTAAATCGTTCACCTTTCTTGATGCTTTAGAATTACGTTACGAGAGAAATTCAAGGAGTAGCTTTAATAATTTATAATGGGATTCGTCTCGACGGATTATAAAGAAACATATACAAAAATTTCCCTATATATTTGCGATATATATATACATTTGTCTTTCCTTCGTATATACCTGTTAATATTAACACCCCTCATGGTTTTTAAAGCTAATTCTGGTCCTGACAGACAAAAAATATAATAAAATCAGTACTTCGTGGTTCTGTAACTCCTTTCGATTTCATACGTCTCATTACCATTTAAAATTGTGCGATCGACGTAAGGGACGTTGGGTTCTTTATAGTTTATACCTTTTTTAAACGCGCGTACAGAAACTTAAGTAATTTTCAAGTTCACTCCACGAGTATGGCACCGATGTTTTTACGGCGCGTGGCTGAAATAATGTCGTGAAAAATTATTTCTCGTAAAAATCAACCACTTTCCTATAGCATTATATATGTATCATTGCAGTAATATTTACCACGATTTCTTTCGGCGTTCCTAGACTTTGACCTGCCATTGTCACATCCAGTTGCCATTTTGGAAGAAATAAAGCTTACTGCCACTTGTAACACTTGCCTTATGCTATCGTAGTCAAGACTGAAATGAAAACCGTTAAAGACATGCAGAAATATAAATTAAACGATGTCAATTTAATTATACTTGCGGCTAGGGCACCTGCTTACTTCGAAATCTCGAAGTAAATATTAGCAATTTTTAATATAAAATATCTTGCTGATAAAATATCCTGCTGAAATTGCTCAACATATTATCAACAATAGTAGTATTACTTAGTTATCAGGTTTCACTTTTCGAAAAAGTATATATTAATTATTTGTCGCAATGCAGTGTATCCAAATTCCTACTCAAACACACTTCGAAGATTTACACTCGTCACCTGATACAATAAGGTACCACTTCTGAATCTCGGATTATTTTTATTCAATTTTTAACATTTCTTGATGCCTTGCAATTGATTTATTAGTGAAATGCAAGAAGTAAAAAGAATGGGTAAAATTCAAACCCTTTTTTGCCTGTGAATATTAAATTATGGCATTCCCCATATCGTAAACCTCGTATTGCGTATCATAACTTCGTAATCATCTGGGGCCGGTTGTTCGAAAGGCGTTTAGCTTAAACGGTAGATAAGTTCAAAATGGAAAAGAAAACATATATTTATTGAACAACTGAGCTGAAATATTTCGATGTAATAGCTTAATTGCATGTCAATGGGAGTGCATATTAATGCATAAGATGCAGATTTGGTCATTCACAAGATGTATGAGACTAATTTTAAACTTTGGCTTATCCACCGTTTAAGCTAAACGCCTTTCGAACAACCGGCCCCTGAAACTCATCTTGATTTCATTCGTCTGATTACGCTGTTTAAATGTTGGCTTATTGATTTCTCTACCATTGAAGCTGACTAATTGTGCGATCGATCTAAGGTGCGGTGGTTCTTTATACCTATACCGTACTTAAAGGCGCATACGGAAACTTGCTATAGATAATTTAATTACAAGTTCAGGACACCGGTATGGCATTTTGAAAAGATTACTGTATGTCATTTTCGAAGAATAAATTCCTATGAACTTATTAAAGTGTATGTAGAGCATAAACAGAACAAGACGCCTGCTCAAGGCGTTACTCCGCCTGCAGGTGAGGAAACACTACAGGTGACAAAATGAGGTGCTTTTTGTACTGTTGCCTGTCAAGCTGTTGTCTGTCATACTTTGGGGATTTTTTGTTATACATTTTGTATTCATTAATATGATATTATTCATTAATGCATCTTTATTCATTGATGTAACTTTATTCAATGATATAACTTCATTCAGTTGCTTAACTTTGTTTACTGATGTAACTTCATTAATTAATATAACTTTATTCATTGTAACTTCATTGTTGGCATTCAAAGGTAAGTTGGCATTTAAAGTTCAAATGTGACTTGGTATTCTAATGTGACTTGGTATTCAAATGTGCATTCATGGAATTCACACTCAGGGACATTAATTTTTTTTTGCAACTTCCTGCAAATGAGCACCAAAACCTGTAAATTAGAACAAAAATAAAGTTTTATAAGTTTGGCAAATCAATCCTGTAATAGGAACAGTTTTAATACCCCCTTTTAACCCTGTTATCGCTCGCTACTCTGGTTTATATAAATGATCACAAAGCCTGGTCAAATTGTAATCAGGACCTAATGTTTCGACAGTCCAGTCTACTGTCTTCATCAGGGGTGATCTAAAGTTTCTTAGATACCCAAGGGATGATGTCACCTGCCAAAGACTGGATTGTCAAAATGTTGGGTCCTGATTACAATTCGACCAGGCTTTGTAATTATTTATACATTTAAAATTAATAGGCTCTAGTAAATAGAAATATCGAATTCTTAAGCATGCAGGGTCGCTAAACTTGTAGTATGTATAATTTCTGAGAGCAAACAGTACTTTGTATATACCTAGTTTGTAATAAAAACACTACGTCAACGTGAATCACTAAATCAACTATAAAACAGAAAATCTTGGGTTTACTAATATGCAATTACCGCCACAGCATATGAGTACAATCTAAATCTTAACAACTTACCTTTGTAGTTGTTGAACATGGTTCTGAAAGCTCTTTCAATTCGACATTCATATTTTTCAATTTTTCACAAGGGAAGAACGTCGATTCAAACACGAGCACAAGGACACGAAGAAAAATAAACATTGCACAAATCACCCCAAACCTCCCTAAATGCCAGCTGATGTGCATAATTCATCCGTGTAACCCAGGGCTTCTCGGTCAAAATGTTTTGGGTTACCTGTAGAAATGCCAACTTCTGTCGCCCAAAACTACGACTACGACGAAAAGGAAAAAAGACCATGGCATTTTAAGACTCCGCTGCGCATACGCAGGCGGAGTAATAAAAACCGCGCAGGTAATTTCCTGTCGTACATAGCGAACTTTGGTTTGGAGAAATGAATTATCAACTATATGTTAAAATGTTGTGAATTGTAAGATACAGTTTTCTATTACCAGTTAATCGACTCCAAATTCGTACTATTCGATCTACTTTTGCTTTGGCACTGGACAGTTCGTCAAAAATGTTTCATTTTAAATCTCAGCTAGCGCTATTTTATCTTTAGGTATATACGGTGCATGCCGGGTCGGCTGCATCAGTTATAAGAGAGCTCTAAGACGCGGTTATCTCGACGTCGCTATAGTCATGCAACAAATTAATTATGCTGCCAGAACTCTAAAATAATCATACAAACGTTTTGATTGTGTTAAGAATTAAACCTATAATTTTTAGCTGATATTGCAGTAACCATATAAGGTGTCGTCCAGAAGCCGTGAAATTGCCCGTTTGAAAGCGTCATGAGAATGACAACGCTGTTATGGGACCACAAGTTATGCATAGCTACTCGCTTGTCTCGTGTGTGGTGTTTCTTTGTTTTGCAAGCGCGTCGTCGAGCTGGCCGCGTCGTGAATCTTAAGTCTGGTTTCCACTAGGCGGAGTTTTGCGCGCGGAACGGAATTTTTCTTTGTTTTCCTCACATTAGTTCTGCATGAAAGCGAGGACACAATGAAAAATTCTGCTTTGCGCGCACAATTCCGCCTAGTGGAAAACAGGCCTTAGGGCGATTCTCCATTACCTCCGCTCCGCCCGCGCGGGCGAAGCGCGCTTTGTTTTTCAGACCCGTCACGGTCGCATGGACAGATTTTCAAAAGCCGCTTCGCCCGCGCGGGTGAAGCGGACGTTAATGGAGAATCGGCTTTAAACTCCCTATAATTTGCATGATACGACGAAGCGCTTGGCTTAAAAAGTGTAATTAACAGATTACTGATTGCACATGCAGCCAGAGTATGTAAAATATGTAAGAAAAACACCATTTACCTGTTTCTCCATCTCTGTCTTTTCCTCGCACATGGATATAATGTCTTTCACAACTCTCAGTGTATAGATTAGCTTTCAGTAAAACTTGTTCGAATGTACAAATTAACCGGTTTCACATGTTATTCAAAATTAACATTAATAAACAGCATTATGCGCCATATTTATTGTCCTTTTGCGGGCTACATGCCAAGTTTGGGTCCTCATGATGTCGGCATATTACAACCGTTCTTCTGTCTAAAAACCTTGTTCGTCAGAAAACAAGATCACCTCGATTTCTAGTCAAAAAATGCTCCATTGTCTTGCATTTTAAACTAGTTCCAAATGCCTTTAAACTTAAAGATACACAATTTCCTCGTAGCCAGAGGCCAGCCTGTCCTGTTATCAGTCTGTTATGCTAATATTTTAGCACTCATTCGCTGTGAAAACAATCAATTTCTGAAGAAATGAATAATTATTATAATCTGAAATCGCCATTCGCATTATGATTACCGCAGTGCCAATCAAGGCTGGCTACGCTACAGCCCGAAACAAGCAAAAAATTTTAACATTTTATTTCTGGTTATGCAATGTGAAATCTATAAGTAATATATTCCGGCAAAATTGCTGGCTTTTCATAAACCAAATTTGCAGAAATTTGAGTTCGGTAATGCTGTTTTTTATAATCTAGTCATCAGTTAGGATAGAAGGTTGTAAAATCAAAATACTAAATTCATCGATATCTACGATTTTTTCCCTCTTTGAGGTGCATATAATTGTATTATATACATTTGAACAAAAGTTACAAACCTTCACTTACAATTACATAACAATGCATATATACAAGGAGTTTTAAAAAGTACACCCCTTTTAAAATGAGGCTTTTGATAGAATTTGAATGCCCAATTACTATATATACTAGCATGTTTCTCTTTGATCTCGAAAGAGGTACCTTTTTAGACACCGCGTGTAAAAGATGAGTGCTTATTTATAAAATAGTGAGTCCCGCCATAAATGTGTTGATGTCATATGATCTAACTATTGCGAGACTATAGGGGTTTGCCACGCAAAACTATTAAAAGGTGGTCAACCATAGATGACGTTTCAAGGTAAATATTTTCTAAACGTTTTCGGCTAAAAACTGGCCTTTAAAGTTTAGAGTTAAATCTACTTTTGAAGGAAATTCAATCTAAAAACTACATGAATATACTACATTAATATAGATAGGCCTACGCGTATTTTAAAAAATCACCCATAAAAATATCCCTCATACCCTATATATATGATTATATTTTTACATTATATATAATGTATGATTTAAACCTGTTTCTTAAAAAGATTACTTGGTAACAGCAGAAATGTTGGGCGTTATTCTGCATCCATTTTTAAACAACCTTTACTGTCGTAATGCTCCAACAACGCTCGCCACAAACTGCAAACACCAATCAAGTTGGAATTGCCTACAATAAAAAGGACAGGTTGTGAAAACAAAACGGGTGATCGACCACCAAATAAGAATATTAATAATTTAGTCGACCTGTAAAAGTTAAACGCGATGACATGAATATTATTTAATTTTTTAAACAATATTGTAATGGTGCTCTTAATTATACCAATTACCAACCGCGTGCAACCTGAAAAATTAGCTTAACTGCGGTGAAAGTTCCCCTCCGTGGTAAGTAAGAGTAGCACCATCACAATTTAATATTAGCATTAATTCACTCTTAGATGACAATTCGTTAATTGGACCATATTGAAGATCGAAAACAAGTTGTTGGAAAGAAATTTAACTCTGTTTCGTGTTTTCCACACCCAGCTATGGAATTATAGAAACTGAATGAACAAGGAATTCTATCATAAAAGAAATTGAACTTACCAATGATACAAAGGCCTCGTTTGGCCCTGGTCAGAGCAACGTTGATTTGATGCTCGTCAGTCAAAAATCCGAGATGTTCTTTCAGCCATGATCGCGATGGGTTTCTTTCAATTTCTCTTTCAGGAAGAGATCGTACCAATGACAAAATGACGTAATCTCTTTCACTTCCTTTTCATGAGAAAAAACATATATATTGACTACAAGGTTCATGTACTCCATATAGATGATGGTTTTAAAAAAACAAAGGGGCGAAAATTATAGGAGTATTTTGATGACCAAACAGGGAACGTGAAAATAAATGCCACTCAGGTCCTCTGAGATGGTTTGACCTAAAGATATGGAATGATAATTATGTCGCAACTTTTTGAAACATACACTCTCTTTTATATTTATATAGACGTATAGCAAAGCAAAACATGGCTAAATATTCTGAAAATATAACAGTTTAAAATAGAAACGAAGATCTTGTATCGATTATGCACTGTAAACTATAACCGAACAAAAGCTGGATGAAAAATACGTATACATAAAGATACTTGGTGACTAACGACACGTTAAATATTTGTATGCAACGACATCACAGAAACTAGCGCACACTTATTATATAACATACACTGACCTTGAGCAGCAACCACAGAACTTACGGAGATTTCATTCAAACCATGTAGTCTCAATTTCTCGGATATTTGAAAGCATTGAGCTCGATATGGAGACAGAATGACGATATTTTTACATTCAATTCCCTCTCCAACAAGACGACGCGCCAGATAAACCTAGAGCAGTCAGCATATTGGTTACAAGATGCATTTCTGAGCGTAGTAAAGTGGGATAATTCATGTATAGTGGGTAGTAAAGTGGGATAATTCATGTCCCATTCCGTGAAGATTGATTTATTTAAATCTAAAAGGAATAAGCTAAAACCGCATCATGTAGTCTAAAAGGGCTGACTTCATCATTATATAAAACAGAGTTTTGTTTCACCGCCTTTTTACTTACAGCTTTGTCAACCTCTTTCTGATTCTTCTGAGATCTTTCATTTCCTTGTTCTGTCGGGACAACAAGAAACTCCTCCACTCCTTCGACATGATGGAAAACAAACGGAAAGCGATCACCGTTCGGCCATGAGACATTATCAGGCTTTCGAAGTTTAACTTCAGGCGCTGTCTTTAGTTTTTCATCGTAAAAGCGATGTGATGGAAACTCGCATAGTTTTTCGTGCTAAAATATTCGGAATTGATGAATTTGTTTCCAAAATCTAAGATAAATGCTTCGCAATGCCACAAGATTTTTATCAAAGAGCTTGTTTAATGCTAATTTTCAATTCTGTTTTCTTGTAAGTTTGTAGAGTCAAGGATAATCCAATTTCAGTTAAATTCCCAACAAGCTGCATGGATAGAATTTGTTGCGAGCGACCCTGGTAATTAGCTGTTCAATCATTACTCACCATTCTGTACTGGATCTCAAGCATATGAGCGCGTTCTGAATAGCGTTCAAACATTGAAATCCCTAGTCCCAGGTCTTTCGCCTTCTCGCACTTAATGATAGGCTGCAGTTGCTTGTGGTCGCCAATGAGAACGACTTGCTTCGCGTTCGAACCCAACATAGCACAGAGGGTCTCGGCCTCAATACACATGCCGCATTCATCGACAATACATTGACAGACAAAACCAGGTATCTTGATACGCGGGCTATACGCAGTGGTACAAGTGGCTAAGATCACGTCGACTCCTGTCTCAGTAATTGCCCATTCCTCAGCCTCACTTTTCACCTGGAAGAGTAAAATACGTTTATAGAGATGTCAGGAATTGATCAATTTAGTCAAAAGTAGTACTGTAGTGGTATTGTAAAATTATAGGGTGCACCAACTGCTACGATATACTCCTCACAATAAGTTTAGCCAAGGTTAGCAGCAGAGGGGGCGACAGCTGCTTGATTTGATTAGGTTTTTTAATATTTTGTTACTTGTTTAGACTCAAACAAAATAACGTCATTTATATTGTGTAACGTCAATCCCGGTCAAAGCCAATGCAGTTTTTTAGGAACTATTTTTGAGGGTTTTCGTGTTGTGTTGTGTGAAATAACAATAATTTTCAATTATACGTTAAAAATTACCTCGGTGAATTTATCAATCGTATAACGAGAGGCGCTTTTGCCACTGTCCGTGAGCAATTTAAATGCTTTATCATATTTCTCTAATTTTTTCCAAAAAGGACTTGACTCTTTGCGTATAACGTGATGTAGCGATACGTCTCTGAGATCTTTATCAGCCTTCAACTCCACAGCGACACGTCTTGTTCGAAACAGAGTGATCTTGTCCGGCACTGGAAATTCTTTTCGTTCAATTTCTTGACCGTAGATTCTCAAGATTTTTATTCCTGGGATCTTTAGGAGAAGACCTAAACCGAAATAATTTATGAGTAATACGAGTAAAGGGGTTTTCTTGAAAGCAAAAAAGTACTGAGCACATTTTGCATAGATATAATTGGCTATCAGTGATATAGGGATGTTTCAAATCTAACGCCGATTTTAAACAGATATTAGGAGTATATATAAAGACAAAGGATTTTATCTTTTAAGCGAGGAGACTATGGTCAGATTTGCCGGCATTTGAGGAGGAAGACTTAGGCCCGTATTCAAAAAGCTCACTCACACTCACACTCATTGAGTGTGAGATATAAATTTTGTTTATGCTGATCAATGAGAAAGTTTTCTCTCAATAGATGAAAAGATATAAGGTAAATCAGCCCCTGTTCGGCTGAAAATACCGCCATTGAAACGTCATTAGAAGATTAAGATCTCCCACTCAATGAGTTTGAGTGTGAGTGAGCTTTTTGAATACAGGCGTTAATTTCGACGTTCAAATTTGTTCAATGAGTTTAATACGTACGAGCGACGACATCGACGGACTTGTTGGAAGGCCCACAGTAAAATACTAAAGAACCATTGTTCTTTTTTCTATCCAGCTTTACAGAAGGTAATCTATTCTTGTTCATTTGAGCAAACCAATATGCAATATGGACCCCAGTGACTGTTTTCCCAGTTCCTAGAGACATTAATCATTAATCGGGTTAATCGTTAGGATAATACAGTCTTCGTTCAAATTTTCGAGGATCGGGATCTTTTTGTGAGTTTAAAGAGGTCAGACCAAATATTAGTAGCCCAACTTCTAATCCCAGGCACACGTAAACCCAATAAATTTCAGGATTTTATGATTTTGCCTAACTTGATTGATCCCAAGTCCATCATTAACTGAATACGATTATAGAAATATATCGTCTTATTTTAAAAGTGTATTACCTGGTGGTCCCTGAATGAGGGTGAACGGTTTGGTTAAGGCTTTCTCAACTGCATTCCTTTGGTATTTATTCAACGGATGAAAATTTGTTAAACTGTGATGCTCACTGCATAATGACAAGTCATTGCTTGGTAGCTCGTTTGCTGTGTGAAAAGATACAGACGAGATTATTATACTCACTTGAACATGAAATGAGAATACATGAAACAATAACTCACCAACATCAAGGTCTTGTATTGCCTCTCCAATACAAATATTCTGAATCAGTTTGGACGCCAAAACTGAGTCATGGAGAGCTCCCAGGCGACGTCTAAAGAAAGATTTTTATGCGTATATTGCTGCTAATATAAAAGCTCAGCTGGAGTACAAGCTGCCTTGGTTATTAGAGTTGAAAACCAAACACTGAATAAAGTTCTGCCAAGCAGTAAAGTGCCTGGACTATTGAGCCCAGTGTTGAAAGTGAACACAGACTAGCCTAGTTAATATGATAATATCAACTTGCAAGAACAGTCAATACTCCGATGTGTCCAAATGGCGTAGAGTAAAGTGTATAATGAAAAAATGAATAAATATTGCAAAGAAGTGGCCAACAAACTTGTATACATCAGGAATACAGTCAGTAATTCAGGAAGATATATTAGAGTTAGCTGATCAGACTGCAGTACTGCAATGATCAACTATATTTGGAATAGTTGCGGGTGAAATGATAATCGATAATAAAGACGATGCTATGAAGAATCCCAAGCCATGCTAACCTGTCAGGAATACCTAGGGATATAAACTCGACTGTGACATAAAATCTTTTGGCAATCAGTGAATCTGGAATTGGCGTTGAACTGTCAATCAACCGAGCTAGTATAGGACGATAAAAGTCTTTCTCTTGGGAATATCTTTCGTTAACCGGTTTAACTTTTCTTGTAGGTGAAGGTAAGTTTTCTGGTTGGGAATTATGGATTGATTCCGTTTCATCTGCAAGGAAATCTTTGGCACTTTGCATCTCTGTCATCATTTCAAGTAATAATTTTGCGTCTTCTTTCTTTCTTAATTCTTCTGAAATTTGAAAATGTCCGACCCAGAACCCGGCATCCTTTTCCGATCTATTTGCAGGATCTTTTGCACGGACGCACAGAAGGTTTAAATCCAGCGGATCGAGGAAGTGAACTTTGCAGTAGCGATCCGACAAATCAAATTCCATGGTCACCAAACCTAAAAAAGGAAGGAATGGTCTGGAAAGGATATCATGCTCACAATTCCACCTTCAGTTCATGGCTGAATTCCATAAAGCGTTTTCCATACGTATTTTCACGCACGTATTAAAAATTAAAGCTATAATTAACAGTTATTACCACAGTTAAGGTAATAGAAAAGGCTGAAAAGCGCTCTAATATAATTCATTTTTAATGGCTACCATTCTGTTCATACCTTTGGAATCACGCTCAAAATTCACACGAAGATTTGAGAAGGTGATGACGTCATCTTCGTGAACAGCTGACGTAGCGATTTCCATCATGAGCACGGGTTTCCAGACCTTCACATATTCCGCGATGTCGGAGACCTTGGTTTTGGTCGGTCGTCTGTGCGATGTCTTTGCAAAGCAGGTAGTCGGAAAGCTTCGGTGTTCAATGCATGCGTACATCTGATTGGTCAGTTTGAAGAGTTGTACGCTAGGTGAAATGACCCCTCGGGACATTTGGGGACTAACCTGAACCTTGACTCGACTGTAAGTCTTGAAAGATCTGTTCAATTCATAAAACTCGTACGTTTCGCTTTCAGACGGTTCCGGTTTTCCAGCATTTGGATGTTGATATGGAGCATTACGAACAAGTGGGTCAGTTTCTTTCTTCACTCTTTCAAGTAGAGTCATTTTTTCATCACTTTCATTTCTGTTTATTGAAAAAGAAAATATTGTTCTTGTTCCGCTAAATAGAGCTTTATTCAATACTCATATAAATCTACCTAAACAATCAACAATGGCGTAGCCAGCCTGACGATTTTATCCCGCTATGTAAATTTCGTTATTCATTTCTTTAGAAATTCATTGTTTTCAAAGTCAATAAGCACCAAAATATTAGCATAGCGAGACAAATCGTCGGGCTGGCTACGCTACTGTACCTAAATCTACATAAATTATTACCTCGTCCACATCCTCAACATTTTTTGAAACCATATCCCGGCATTACACGTCAACTAACCTTTGTTGTTTAACCTCGTTATCTAGTTCCTTCAGGCGAGATTTGAGCTCGCCTTCATTTTGATTTGTGACCGCATCCAAAACTTCTCTCCAGGCTTTGCCATCCACAGTGTAGTCAAAGTCATCATTTTTTTCTGTTAAATCTGATGCACCTATGGGAGAATTTTGGACAAAACACCACTATGAACAAAACAACATGAAACAGCAAATTGTAATGGTCGGCAGAGAAATTTAAAATTCTTATTATTCTATACCATAGCATGTCATACCGTAACCTAACGTAGCAAAACACACCATACCTACCATAACATGTATCAGACTACACTTCACCATACCATACTATACTATACTATACTATACTATACTATACTATACCATACTATAACATACTATACCATACTATACCATAATATACCATACTATACAATACTATACCATACTATACCATACTATACCATGCTATACCATACTATACCATACTATACCATACTATACCATACTATACAATACTATACCATACTATACCATACTATACCATACTATACCATACTATACAATACTATACCATACTATACCATACTATACCATACTATACCATACTATACCATACTATACATACTATACCATACTATACCATACTATACCATACTATACAATACTATACAATACTATACCATACTATACCATACTATACCCTACTATACCATACTATACCATGCTATACCATACTATACCATACTATACCATACTATACCATACTATACAATACTATACAATACTATACCATACTATACCATACTATACCCTACTATACCATACTATACCATGCTATACCATACTATACCATACTATACCATACTATACCATACTATACCATACTATACCATACTATACCATACTATACCATACTAAACCATACTATACCATACCATACAACACCATACCACACCATGCATGCACACATCAGTGTATCACACCACGCTGTGTACCACATCATTTCATTATCCAACGTAGTATACCACACCATACGTACCATACTATGCAACATCACACAATGTAAATACATCATACTTTATCACACCACGCTGTGTGCCAAATCATACCATACTACTCCACCCAACGCGATATATCTCACCATACCACAACATAACATATCAACCTGGGCACACCATTTCATATAACACCACAACAAATAGATAGAACCTCAAACTCATTGATATTGAACAATTGATTTAACATCGACCAATTTAACTGACACTCACCCTCAGATTGCTGTATATCTCCAACCTTTTGGGATTTCTCATCGTCGGATGAATCCGGCTTGGGTTGTGCTAGGCCTCCCTTGTCCAAGCGCAGAAGCCGAAATATCCAATGCAACCTAATGCCATCGCCTGCTGGTTGTGGGTCTTTATCTGGTCCGAGTCGTGCGATGCGAACTGACTTGCCACCCATGAGATCCATTTCTCCAGGACCAAAGAACAACTTCAAGTTATCGGGTTGTATTTCGTCGATATACGCGGACACAAACTTCAAAGAACTTTGCATTTTAACGGCCAGCTTAAGTCTCTTCGCCCCTTTGTCAAAGAGCCTGGAATTTCGGGCAAAAAACGTGCTGCGGGCGCAAATTGTTGCAACGTCCTCAGGATCCATAACGTTTTGTTTATTCTCTAGAGCAGCCACTACCAAACGATGGACGATGATGTCGATATATCGGCGAATTGGTGAAGTGAAGTGACAGTAAGCATCGAGACAAAGACTTGAGTGTCCGTGCAAGATAATTCTTAGGTCCTCGCTGATCGGAACATCAGAAGACAATTGGAAATCTTCGTTGGCGGAAGACGCTGGTGCATCCACATTTTCAGAGCCTGTTTCGTGGCCTGTACTCTCCTCCGTGGCTGTTTCTCTGTCTTCAGCTGCAAAGCTAGCTTGTCCTGGTGGTACGTTTGAGGAAACATCAGGAGGTGTACCAGACACACCGTATGTTGCATTTGCCTCAACGTTCCCAGAGCTAGCTCCGTGTTCTGTACCATCTTCCGGACGTTCGTTGCAATCTTCCGACCAATTCCGCAGTAGATTTGATGAATCGTCACGGACAACCCTCGCCATGCTTGTGGGCGCAACTTTTTGATCCTGGACCCAAGGGTAAGGAATATTCCCGAAATTATCTCCTGAGCAAATATAACTTCCACGCTGCTGTATTTGTTGTTGGTGCATGCTGGCGAGCGATAGCTGGGGAAACAGATCCAGATCACAAACAATTTTAACTAAATCCTGGAGATTCGAACCCTTTTGTACCTCGCTCATTATTGCTTTCCAAGTTTGGAACGGGACCATAAGGTCAGCATTTTCTTCCTGAGCGACATTGCTGGAATCTCCAAGCCATCCGAGGCCAAGAGAAAAGCTCAGGAATCTCTGAAAACGTTGTCTCCATTCTACCACACGCCGTGTCTTTGGTGGTGGTTGCACCCGGAGAGGTGTGCATTCCGGAAATTTCTTTAGCAGATATTTCGCGACCAAATGGTTGGCCAACACCATTACTTCTTCGATCATTCGATGAGCTTCTCTTTCATTTTCACCACCGGAATCATCATCATCGTCGCTTTTTCGGTGGTACATTGATCTCTCTAAGCCCAGGCGCAATTTGCGACGTTTTTCAGCAAAACGGTGGATTATACCAATGGCTTCATCGACTTGGATTTCTTCTTCCTTAAAACAACAGAAGCAGCGTAATGAAAGCTTTAACTTTAACTTTGTTTGATTAGACAACCACTGAGCAACGTTGCAGTGTCTTCAAATAACCTGAGGACTTTCGTTAGTAGATTATACTGCGGTCAAAACGTCAAAAAGTTTTTATGTCTATTTTAGACAGTCGCCTAGCCTAACACATTGAGGACAAAAGCACTAGAATTTAGAATGATATCGTTAAATTAGTCATTACCTGAGTGTTAGCAACGACTTCTGTTTGGCTTGAATCATCAATGATTTGTTGTGCTTCAAGATAACTCAACCTAGAACTGGAGCAGATCACGCTTCGCTCCATTTTCGCGTCACCGACTACCTTTCCATCAAGCGTAACTTCGACTCTAACCGTGAGAGCAAGACGATCTTTTCCCTCCAGAAGACTACAGCAGCCTTCGGAGAGTTGTCGAGGAAGCATCGGAACGTTTTCGTCAGGATCCGGAGGATAGTAGCTCGTGCCACGTAACTTCGCCTCTTCGTCTAGATCTGAATTCGGCAGGACGAAATACGAAACATCAGCGATATGAATGCGAAGCTCGTAGTTGCCGTTGCCAAGCGACCGTAGGCTGATGGCGTCATCAAGATCCAAGGAATTCTGTGGATCAATGGTAAAAACGTTCTCGCGGTACTCGGGACGGCCTCGCTCGCTTATTGGTATTTGCCAGTTTTCATTAAAATCTCTTCGAACAGTTTTGCTCAACTTCTTGCCAAACTTTTTCCTGATATTGTGTTCTTGGTACAGGATTTCCATTCCCGTCTCAAGATCTCTGCCATGAGGAATATGCTGAATAGCGATTCCAAGAGGAAAAGGAAACTCCGTACGCCATTTTAATATTTTCACAATGAACACGCGTTCACCAGCTAAGGCCTCTCCATAATGCTTTGTGCTCAATATTGATGCCTCGCTAACGTCACCATCTTGTATCTTGTAGATGGGAATTATGCTCTTTTCCGTATCTGTAAAGTTCATGAGCTTTGGAACGTTTTTGTTGATGGGCACCATCACACAGGGATTCGCCCGATCGATCGTGCAAACAAATTGACGTTCTCCGGGCTCGATAATTCTTCTCCACAAACCTGCGAACAGAAATATTAAACTGGTCAACATGTTGCGTGATTCTCAGGACGTCTATGACATGCACATCGGCCTAGATAACCTCTCCCCCTAGGGGACGGGCTGAGGTCGATTAAAGTTTGTTTAACCAAGAATAGACTCGAGAACGTGAATATCACAGACTCTTTGGGCTTTAAGATGGCCCCCCAGGGTTTTGAGAATTTTTTAAGTGCAGGTTTGATGATGCAGAATTATGCACCAACATTGTAAACTATAGATTAAAATTAGCTTTAACGTATTGAGTACCATGTTCGAAATAAGAAAATATTGATTGGCCAATCATAGAAGCTGTTGCCATGGGAACAATGACGTTTTAATATGGCCACCAATTATCATTAAATTACGATTATTTCACAAACCCTTCGGTGAAATGTCTTCTTTTTCCACTGAACATTTTTCCAGATGGTTAGTAATTGACAGGACAATTTTAAGAAAAAGTTATCGATACAAAAAAATTTAAAGCGGGAAAATATGGTTTTACGCGATTAAAAAAAATCCTATCGATAACTTTCTTTTAAAATTGTCCAGTCGTTTACTAAATGACCTGCAAAGCATTCGGTGAAAAATAAAAAAAAATCACCGAAGGATTCACGAAATAATTGCAATTAAATTATAATTAGCGGCCATGTTGAAACCTCATTGTTTCCATAGCAACGGCCTTCATAGTTAATCCGTCAACAGTTTCTCATCTCTAACGTACTCCACAATATAATCAAAAGTATTATTGATCTTTAATCTGCAATATTGGCACTTAATTCGCCACAACAAACCTACTATCTAGAATTTTTACAAAACTCTAGGGAGCCACCTTAAGCCCGTTCAGGCTAGGACACCGGCACATTCTTCATATTAAATCCAACAGGAAAAGGAAGGTGGGTGGTTCCTGAGTTCCATTTTCTCTCGTAAGAAGGACCTACTTTCAAAACTTTAAGTTCTTGACATTTTAAGAAAGTCTACCTAATCACATGGACCTTAGATAAAGCCGTTACCCTTACCCTTTATGTATCCGAATGTTACACATTCTGCTTTTTGCCCGTCCTCACTTTGCACCCAGGCGCTCGGTTGAACCTCCAGCATGACGACATCGTCTTCGTAAACCCCTCGGATGCGGCCGGGGATTTGAATGTCAGGACTGTCTGGCGTTGGCAGATTACCGTAGTAATGCTGGGAACCAACGCCGCTGTTGATACGAAAGGTGCACATTGTAAACAGCAATGGGTTCCTTTGGACTAGGTTTGCCAGTTCTTCTCTTGGAAACGCATCTAAAACAAGAGAATGTACAAAAAGGCAGTTGTCAAGATATTGCTGAAATATTGCCCTACATTATAATGAGTCTCGAGGTAAGGTTCGTTTCGTGGTACAGTTTTCCAACGTGTCTCAATTCCATTTGGCTTGGATTTTTCTACACAAGGGCAGCTAAGGTGTTGAATGCTGATCCCTCTATGTACAATCCCAGGTCCTATTATGCACTTGTTGGATTCGTTTCAAACAACGTACCTATGTCATGAGGAGACCAGGACTTCTCGTCACCACTCTGCTTGGATGATTTTCCGCCGGTGAGACGAAAATACTTTTCGCTTCCTGTCACATGAAAGCCCAGTTCCATTCTACCGTCCTTCCAACAAGCGGAAAATGTTCGTCCAGTGCTTGTATTAGGCCAGTGTGGGGCTGGGGGCTTCGGAACATTATCGGTAAGCAGCGGGAATTCTTCGCTTGCCGCATTTCGCTGATCTTCATCTTTCTTCCTTGTCCTTTGACATGCTTTGACAAGTTCTCTAATGATTTTATCGAAGACGTCTTCGTCTCGATGAAAGAACTCTTCGGTTGTTGCTTGGTTTATATTCGAATCATCCTCGCTCTTGTTTTCCGCCTCGCCAACAACTGGAGATGGTAATATCAGGTTTAGTTTTCATGAAATAAACTGATCTAATCGGAGCGAAAATAGTGGTGGAACCTTACCAGCATCATCATCATCGTAGGTGCTCTCGTTATCCACTGCCAAATTACCTCCTCTATCATCTTGGTTCCCATCAATCCCATCATGTCTTTCAATATCAGGGCGAGAACCAAGGAGGAAGCTCTGGTTAGGAAATGTACTTGTAGTGGAGTCATTCAAAGAGGAAGAGTTTATGGCTCCAGCTACAGAAGGTGTTCTTTCACTTGAAATACTTTGCTCTTCGCCTAAAATTTTTAGAGAAAATGTATTCATGGATGTTTCTACTTTGGCGCGAAGAGCTGTTTTCCTCCAGGCTAAACTTTCCTCAAGGAATCATCAAATAAATCTATTCTGAGACAAATGATAGTAATACTACTTTCATTAAACGACGCTTGAGCTGAATCGAATATCATACAGCAGATTCATGATGGTTGCGCTTCAAGAAAGATGACGTAACAGCTGCAGTTTCTATTAGTCACAGTTACAAAGTGCCAGATGGAAGATTTGTTTAAACGAAAATGAAATGTAAGGATGCCTTAAAAATACTCGTTTCTCCAAACGTAATATATACGCATCACCACGTTATATCTACATGAATCTACCCTGATTATATCTCTAAATATTGCAGTGCATGAATATACACAAATGAATGCCATCATGTCATCACTACAAATACTACATCTACAAACACTCTAAATCGTCATTAACATACCTCTTGAATGTGAACTATTTGAAGTATCAGGCCGTTCACTTGTTGCGCCCGCGCCCGCGCTAGGTTTAAATTCAGGAACACTCGGATCAAGAGGCTGAGAACACAGACAGAAATCCATCACAGCCTTAAGAGTGCAGCCGTGCAGAGCTTTGTTGTCTTCGCAGCGTCTGAGATAATCTTTCCACAAATCTCTGCACGCACCCACACTGCATAGCGACATCGGATCTCCGACGACCGCGAGCAAGGACTGGGCACGAGTCACGGCCGTGTTTAAGAAACGTGAGTCCGAAAGGAATGCAAAATCCAGTTCAGAAGGGTACTCATTTCGTCCTTCGATTACCGAGCAAGTCCACATCGTTCTGACCGTGCTAATAAATAACGCCCTGAATTCCTTACCTAAATGTTAAGACAAGGGATTAAAAACTAAGAAGCAGTCTGTAATAATCTAGAAGTGTCAGGCATCCCTTTTTTCGGGCCGTAAACAGGCGCCTTCGACCTCAGAGTTTAGTGTTAGTCTTTCAGAAACTTTGGCTTTATGCATAACGGTCGTGACTTCTTTATTTTGCAAGTTTGCAAAATTATAACAGGTTTCCTGGTCTCCTGACATGTATACGTACTTACCAAAAGTCTTATTTACTTTGTTTCATTCAAAAACGATGAAGTAGAATTTGGTTTATGAAATAACATATTTAAAGAGATTACCCTGGACGTTCTCAACAGTTTCAACATCAACATAACCAAGACCTTTTTTTCGCAATGCATCTCGAATTCGTTTCACCTAATAAAAACGTTTCCATTCCGTGTGAGCGTATAATTTTGAAAATATAAGTAATATACGTTTGCATTACAACGATTGCATTACAACAAAGTATACACCATTGAAACGCATCACTTTTTTTATATTGAAACCCAATTAGACAAGCCGCAGAACCAATGTGCATCGTTACCTGATCACGATAAGGCGTGAGTACTCCGATGTTCTTTTTCCAGTTTTTTGGCCAGTGAAAGATAAGATCTTCAACTCTTGCTACTACTTCAGCAACTTCAGCGTCGTTGTAGTACGACAAACCTTCTTCATCTTGTTTATCCACACCTTGGGCAGTGTAGAACGAAAGAACTGGCAACTTTTTGTAGGTAGTTTGGTCGCCTCTGGCAACCAATTCGCCTCCATAAAAGTTATCAGATGGAAACTGGAGAATCTTCTCGTGGCAGCGGTAGTTTTCAGTAAGTAAGACTACATACGGTGTTTCAACGTAAGAGGTGTCTTCATTGCCTTCTTCTGGTGGGTTATTTGAAGACATGTTACATTGCTTGTAATGATTAAACAGTCGTTCAAGAAGAGACACTTTTGGACCAAACTCATCAGCCCACATCCATTTTGAATAAGCTGGTGGGCCCATCTATAAAAAGCATACGCAAGTAGTATTATGATCTAGAGCTACTGCATGGTCGTACGTTTATGATTTAAAATGCAGATTAGAATAATCTGTGAATACGTGAATCAAAAGTTCCAAAGTCTGATGATGGATTGGCTCCGCAAAAACTAACGAGCCAATCAACTTCGTTTAACAGGCGAAGACTTCAAGACCGTCTTGGTTTATTCGAACGGTAACAAAATCAGGAAAGGACTGAACCATTCAATTAATAATAAATAGTATGAAAGATTTGCATTGCTAAATGCATTTATGCTTCATTGATAGTTTCGTATTACCTGCTGATGGTCCCCAGCCAACACAATTTTTGTGTTCTCATCAGCCATGACAAACGGAGTCAAGGACTCGGGTTCCAGGGCCTGCGCGGCCTCGTCAATTAAGATATGCGTGAAACAAAATTTTTTATCCTGATAAAATTTCCACAGCAAACGAGCGGTCGCCAAAGTCGTAATGATGACGTTATTGTCACGAATGTCAATCAGTGTTGGCTCCCGTATTTCATTGGTTTCTTCTAGAAAAAAATCGACTGTATCTGAAAACCTTAGTGACTCTCGAAATTCCATAAAAAAATGAAATCTTAAGAATACTCATTATTCATCAGAATGCTTTGTCCTGGTATTAATTTGCAATGAACATGCTAGTGAAATTCTAGCAAAGTATTTTGAAAAAAGTGTTCTTAATTTCAGTTAATTTAATTGAAGACATGACATATATGGTATCCCGAAATAACGGTATTCTTTACCGACAGTTTTCGAGGGATACTTTAGGTATATACAGCCCCTAAAAAACAGAGCAATCGTTTCTCTATAGAGCAAATAAAAGGCGTCCAGATTACCTTCAATGTTGCAATACTTCCGCAGTTCTTTAGGAATAGTGTTGACATTTCGAAACCAGTTAACCACATGAAGTGGTCGAATGTTTATTAATGGTTTTTCTTGTATTTTCGCATCCAAATGATCCCAGGTGAATGTGCGCTGCGCTGTGAGAATGGGTGCAAATGAGAACTTTATTTGTTTTAGATTGGTTGAGAATGGCCACACAAGCGAGGCTCAAGGTGAATGTTTTCCCAGTGCCAAACGGCCCGATCACGAGAATCGGCGGAGTAGGAGTGGGATCGAGAATCATCGAAATCGCTTCGTGTTGATTTGGGTTTGGTTTTCTGTCCATAAACCAATCATGGATCAATTTCTACGAGAATGAAAAAATATTTTAGGATTGATTACAAAATTTGCGCATATGACTGGCGTACCCCATTTCACAATGCGTCGATGAAGAGAGACAGTTCTTACCTTGCACTTATAGGATGCATTCTTTGCATTTGGAAGTAGGATGTCGGTCTTCTCTCTACACAAGTCAATTGCTTGATGCATTTCACACATTGGACGACGATTGTACTTGAATTTGAGATCGATCTGGACGACTTGATCATATGCAAAATCATAATCTTTGCATAACTCCTCATTCAGTTTTATGATAACCGATTGCGAAGTCTTTGATTTGATGTTACATTCGTACACTCTATTTCTGTGAGATTTTTCCAACTTAAGTCGCAAGATCACAGACATTACTGAGCGATTTATCAGATGGCCAGCAACTTCGTCCATAACAAGATAATCTGGTAAATCGATCACACCAAACATTTCACCGGGTAATGCAAAAACTGTCCCTTCAGCGCAAGCGAATTTGTTTACCACTTGCATAAAGCCATCTTGGATATCATATCTGAACAAACAAGAACAAAGCAACGAATATTATTTTATTTAAACTAAATGAACCATCTGGAGGTGCTGATGATATTGCTAATGTCGATTTTGATAATGATTTTGTTTATTGTTATGTCAACATTAACATTATTATCATCGTCATCATCATAATTTATAACGTCATGTATCGACAGCCACATCAACAATAATTTCTACCTAGCTACATATATATGTAGTACGACCTAAAACCTGGTTTTGCTTATTCCTACGATTGACAAAACATATTATATATTATAAATAGGTGTACATGAATGTGAACAAAAAAAACATTTCCTTACCTGGCAACCTCTGTCCCAATGTGTTTTTCTTCAATCAACAAAATTTGGTGCCAAATATTGCAGTATTTTTCACGTGAGAATGCTGGACACTTTGCAGGATCAGGCAAGACATCTGGAATGCTGTACCGTTCACATAAACCCTCCAAATCCCATCGCATCAGTTCTTTACACGGAACCAATTCCATTTTGTCCACAGACCATTCAGCGATGTGACAATATCTTGTACGTGAAGATTTTTCTTTAGAAGTATCTTTGCTCACGACCGACACAAAGAGTGGACGAACGAGTACGGAGCCCTGACCGAAGTCAAACACTAACTTCTGTTCGAAATCACCAAAAACACCTGACGAAAACTGAATACAGAATTGCACGGCTGACTCATTCTTGGCAGAGTCTTCAATGAAATCCTCTTTCTGAAAGCGAACACATTGCGCGGTTGAAGAATGCTTTGATGTCTCATTACAACGGAGAAGCTTGAATTTGTCTAAGTGGGTCTCCAAAAGAAAGGCGACTTGACTCAGCATTAGTTGAAAATTTCTCTAAAAATGTAAGATATTGTGAATAATCGGCAATATAACTTACGAACTTCGTAAAGTAGTACACGGGGAAGACAAAGTATGTCCTGGACAAAGAAACGTCGCCTAATCACTACATTAAATCCATACACAACCATACTCTGTTAAAATTAGAATAAGCAAAATGGTGAAGCTATCGAAATAACAATTCCTAGCTAAGTTTAGGCGCTTTGAAATTGCGATTCTTCCTGGTAAAGCGGAAACACGGAAGAGGATACTTCTACTTTCCCCGGCGTAATGATGTGTTGAACTGTGTCCTACCTGGATTCGAACATCAAATATCCACGTATGCTCGACTTGCGGACGATCCGTTTTTTCCAATTTTATTTGCCTTGGCGAATTGCACTTAACTGTTACACCAGGAAGATCTTTCTTGAGCTGTTAATGTAATTAGAGCAATTAGATAAATATGGATATCTTTCCATGAGATGATTTCAGATTAACTGGACCAGACTTGATGTCCAAATTTATAATGATTCATTGAAATATAGCGGTTATAAATTTATGGTTCATCGTAGCTTTCACTAACCACATGGTTTTGATCTCCACATTTGATTCTACGCCTGAGTTTTTCGCTAAAGCTTTCTGCTAGAAGATGTTCCTCTTTAAGCTGTGTAAGCTGATTATTTTGTTGTTCGTATAGAGCTTTCCAATAATCACGTTCTCCTTCGCCATGCGCAAACGTGCACTTTTTACCGAAGTAACAGTAACCTTGCACAAATCTAGGAAACAGAATAGGCAGATTTGGAAAAGCATATCCATAACCAACTATCCATAAACACTGTTTCAGAGGCGCAGCTAGGACGGGGTCCAGAGAAGTTGTAAACAGTATCGCTGTATTAAGGTTAAAAACATTTAGTACGCTTCTTGAATAAAACGATAGACTTGATTTCTATTTTGAGGTTAACCACCGTTTAAGCTTAAACGGGCTCGATACAACCGGCCCCAGAAACGACATCGTCTGTCTAGTAAGGACCGAAGACCCTGAAAAGTTATTTTGTTTGATATAGGAAAATAATTACCAAATATATAGTGAAGTGTATTCGCCATGAGCGAATATAGGAAATGGTTTACTTTTAATAATAACAACAGCAATAAAAGAATCACAATTGTCACATAGTATATCTCTTACCTTCGACACACTTTATACCGGCCCATATTAACTCCATCAGGGGGAGGACGAAATTTCTTGATGGGTTTGCGAAGTTTCTCCGTAAGTCTTATCACATTGACTTTGTGCTGAGGATCGGAATAATGATACTCAAGCTCTAACATGGATGAGAATTTTATATCACAGAATCTACATCTTAGTTCTTCTTGCTCCATAACGGACGACACGGATACGGTGTTCGTAGCTGTTTGACTGCTTGGTGTACTTGGTTTTGCTGAGGATGTGCTCGGTTTTTTCTTCTTTCTTCTTCTTTTACCTGAGAAAGGAAATGCACCTATCAAACTCCATTTTCCTGGCGTCGCTGTCTAAATCTTAAGCAGGTTCATTAGACTCGATAAACCGCTAACGTTACCTGAAGTTTTCCTACTAGCGCTGGTAGACACTAAACAACTGGTCTGGTCTATCTCTGCACATGCATCTTTTATCCAAACTGGATACAAGTTAATTCAAATTTTTATCTCAAGTTATGGTATTAAAATATAAATATCCCAAGTTTGCTTCGTGGCAAATACACAGCTAGTGGTGCAAGAAAAACGGCTGAGTTATTATCATACGTTTCGTTAGGCTTTCTCATTCCATTGAGGGCAGGCATCACGGCATTTACAGCAGTGAAGATAAGGTGCACGGTGATCGAATATATCCATTTATATATACCTCTCTTTGTCCTTTCCTTTCTGAGAATTCTTTCTGCTAGAGGTTTTCTTCGCCTCTCTACTGTCGTCCAAATACTGTCATCGCTTTCATCGTCTCCTTTATCTTTTTCTTCAGGTGTTTCCTCACGATTCTGCCCGGAGTCCCCTTCCGTCGGACAAGCGTCTGTTTCAGTATGGGGCAGTAAAGATGATGGGAATAAAGCATCCGAATCTTGGCTTAATTGGTAGGGAGCATCTTGAGAAAGGAAGTTTGAAAACTCCGAATCAAAGTTGTCAAGCATGTCTTCGGAGAAATCATCTGTGCTCAGAACGTCGAAGGTATTTGAAAAGGATTGTAGAGAACGGCGGGAACTCACAGAATCAGCTCTAGAACGACGGCCGGGACTAGATTCGTAACCGTTTAAGGTCAAGCAACTTCGTGACTTCTCTAGGGACTGGAGCAAAAAAAACTGCCCTCTTTGGGATTTCATCTTTTTAGAAGGAGTTGTTGAACGTGGCCTTGGAATTGCCAGTGGCCTTGATCCTAAAGAAGAAATGTCAGTATTTATAAATCGCTTTTAAAAAATTACATATGATTAATACAGTCGAACCTCTAATAAGCGGCCCTCCATTAAGCGGCCACCCTCTATTGAACGGCCACATATCGAAGTCCCGAATTTTTTGTAATACAAATACTATTAACTATCCCTCTATTAAACGGCCACCTCTATTAAGCGGCCGCGGCCACCCAAAGAGCAGTCCCAAATGATGTTTTCTATCAATTCTTACCTCTATTAAGCGGCCAGCTAAGGTAATTGTCGAGAGTCGAGAGCTAAAAGCCGAGTTGATTTGCTTCGTAATATGATGCTTAAAACTTATGTCATAACACATGCCACTTTACACCTCAAAAGCATTGTTTGGCGGCATTGAAATGCGAAGTATCATTTCCTGCTGTTATTTCGTTTCAAACCCTCCTTTTTAAGCTTTTCCTTTAGCAAATTGATCGAAAATTCATCTCCTGTAAAATGAAATTCGCATGGAATTTCCAACCCATAGCCTCCACCTCTATTTACTTTATGAAAATTCTTTATTACCTACTGCCTGATATTTCTAAAGTCTATTCACTATTGTATTCCGTGATTTATAATTAAAAATGGACTTTTTTCCTACGTCCAGAGTCCAGAGTTGCGTACCTCTATTTAGCGGCCACAATGCCGATCCCCGAGAGTGGCCGCTTAATAGAGGTTCGACAGTACAATCTATTTGCCTGTTGATCTTCACCGATTAGAACTTCATTTACGAATAGTTAGAAAAGGATTTAATGGTATTCTTCGATATCTTTACAGGAAATACAGGTCACCTGGGCGTCCTCACCTTTTGAACGTGAACGGCATAATTCCCAAATTTCCAGTTCATCTGGTCCGTGCGGAAATGTACACGGTGTTCTGACGCACCTTTCGCCCTGTTTGTAATGCTTGCATTCTTCATAAGGGCCCCTTATTTCCTGAGTTGGCGGCTTGCGTGGCTTGGTCCACTCAGTTGTGCTAACTTTTCTATACCAAATCTGAAGTTCACTGTCACATGAGCTACACTTGAGTACTTCGAAGGCACGGGGAGTGTTGCATTTGGGACAGAGAAGTCTGATACGCGACCCGCTTGAAAGAACACGGTCAAAATCTTTTGGCATGTCGTTGAGAGAGCGCTTAGCATTGTTGAGTACAGGTGCATTCACGGAGGAAGGACCATCGGGTGGAATGGACTGTGGAACAACACCTAAATAAGAAATGTACAAAAGTATTGAACAATGGTTGAATGTGAGATATTTTCTTTCTTCTTCTAAATTAGCTCGACAAAGAAGTATACGTAGTATATGTCTATTACGACGTGATTAAAGGTTTCATTCACCTCTGTTCAGTTTCTCGGCTGTATTCTGGAATAGTTAAAAAGTGCTGCCTCGCAGTTTTTTGCTGTACGCTTATTATACTTTGTGACAATAAATTAGTATCATGAAATTCCTTGCAATAAACCTTGCTTGTTGTTTGTAAACATCGCAAACAGGTGGTCGTCCTGTTGTGTGCCCTGTAAGCCTGTGGAAATTGTAACTAACTCGACTATACGTGATACAATGTATAGCGTTCAGTTCTGTGACAAAATGAATTTGAGTCGTAACATCCAACTGGTTGTATTAAGATATGCATATCATTGATATCAAAGTATGATTGAGTGAGATATCAAAGCAACTTGAGATTCAATCGTAATTTTTAGGAGCGGTTTAAATTCACAGGGTTCCCGTGACAACTATTTGAGATTTTTGTAGACAATAAAAAATTGTTAGAAATAATTATCAGATTGAAATTTCCTATACTATGTTTACCACTGTTTTAATTTAATTATTTCCAACAAATATTTGCAGAAATTTATCGAATTATCAAGGCGAAATTTTTGTGTGATGAAAGATACTTTGGACCCTGACAGCAAAGTTGTGGTTTCATTTGATTAAATAGTTCAAGAACTACCCGTATTTTTATGAAACTTGTTGCATATTTATGTTACATTGCGGCCAGCGCAGAACGAAACAAAATGAATACACATGCGACAAAGTCGAAATTAAGACTGTATACAATATAATTTCCTGATACGACAATGGAGCTATGGAAAAACTAATATACGGGAAAAAGTGGAGAACTGAAGTGGAAGAACTGATGAACGTGAGAAAAGGAAGAAATTTTTAAAAACACGAGAAAGTAGAAGCAAATAAAATATATTGAAGGATCTACCAAGACTCAGGCGTACCTCTGACGACGTCATGCTGGCTTCTTTCCTCTTTTCGTACGGCTTTCTATACGACAAAAATAAAAGTGCTTATTTGTGTAATACAATTAACAGTTATTCTGCGAACTCAAGTCGTATATGAGCTGGTAGCCGACGAAGCGCGTAGTCCCGAGTTGGCTATCGGCCATATACGACGAGAGTGAGCAGAATAAGTGTTTTATTATATACACAAACTTCGTCGCCCTTTCGGTGCATTTTGGTGTGCTATTATCAACTAGGCTTGGATTTCTATTTCACTCAACTCCCCAAATCTTTCCGCCATTTTGTTTACTTTCTCTACAAGACAGATATGAGCTAATATCTGTCTAGTAGCCAACCAATGAAATTGCAGCATATACCTCATATCTGGCGCTTGTGTATATAATAATATGTTGTTATCGTACGGGCAGATATTAATATTTGAACGCTGGCTGAAAGATTAATCATGCCTTCTGTAAAAAAACTTTTAGACATTTGTAAGAATGGTTTATCAGCTGTGTAATACAAAAGTATACAAAATTTGCTAGCTTCACTAGCCGGTTATATTTTTACATTCGAAGCAGATTCGAAGTGAAGAAAAAAGGTGAATAGCGACTTGGATATATAGTTACATTGCTCTTATCCCGTTCTTTTTGTTTCTTGCGTTTTTCTCGCTCCTCTCTTTCCCTCCGCTCGCGTTCTTCTACTTCCTGTTTTCTTTGCATTTCTTTCTTTTCTTCTCGTTCTTTTTTCTTGCGTGCTTCCAACTCCTCTTGTTTTTTCAGTTTCTCTTCTTGTTCTTTACTTGCCTTTTGAATTTCCCTTTCAAGCTCCTAAAATGCAAGACAGAATTATTCCTATTTAATTTTTCTGTATAGTGATATTCATGGAAGACAAAGCAATTATATCTATTAGACTCTACTCTATTTGCAAAATACAGTACACATACTGTAGTTATACAATATTCAGACAATTTTTTCAAATAATGATTACTACTTTTTCTTCTATATTTACTGTACTTCATCACCTTATTCTTAGCCATCGCGTCCCTTTTTAATTGCTTTGAGGTCTTTGCAACCTAGATTTTTTTAATCGTGAGAGAAAATTTTCAGAATAGATGCATGGCCGAACTTAGAATTAATCCTCATTCAGTCGTTCTTGTCAAAATCTGGTGACTCAAAAGGAGGGAGCTAAATTCAAGCATTTTCCTCAGTGATTGCCAATTTAAACAATAATCGTAAACTGCATTGTCTGGGTATACAAAATGTCTTGTACCTTTGGCGTCTCTGTGATCTGTGTGGCATCAGTCCCGGAAGCTTGATCGGTTCCACCGGAGGCCTCACTTAACTTCTAACGAGTCAGAAAGAAGATAATCACTGAAGGACCTTAGTAGTTATTCTTCTGCTATTTGAAACAAATTGGGCAAGCGTTTGAGCGCTTAGATTTGCAAGAACAAGAAAGAATAAAAGTAGATAATCATATTACATATCACATATACATAATCTTCACCTTATCACTTGTTTGAATGCCGTTTGCGCCAGACGATTTCGTTAATCCACCAGTCCCTTGACTAACATTCTATAGGTATGAAAGATAATTCTATACTAATACGATAGTCTACAAAAAAGATTCTAAAAAATGTTAAAAATACGGTATTTAACATTAAAGGCCACAGAATATTTGCCTTTTCGAGGCCGCCTTCTTGTACATACATAAATCTAATCTATAGCGATGAAAATTACCTGTCTTTTGCTGGCACTCCTCTTCTGTCTTTCAGTCTTCTCCCAAATCGATATTTGTAATACTCTCATCCTTTCCATGAAGTACAAGTTCTAAATAATGTCACAAAAACGCTACAATTCCACCTCCAACAGTCTCGTTCAATTAAATTTAGGTTGGAATCTTACGCAACAACAGTGCAGCATGGTAATATGGAAACATGTTTGTAAGCTTAATATACTTACACCGGGATATTTTTCCATCAAAGACTTATAAAGATCATAAGCGTCCCGCAGCCGTTCGTAATGCTCAAAAATGTCAATTACTGGAAGTAATTCTGCATACTGAGTATGATCACCAAAGCGAATTGCTACAAATGAGAAAAGCGTATTTAGTATCGGTCGAATGAACAAAAGAAACTGTCATACAAAGTTTGATTTGTTCTGTAAAAGTAACGTGCCAATCAAACTCCGTGTAACTTAAGATCAAATGTCGTATAACAACTGCCTAAATAGACAAAACACTTCTCGACGTTTCGACTGAGGGCCTTCGTCAGGAGAGTTAGTTATCACCGTTAACTACAGTTTATGTTCACACTAACTCTCCTGACGAAGGCCCTCAGGTCGAAACGTCGAGAAGTGTTTTGTCTATTTAGGCAGTTGTTATACCACATTTGATGCTAAATTGTTTGCAGACGCTGCCACGCTGCTCCTTGGTTATATTGGAACTTATCCGTGTAACTTAAGGTTTTCGCGGCGTTTGACGTCAATATATGCACGAGAAATGTCTATTTTTAAAGGCATGTTCTCACCTTTTCTACACGCTTTCTTTGCTTGGTCAAAATAATCCTAAAATGAAAAATAATAAAAACACTCCGTTAAGCCGCGTCCTTCTTCAAAATAAAATTCACTTGGTTCGATAATTGCTCTCGTGAATAAAGTAAAATCACCCCCTAAATATTAATATTACAGTAAAGGCTAATTTCCACTCCGGAAAACGAGCAGCGGATCGGATCGGATTTTTTTCGAGCTGGTCCGATCCATGAAGTGATTTCGGATCGGATCAAAAAAAGTTAAAAAAATAATTGAACTTTTTTCTATCCGGTCTCGGACGCTTTCGGATCAATATAAGCCAAAAATTTCAACAAACGGCGCACGCGCGGATTATCTTTCGTTCCGATTCGATCCGCTGCTCGTTTTCCGGAGTGGAAATTAGCCTTAACTGTGGAGGTCAAGCTTTATGTGAACAAACGGTTGTTCACATTTTGAACCTCGTGTACTTTAAAATATGATGTGCTGTCTGAATATTTAACACTGTTAACTACAGTTTATGTTCAGAAAAAATCAATCATGCGAAATCAGGCTCGGCGATCACCTCAAAGCCAAAGGGCCCTCACATTGTTGTCCGGCATGCAGCTGTGCCACTTCGTAGAGCGGAAAAACGACAATTCAAATTAGGCCATCATGCCGGTAAACGAATTAGAAACTGAGATCACTGAAAGACGATACTTACGAGTTCGATGAGGCACTGTGCTTCTCTTATGAGACAAATACCGGTCTCGGGAAACAAATAACCTGCTTCACGATAAAAATTCAATGCCATCTCAATATTTCCTGTTCTAAAAAATTCATCACCCATCCTCATTACGACATTGATGACTTTCGCGTCCAAGCCCAAAAGCAACCACTACAACAGAAGAAGGTTCCATACCATCAGAATTACTACCTGACTATAGTTTATAGTCTATACTGTCAGTGTTTCTGAATAGCTAAAGTCTCATACGTTTTTTGCGCATCTGTAATCTTTCTCACACTGTACACTTGGTAGTCTAAAGGTTGTACTTTGCGATTGTCGGAAAAATAACCTCAAAATATAAGCAAACAACTTCACCTCTAGTGTGTTCAGTCTTTGCCTAACTTCATTTCGACATTTGTCAAATTCATACATCATAACACCATCAACTCCTTCAACCACTTGTACCTTGCATGGACAAAAAAGTCATGTTAAGTACTTCACTTAAGAAATATTTAACATGAAATGTATTTATAGTGATAAGTCATTTACAATCAAAAGCATGACTGTAATCCATGCATTCTTTAGTGCCATTGTAACTCAAGTTTAATCAAAGTTGATAGAGTTTTAATATAATTTTCTTCTGCACGAAAGCACAAACATTTATCTAGATATAATGGTACTTTTTTTCTGAGGAAATGGGGTCACGCGTATAAAGAGTGTTAACATACATTTGTATTTAAAATTCGCACCGTTTCAACTGCAAAAAAGCTAGTTTCGACACCCTAATTACGACTAAAATGCATTATATCTAATACGACTATTTTCAGAAAGCTCATTGAACCACAGAATTCAGAAATTGACGGTATGAGAGTGGCCGTGCATGAAAGTGGTCTACTGGGGAAGAATTGATTCGCTAAAAAAGACTATAAATATACCTACCCCCCGGGGTTGATTTATGATGCCGTGGACATAGCATTCGATGAGTGATTGGTATGACATCACGCCAACATATAAAGGGGGGGCAACGCTGAAAGCATGAAAAGCAATTAAGTAATTAAGTAATTAACTGAGAAATATTGTATGTATGATTAAAAGAATAAAGAGCTTCTTTAGTTTCTAGAAGTTCCAAAAAGTTTTCACGGCAAATACATTATTTTTGGCGAGAGAGCCTTGCTCTAAATGACGACATGATTAAACTACCTTTTTTGGGCGTTAAAATTATTCCTTAAGAACATTGACAGAGAAATATATCAGTATTCTTTTACATCAGTCACACTAACGACTTTTTAGGCCAGTTTGTAGTTTTACTGAGTCTCTTTGCTCCCGCAGACGGGTCGGATTCGGAGCCGGTACAATATGCGCTGTGGGAGTTTGCGAATTACGACATAGTCATAGGTCATAGGCTATACACACTGCATTTCACTCTTAAAAATTCTACGCTTTGTGAATTTTCAATAATGCCAGAACCAATACACTAAATCTTTTAGCTATAGTTCATTCACTCCTGACTTTAATGTTGACCCCCGAAAACTCGCTACATCTCTAACACTCTTGCACGTAAACAGTTCATGTTCAAACTTGTTCGCGTAGCCACTAAAGCCGAGACAAAGAACCATTTTAACGACTGATATTAAAATATACCACGTCACTTAAGATATTTGATATCCGATATCGTTTACAAAATGACTCAGCTTCTTAGAAATGAAATTCGAAGAAAACCGACCGAGGTCATAAATAATTTATGTCTAACATATAATTTCATAGTGTTTTGCATTTGAGACAAAACAAGATAAAATATGAAACTCCGCTTTTATTTGACCGCTAGCTGGCAAATGTAAATCCTGATTTGTCTTTATTTTAAAACAAATATATTTGCATGACGAAACAGTAGGGCGAACTATCTTGAGCGGATATTCATTTCCCGTCTATAATAAAAGCTTATAAATTAAAAGCATATGAATGCAATAACAACATCGGCTTATATCGCACTGTAATTATGATTGTATCACATAGGATCATAATGATTATTAGGGAATCCATTTGTGCTGAACTCATGGAAACATATACAATCTTTCGCAAACGTTGGTGACATACAAGTAGCAAGCGAGGTGGCTTGGAAAATTTGCAATCTCGTTATTCGTTAATTATCCGCTCTGTCATGCAATTTAAAAGGACACGATGAAATATTGAAACACAACAACGACGAATGTCAACAAAATGTAGATGTCGTATTTAATTTTCCCAACGCGTGAAAGATTGCCGGTTGCCTTTCATACAAGCGGAAGGTGAACAGTTTGTTGCCGGCAATACTAAGCTTATATATACACGAAGCAATACGATATTATAATATTATATTTACCTGTGTTTGTGTTTCTTATGCTTTGAGTTGGCGGAAGTTAATACGTCTGAAAGGATCGAAGAAGTCTCAAGCTTTACCTGTAAATGTCTTCACTTTCACAATAAAGGTACCAGAAATATCCTCGAAGTCAAAAAAACCATCTTCTTAACGTTATAGGAAAAATTAACGGAATGTAGAATGTTAAAAAGTTTTGCTCGACAATTTAATAATCTTGCATTCGTAGACACGGATACTTGAAAATATAGCTACGCTGATAACTGAAAATGAAACAACTTGCTTTACGCTGTACGAATGATTCAGTTAATCAATCGATCCATACTTACATTAATGCAATCATCCTTGAAAAAAATCATTTCTACTGCGACCAACACTGTTTGAAACAGCCGAAACCGGGTGAAATTCTCCTGGCTTAACTTCCAAACTTCAATGAATAAATTACTGCAAATAAATAAAGTATCCGGCCTGATAAACAATAGCGCGTCACCCCATGGAGTTCCAGGAACAAACGAGTAATGCGTAATAGGATCTGGAAAAGTCTTTTTTTGGTAGCCTCACGAAGCGTGAAAATGCATGAAACGACCGGGATTGATGGAGATTCACTGAATCTAAGGCATGTTATGGAATTATCTGGAATCATCCTATTAATATTGTATGCGGTGTTTACTTAAGTCTTAATAGATTTAAATTGTCAAGTTCAAATTAAAAAACTGCAATTGAGTCGGTTCTGGAAGCCAATGGCGCGAAGATTGCTGTATCGATCATCCACCGCGTTTCATGTGGATTCAAGGACAACGGAATACCTGACCGACTAAGACAGTGTTTGCAAAATATCGGCAGTTTAGCTTTTCGGTGTCTGGCGTTTTTCCACCAGTGCCCGCACCAGTGTCCAGATGATTTTGCAGCAGATTTATTAACGAATTTCTATGCATGAAAGGAAACTTTTTTTGCCCTCTTGCTCCAGCTGGTAAAAGGTAATGGCCAATGGGGAAGCTTAAGAGAACGATTTTAATCGCTTACTCGGCACATACTTGTGTTAGAATAGCTGACAGTAGCCGCGTTTACACTAAGTGCTTTGACCTGGCCTGGACAAGGGCTAGGCCTAGATGTGAACGTTGTTCATCCGACCTAGTCCAGGCCTGGACCTGGTCTAGGCCACAAAATCCAGGCCAACAGCGGAAGGTGGCCTGGACCTGACCTGGCGCAAGATTTTGGTAATGTGAACAGGCATTATCTAGTCGGCAAATTTTGAGCTTAATAGCATGATTTGTATAGGATACATATAGTATTACCACTTTTCGGCGTGTTTTGGGAAAATCTCAGTTTCTCTTGTTGCGGAGAGTGTCGGTGGATGAAATTAACTACTTCGATACTTTTCTCAAGAATAATTGCGTTAGCGTGAGTATGGATTGGCTGACAGTCAATCGCCTATTCTAAAGGCCCTGTTACACGGACACGGTGCAATTTTTCTTCAACTTGCAATGCAATTTGCAAGATATGTGATACTTTAAAGAGATATAAATTAGTCTTCAAAATGAAAGTGTAGCAAACGTCCATGGAGTGTAATAAACACAAAAGTTCGGTAGTTGCCAAATTCACATATCTCAAAAGAAGAATTGCATTGCAAGTTGCAAGAAAAATTGCACCGCGTGTAAAAGGACCTTAAGCTAGTTGATTCGTTTTCCAGTGGCATTTATATTGCTATACATACATGTGTCTACGAATGCAAAATAATTGTTGAGCAAAACTTTTAAACATTCAATTTCTTTCTTTTTTCGTTTGCAGCCGAGAAGACGATTTGACACGTGTCTTCAAATATACCTTAATACCTGCGTGAAAGACAACGTATTTACAGGTAAAATCTTCGGGCCTTCTTCGATCCTTTCAGACATATTTACTACCGCCAGCTTAAAATATAAGAATTAAAAACACAGGTAAATTATCTATATAACATTGTATATAGTGCTTAGAGTATTTATAGGGCTAGTGTACGCATACTGTACGTTAAAAACTGTTCGCCTTTCTGCATGTCTATTCCAAGACAAAAGACCGTCTTTCGCACGATAAAGATTGAGGGGAATTATGTTTCTAAAAGTAGATGTTTCGTTTGTTTACATTCATTGTGTCACATCATTTTATCGTGTTTGCCTAAATTGATAATGGGATCATTAATGAGTCCAGAAATTGACCTTGAATTCTCCTAGAAATATTTTCCTTGATATTTGATATAATCGTGTGTTTGCTAGACCCAGTGCTTGTAACAACTTTTAACCAAATTAATAACATGGCAGGAATAACGTTATAGGAAAAATTTTATAAATTTGTAAAAAATTTTAAAAATAAAGAAATGGCTACAACAGCGTTTTTGAAATCTATTGGATTCATGAATGATAACCTGCATGATGATTTGGCCTCTAAACTCCCTTTACTCAAATCCCATTGAGAACTTGTGGTCGATCATTAAACGCCAGGTTTATGGCGATGGGAAGCAGTATTCCTTCAAACATGACCTGTGGATGGCAATAAAAGAATCCGAAACATCCATCCCTAAAGCTACCATTAAGAAACTCACAGCTAGATTCAGTGAACGACCGACTTTTTGACGTGATCAGACTTTATGAGACTCATGTCAATAAGTAACTAAATTCAATGAAAATGGAATCACTCCGTGTTCCATTTCTATCACTGTGTGAATTTCTAAATTTTCTGAAACTAATATCGTGTGTCAGTAGAAAAATTGCCAAACCGAAATAAGGGTGCATATTTTCATTATTAGGACTTTTTAAATCTTAATTAAATTTTTTAGAAGGAATACTTGAGAAGTTATACAGCCTTGGATAGTTTCACGCCAGGATTGTGTAAAATTAATACCATGAAAATTGCTATTTAAACTATAAATATCGTGGTTCGCACTGCAGTGTGAAAAATAATTTTTTATTCATACCTTCCAACTACTTCATGTACTTCTCTTTTCATGCTATATTCTGAATTAACGATGCCTTTCGGAAAATCATCCTCTTCCAAATCCTTGTTTGCATATATTATGAATGAAAGGAAATTTCACACTTAGCGTTTTCTGGGTATCGAGAAATTGAATCTAAGTATAAGCGGCATTAATTTATAAGCTATAAAGTAGACTTAATGAGCAAATTTGATGGTGAAACTGTGACCGAACAGACAGGTATCACATAACACGGTAGAGGGATGTTAATAACAGAGGAGCAGTCGAAGTCAAATACAATAGAAGTGTAGATCACTAGCGTATTGTTGATATAATAAAAGTAAAGTGTCGAAGTAAAATCGTGATTAATACTGGTGTGTGCAACGATATTTCAAGAACCTGTGGCGCATGCAATGCTAACACGAGCAATGTTGCACACGAGTAACTTTACAGAACTTTACCAGGACTTAGTTGATTTCGCTCTCGGACAGTGAATGGGATGAAGTTCTGTTTAGTATATTCTTTCTTGCGAAATTTTGCTCTTTTTTGCAACACAAGAAAAAACATACTCCGAAAAATGACATCTTGTAAACTCAAGATATGAGCTATAGACAAGAAGACAAGAGGTAACTCGTATCTTGAGTTTACCAGATGTCATTTTTCGGAGTATGTTTTTTCTTGTATTTTATCAAATTGTCTGCTGGTAATGGTTTTTTTTACAACACATCGCGAAATTAACTGCGCGAAATTTTTTGCATTTCTCTGAAAATTTTCGAAAATGGAACTTAACGATTCATTTCTAAAGCTATTGGGGTTTTTAAGCCAAGAGACTTTAGTTAAAGAAGGGAATAGTTGAATGAAACCTTCTCTTCCAGGCAGAGGGATTGGAGCCCTTAGTTTCCTGACTCAGTTTATGTAAAGAGGGGGGGTGATATTATTATACTTTAACGACGAACCTGGGCAATAAATTCACTGGGGTGTATCGCCAATGGCCTCTCATCGAAGGCTGAAAATACATATGAACAAAATAGAGCAATTTATTTACACATGCATTTGTCGTAATTTGACCAAACACATACAGAGCGGCTACATAATTGGTGCCGTGCGAAAATATTTGTTTAAATTATTTGGATTTCACAGACTATCAATTCAATTTTATTTGGTGCTACTACGATCATGAAGACAGTGGAGTTCGCTGTGTGATGGTTCGCTGAATCACACTATGTTCGGATCGATTGAGTGGGTAGCTACAATGCGCACAATAAGAAGAACATTCAAAAATGACCAATATCATTTGGAAAATGTCAAGTCACAATGTCAATAGTCTGCGAAATCACAGATCGTACCTTTGGGTTGGGCTTCTTTAGAAAAATCGTCTCCCATATACTTTTCATCAGAATCTACGCTAAGCCTCTCTATAAAGCAAACAAAGCATAGTCATATTGTTAGAGGCAGGCATATATGGAGAGATCTACTGAAAATATCTTTGGTTAAAAGGCGATAAGCGGAACTTGAAAAGTGAAAACCTTTAGGAAACTTTCGACGGAGTATAAGTAATCATCCGAAAAAGCAGAAAACTTTAGTTAAAAATTGGACTATTTAGCCTAGAAGAAAAATTTTTGCAAATTTATCACAAGCGTATAGCACGGAGGCAACAAAATTACCCGTCAGTAGGACCCAAAATGCATGGGAAGTCATAAATCATGCTGTGCATTGAGCATCTCCAATGTTTAAAGTCACATCTTCACATCTTTCTTAAAACACGATGTGCTGTCTGAATATCTAACACTATTCAGGTTCGCTACGCTTATGTGCAGAAAAATTCAAGTAAGTAAGTATATGTGTTTTGGCCTTACCTATTAATCGCAGAAATATTTCATCTTCTGCAGTCAAATTCAAATGACACAAAAGCTATACAATTAAATATAATAAGTTTTTTTATGGACGCGTGCGTGTTATTACTGTTTTTCTCATCTGCCTCATCGGCATAAGAATATAGGTAACAAGACTTCTTGCTGCCCATGCCTGGCTTTCGTAAACTCGCGACGCAAAAGGAAAAACCGAGCCCATATTTTTCAACTCGCTCTACCGTAATTATCTTAAATTGTGCAGTCACTAACACTGAATAGTCCTTTTCGGTAATTACGTCACAACATTTTAACATTACAACGTTTTAAACTTTGAACAACCTTAAAAGAAATGGATTTCAAGTTTTACTCTCACGAGCCACGTGCAAAGATGCAAAACACCCTTCTTTCAACACATGCATGAAAATAATTTATTTTGACCAATAAATGTTGAAATGAGACCGCGAGCCTCGTTCCCGCGTTATGGCTTTTTTCCATACTTACACTGCGACATTTGGCATCATCGTGAGCCTTCACTAATGTTTGAACTACAGCTATGTGATAATTAGAGCATGCTACGCTCAACGGTAAACGTCCGGAAGGATTTTTTCTATTAATATCTTTCGCAGCTCCATGTTGGAGAAGGTATTGAACAATTGTGTCACTGCCCCCGCGACAAGCCGAGTGCAGAACTGTTTCTAGGCAACTGTTGTCGTCGCTTGCTACCTCGGCACCATGTTCAACCAAATGTTTGACTATGTCTAAAGACCCAAATTGTGTAGCGAGATGAAGCAAAGACAACTCTTCAGTAACTTTTCCGTTCACATCAACATAGGCTGGAACAAGTCGTCTTACTTCCTCTGTATCTCCTTTTTTGATAGCGTTCCACATTTTCGCGGTATTCCTATAATACAATCAGTATGTAGTGTAAAATGAACATTGTTAGGGCTTATTTATCATTAGCGCATGAGAACTGTCAAACACGTTTTGGGGTTTATTGAAAACAGAAAACCTAGAAGCATATGATTTGTTCATATGGTATATTGTTGTATATGATTATATTATTAGTTGGAAAATTGTTAGTACGGGGCTTTCAAATTGGCCTGTTGATATTTCAAGACTTTGACAATCTCTATTCCCCCATTTCGCCAATAACATGCATAAGTAAAAAGCACCATTCTTATATAAACATACTTTATTTTTATAGCTTCTTTCGTTTTGTTGACTTCCTCTATGTTAATTATTTCAATCTTCATTTCTTCTGCTTTAACTCCAATCCACGAAAATTCCTTCAGCAAACGTTCTTTCAGCCTTCCAGATTCAAAATCATTCAAAACTTCAAGAAACCTTTTATCGGTAAAACAGTTTAGTGGAACAATAACACTTCCTTCTTTGAATTTTTTAAATTCTTGGTCATTTCTATCATCACCCCCAAAACATCTCTTGATCGCGTGTTGGAATTGCGGCAAGTGAATTAAAGTTTTTAAAACATTTTCAAGACCAACGCGAATTACCAATTCACCTCCTTCACAGCTTATATCCCTTGGCGAATCCCAGATCATTTCCGGTATTTTTGCTGGTGGAATAATTAGTGAAAAGTGATGCTTATTTTGTTAAAATTTAGACATGGGTGTTGGTTATGTAAATGCAGTGGATAGAATGGGAAAAGTCAAAGAAACACATTTCACATTAAAGATACAACAGTTTACAACAACGCACCACCACCTTTAGATAAAACATGATTAATTAAGAGCTCGAATAAAAATTATGATGAAAATCGCATATTTCCACCTCTGCTGATTCTGTGAAAAACTATTATCGAAATTCAACGCTCATTGTGTGGCCTTAATTACTGGCTTTGCATAGTTTTATTTGCATGTTTAACAAAAGGCGGTTTTCAGATGTTCGTGATTAATTGCTTTTTCTCTCGTTTAGCTTAGAGCAGACAAAGGTGGAAATATTTTTCAACGAACTAACATCAGCTGTTAGCATGTTTTTCTTCATTTGGTATAAAAAATACATTTCAACAGCGAAAAGCCTGGTCTATCTTAATATTACAAAATTTTACATGATATGCACAATAGCACGCTTAATTCATTTAAGTCATACTTACCTATAATCTCGTCTATTTTCAGCATCATACTTTCTCTGAATTGTTTGTTGTGTTGGCAGTCATCAGTCAACGTTGTTATTTTCTTGTCAACGTTTTCCTTAAGAAAATTGTAGTTCTCTAGTTCAACATCCCTAATTTTTCTTTTCAACTCATCAACTTTCTCCGTTGGAAATTCTTTCTCATCAAGATTACCAATATAGTCAATTTGACATGTTGGGAATTTGACTGCAGCAAAAGCATCCTTAGCGAGTTGAACATAATCATCAAACGTTGCTTTTTCTATTGTGGGATGGGGCAGATGACATAGAGCGTTTCTAAGCAGTCGAATTTGATCGGTTGCTAAAGCTATCGTTTCATCGTTGTTACCAGTTGGACTGATCAGCGTGGAATGGAAAGGATTGGGGTTTTTTCCCTGTATAAATTGATCCTTCAGTGTTTTGGTCGAGGTGGCAAAGGTCTTCGCGTAAATGGTTGCATTAAACAGTGCAGTACAATCCCAATCCTCAAACGACTTACTGGTTGGTATTTTAGTTCTACCTCCTTCGCATCCTAAAAAAAGGTTCCGTACTATGGGTGTGTCGTCCCAAGTCTTGTTACCCGCCAGTGGCGCGATCTTTGAGTCCCACAATGTCACAAATATCGAACGTAACATCGTTGGAAATTCATCGTAAACGATGGATGCAAATTTAAAGAAATTCAATTCTTCTGTTGAAAAACGTCTTGCTGCCATTCAGATGCTACTTCATAGCCAGCATATACCAAATAAAGGACACAAATTCTTTGAGTCCTTCAGCAATGAGAAAAATCATGCGATATTTTAAACTTATTAGATAAGCAGGTATGCATGGCCAAAACAGCTATGAAGGATCAATTTTATGAATCCGGCACACTATTATATCTCTTGGACACTAAAAGGTTATGTTATAAATTTCCTTCATTTGATAATCTTTCTGGCGCGGTCAGTAGCGTACGAGGCACAATAATTGTGTGTGTGCGGTTGGGGGGCACATATTCATTATTGCCGCTGCGATGAAGCCTGTCGAACATTCTGTTTAAACAAACTTTCACTGTATACAATACAACGTTAACGTACCTCAGTAAATACTAAAGCAATATACCTTTCCCTCCCCCCCCCTCAAACCTTATTTTGGAATGTTTATGATGAGAATTGAATACCGAACCTGTAGCGTGGTAACATGATATCTAAACCGCAGTTTTGACTGGCGGTATAAATAACGCTAAGACTGAACACCGAATATATACTTTACATATGATTATGCTTTGCATACTTTACATGTATACATTTATACCTACTTTGCTAAGACAGATTATATATTTTTACGTTTTAACGTATACTTTGTAATCTAGTTAAATCAGTCTTGGAGTGTACGTTCATCATTTGTCAATATTTAAAATCTTATGCAATCATTAGCTTGATTTATGTTATAAGAACCCATCACGGAAGTAGTATATTTAGGCAAAGTTAGCATGATAGTCGTCGGTTTGTGTAAAAATGGAGAAAAACAGAATATCGTCCGACAGTTAATACTAAAGAAATCTATTTACAGGAATTCCCTACTTTGCTTCGTAGTTTCTTATTCTTTGTAGTTTCTTATGTAGTCCATCAGACAGGAAGACATGAATGATCCGATTATTATTAAATTAGACAAACGTGGCAAGTTGCTCATGACTGTGCTAGTGTGCTTATTAGAACATTATATCACACAATCTTTTCTTTGATTCTTTGAATTCAGCATATATAAAAATATAATCCGTGGATGTATACTTACGGCTTGAACGCGTCTAAGGACATCTGCTGGTGGCTAGTTCACTTCAATTTATTATTGGAACAGCAAATTCGAGATTGATGGCATAGTTAAAATACTGAAAACATTATAAATTAAAATGAAATTTTGATGAACAGTTAACTAACGTTTAATTAAGATTGTATAATTGAGGCTGAAAGCTGCATGCATATGAATCCATGGATCAGTCTTGACTCTATATGGACCGACTAAAATATAGCCTCACAACAGAGCTCATCCTACGTAGCCACTGATCTATGTAGAAGCCTGTAGTGTGACTACATTGTTACTGCTCCATCATACCATCTGTAATCACGTTACTGTCATTGTTCATGAGAATAATATTTCTCGTGTGCTATAGTAATGGGTGAATGGGGCTGAATTACAACTGAGCACTGTTTTACGCCATTAGCTGCAGCATTAATAAAATAAATTATGACAAATAACAATGTCGCCTCTCAAGAAATGTATATACGATCTCAAGAGATTTTGTCCTGCTTTTGTCGATCTCTGAGATTTTGTCCTGCTATTTAAATTTGAGCTATCATAATAATTTATGTCCTTAGAAATTTATTGTTTTCACAGTCAATGAACAGTGAACATATCAAGTGAGGCAAATCGTCAGGCTTACTATGCTACTGGCTATGAAGCGTGGGAAAAACGACTGGACTTGATGGGAGGAGGGAATCAAAATCTACTTATGAAAAGCATGTAACAGAATTAAGAAAAATCACGCCATTTATGTATACTATGTTTACCTAAATTGAAGCCTTAGTTATACCGTTTAGATAGATTCATTTAAAAAAAAACAAGTGCGAGCGTAGTGACTAGCGTTCACTTTTCTTAGAACAGAACATGGTCAAAATTCCCGGCGCTTCACTTGCATTCCTGGTCTTTTCACGTCTCGTGAAGGAATGTTTCGCAGAAATCCCTCTTCATTCTCTTTAGCATCCTCTTTTCGTTTATTGCTTTCTATGCAAGGACAAAAAATACAATATACAATACCAACGCAAATAACACCTTCAACGTAATAAGTTGCGCCTTCAAAAAAACCCACAAAATTTTGCTCAATAATACAATAGATTTAAAATGTTTTCGTAATATTTGTCAATTGTCAGAATTCGTTTTATCTATAAATAAGTTTACATATATTTATTTTTATTTACAAACTTTATCAAATGTGCCTCCTGCTTGTGTCTACGGAGCTCCATTCGACAGGGTACCTAATTTTATATACATGCAGTATAAAAAGATTATCTAATCATCATGTACCTCATATATGTGTAATATATCATGTGGTGGGTATACTGTTCTACTCAAACTCAGTAATTCATCGACAAATTTGAGGAAAAAATGAAACAAAAAGCTTCAGGACCGTTTTTTGACAAATTTACTGAAATTATAATTACCCATAAGGCCATAACAAAATCGATGTTGCATCATTACCTGATCAAAATATGGTGTGATAACTCCAATCTTCCTAGGCCAACCTTCTGGCCAAAGAACGTCAAGTTCTTTGACTCTTGCTACAACTTCACCCACCTCCTTTGGAGGTCGGGTCGCGGTGGTAAAGATTGCTACATCCACGTTTTATGCAGATCCAGGGACGACGAGACGATGCAAAGACAAAGGTGAGGGGGAGAGGAGGTTCGTGAAAGGAAAAAAGTAATTAAATGTGAAAGTCTGTTCACACGATCAAACTTTTTTTGGATCAACTTCTGACGAATGGAAAGTAGTCTGTATTGGTAAAGCCGTACCGCATTGGCGTTAGTTGATTTGCCGGGTACACTGCAAGTTAACAGACTATACAAAATCCACCAGAATTGAATTGATCGGACCGTCAAACAAGGATGATAGGAATACTAAGTTAAAAAGTTCTGAAGGGCATCACCCGCGGTTATTTGCATTGGGAAATCAAAATTTTCGATAGATTGGAAGTATTATGGCTATCTTCTTAATTTTAGTTTAAAGATACCCTCGTGTTTATCATCGGCAATGTTAAAAGAGGGGCGGGGGCCCTGAGAAAAGACTGCGAATATGAGTTCTCGTAACATATTAATTTATTATAAAAAATACATTAGAGTCGATAGGATATATTGTGACGGCGCTCCAAGTGTTATTACTGTAGTTATGTACATCATTTCCCTAGTCTTCAAATTAGTACATGTAAAATTTGTTGTGTTTTTACACTTTCTGCTTAAATGTACAAGATTTCCCTATTTTTGCATTCATTTTAGCGCAAGCAGTCGTGTCCTGGTTGACATGCATATACTATGATTTACAATTTCGTATACTATGATTTACATAACATATACTATGATTTACAATTTCATATACTATGATTTACAATAAATCACAATTTCGAATAAGCATACATTAACGAGTATTGCCACATTCACTGAAACATCCGTTATCAAAAAGACCCAGATTCTGTAAACCTTTCTTCAAGTCTAAAGCAATGAAAGATGGTAGACTCATCTCGGCCTTTGGACCTTCATCGCAGAAAATTACGAATTCTTCTTCGGAATCGTCTGCGTCATCACTAGAAGAGGAATTCTGATCACTACTGCCAGGTTCACTGCTATCCTCACTCGGGTCTTCGTCGGAACTCACCGGTTCCTCTGGATGAGGAGTATCAACCTCACAGACACCGTAAGCAAACGCTTGTTTCACTTGATCGTCATCAAGAAAGCTTATAAGTGCCCCAGAGTCACCATCTTCTAAAAACGTCCCGGCCATTCCTTTAATAACCATTGCATTTTTGAACAAAATTTCACCCGATCGTAGTCATAGGTATAATCACAATCGACAATGAAAATCATTTTTGCGAGGAGCTGCGACACTACCCTCGAAAACATCCGTTCTGAATACGTACTACAAGCTACCTTCTCCGCATGTGCTAGGCCTAGGGAGCATTTCGGGCGATTTCTCGCTTTCGTTTCTAAATTTCTACCCGCAAAATATCACCGCCCGCCATATTTGCCCGGAAAAGGTTCTGCGGAGGAGGTAGACATACAAGAGGGAACACGACGACATCGGCTATCAATACAATGAATCAGTGAAAAGAAATGAATAAATAAAGACCTATTGCAGTTTTGGACGTCGTTCACGTTCTGTTTATAACTGCACGGGTTGTCCCCAAAAAAACAAAAAAATTTCTATTGAAATCACTCTTTTGTTGTTTATTAATAAGCGTCTGTCACAATAACGCATGTTCGAAACAAAACGCTTCAATTAAGGTAACTCCGATTCTCATGTCCTGTGTACAGGGTGTATAATCGTCTCGCATTCAATTTTACGCATCCGTGGGCATGGAGCACAATAATAAGGCATTAAAATTCTAACAAGACCTTGATTTCGTTGGGGGAACTTGTACTATTGCGGTACTATTGTGCTTTAGGGGTCGTCCTCAAAATGGGTATAGTTCTAAAAACCTAAAATAAACAGTTTCTCAAGATAGTTTCCTACCAAGGAAATGGAAATTGAATGACTTTAGTCAGGTCCAAGATTAATTGTGATTTTACAAGATGCACAATTAAAATATTTTTTAATATATTCCATCCTTTTGTGAATGTATAAAAAAAGAATGATGGAATATAAGAAAGCTTTTAATGGTGCATCTTGTAAAATCACAATTAATCTTGGGCCTAACTAAAGTCATTCAGTTTCCTATTTCCTTTGTAGGAAACTATCCTGAGAAACTGTTTATTTTAGGTTTTAGAACTACCCATTTTCCAATGGACGACTTGCGCTTTAGACTTACTTTTGATCGAAGTAACTAGAGGAAAATAAATCACCCCAGCTAGAAAGATCTTACTTAATTTAGTAAAACTGCCAAGTTTGGCTGCGAAATTTTGTAAAATACGGAAAATATAGCCATGCGAAGTTGGCAAATTTTTTATACTTTTGTATTACGTGCGGAAATGTGTAACTAATTTAGTTACAAACTTCCGGTCGTAATACAAAGGTATACAAAAATCGACAACTTCGCATGGGTATATTTTCCGTATTTTACAACAATTCGTAGTCAAACTTGGCAGTTTTACTTATTTTAGTAAGCTCTTTCAGAAAATGTCCTTTTTCTTGCCGAGGTAAGAAATTAGTCTAAAGCGCAAGTCGTCCATTAGAACTACACACCAGAGGTTCTTGTTCTCATGCATGCCAATGAACACATGTTGGTTTTTGAAGCAGCTATAAAATGGGCAGTTCTAAATTTTTCTTAGGATGACCCCTGTTGTGCTTAATATCAATATGAATGTCAAGCCCTTTTTTTATACATTCTGTAGAACGACTGCATTTCAGAACGCAGCGAGCGCTACCTCGAATTATGCTCTTGTTCCCAAACATAAACAATATTTCACATTCAATCGATACGATAAATAATACACAACAATTCTTTACCGTAATATTTACCGTAAAGCCGCGTCGTCGTATTGCCGTCGTACATGCTTAATTATTGTCCCTAGTAATTGTCAATTCGGAATCACTCATTCCTAAAAACTATACAAAATATAATATAATAGTCTATTAACAGAGTTTAAAAATAGAATTTCTTTAAATGTGTAATTTAAATTGAGATCATTTCTATAATGTCACTTTGGCAGGGCCGAGACTATATCGGTACCTATGTTTCAGTTTTCTGGCCGACGGATTTCTTTTGTAAGTGCAATAGCATACAAAAGAAATCCGTCAGGCTAAACTGATTATTATCATGATATTATAGAAACAAATACTTGCCAATAGACCTTAGAGGTGCCTACGTCACACAGTTCTCAATCTATCTCCTGCATGTTTCCCACATTGCATTGCAATTTATGGTTTGACAGTCCCGTGACGTAAGCACCTCTAAAGCCAATTATCGTTCTAGTTTCGTTATCGGCCCAGCATTTTGGGGACACCCTGCACATCCCTTAAAAGGCAGCTTCTTCCATTACGCTCGATTTGCCTGCATGCGCAGGCGTAAAAGTACAATGGAAAATTGCCTTTATAAGCGGTCCTGCTACGACCTTAAGTATAAATAATTGCGGTGTACCTCGTCGATGCTTCGTTCTGAACCATAGATTGTGCCTTGGAAGTTGGAAGCCGCCATTTTGATTTTTCCGCAATCTGGTCAGCAGTAAAACCCTGAGAAGCTTAATACGTCATTTTAAGACGAAAAGCTATACCGTAGGTTTTCTTGATGGCCTAAAACTCTAAAATTTGAAAGTGAACGAATTCAAACTATGACTACAACTATGTCATTATGCCAGCTAAAGTGATCTGTTAGTGATGATAAACATTAAACTTTTTGTGAACCAGTGGTGGATCCAGGGGTAGTCAGAATAAATTGCTACAGCTTAAAATCGCAATCCCATTGGTTGATTTTTATTTAAAAATATTCTTTTAAAATCCAATTATTTACATATATAATGATGGCTACTTGGAACCGTATTTGCGTGATTATAAATTTTATAATATGACCGTAATAAGTGGCGTAGGAAACACGGGAGATTGGGGGGGGGCATATGTTGACGAATATATGAATATGTGCCCCCCCCAATTATCGTGCTCTCTACATATGACCCATTTGAGCAAATTTCGGTTGATTCGTTTGATTCCAACCGGTTCACTGAAAATGATTCATTCAAAATGTGGCAGATTATTACTTATCCGCATCCATTATTAAACAACTTTTCTTTTCATAATGATCCAACAACGCTCGCCACAAACTACAAACACCGACTAAGTTTGCATTACCTAAAAAAAAAGAATTACAAATCCATAAAAGTGTCAGAGCCAGAGGGGTGCATTTGTCCTGCTAGAGAAAGTTCAACATAATGTCTCTGCTGTTCTGAGCTATGGGAATATTCAATGATACGTAGAATTAGTAGAATACGTTTTAACTGTATCATATTTCATGTCTGGTCTTCAAACGGAAGTCAATCGCTATTCCATTTCGACCACAACAAATTATGGTTTAATCCATCTTTCATAATCCCACCGATACAAAATACTCGCATGTTGGGTTATATAAACAAAGCATTCAACTGGTTTAGAATGTACCTAGCCTCCTCCGCAGGCATCTCTATATGCATTAAAAAATATATAATAGCCCAAGCCTAATATAAATTCATAAGAGATTTCTGCGGAGGAGGGTAGGATGTACCGTAGGGTATCATTATGGAAACTGCATGAGCTATAGTTGATTCTTTTCCACAAAAAATCACGAACTTACCAATAATGCAAAGGCCTCGTTTAGCCCTGGTCAGAGCAACGTTGATTTGATGTTCGTCCGTCAAAAATCCGAGATGTTCTTTCAGCCATGATCGCGATGCATCTCTTTCAATTTCCCGGAAAGGAAGAGAGCGCACCAATGACAAAATGACGTAGTCTCTTTCACTTCCTATTGGAGAGAAAAATTGAGGGTCTAGCATTACTCAAAGAAAAGGTGTATTTTACAATTATATTTATCATATATTTTATAAGATTATAGACTAGTATATATCATTCAACTTTGACGTAATGGCCTATTTGCCTGTTCAGTATGACGAACGTACGCACATGAAGATTTGCAACCTATTCTTATATACAAGAATTAAAGCTTGTTTAAATGGGTCGGCTAGTAAAATCAGTTAATCTCACAGTGTTTAGAACGGTACGAATTCAACCAATTGAAGCTCTTTTGTAACACGGAAGATTATTCAACAGACTATTCTTGATATTCAACAACTTAATTCATATCTTAATTATCCATATTTAACCGAGACTAGACGATAAGAATGAATTTGAATCATTCAATATTGGTGTATATGTATCTGTTTTTATTAGTTAAAAAATAAGGTATGCAATTGAATGATGAAAACTGAAAATTTCACACACTCACCTTGAGCAGCGACCACAGAACTTACAAAAATATCTTTCAAGCCGTGTTCTTTCAATTTATTGGATATTTCGGAGCATTGGGCGCGATATGGGGACAAGATAACGATATTTTTACAGTCTACTCCCTCGCCAACAAGACGTCGAGCCACGAAAACCTGGAAAAAACAATAGCAGCATACTTTTGAAGAGAGCTAGCATGTATATATCATGGAAAAGATTGTGAATGAAATAAGATGTGATCATATGTATAGGTATGATATTTTAGAAATTTTGCAATCAATAATTATACTTAAATTTGAATGAATAACCAATCTCATTAATCTGTAAAAATACGATCCCCTTTTTTACGACCATCCCTTTTTTCACTTGTCATATATACAATAGATTTTCTTCTCATCGATGTAGGGAACATTTTAGGTAAAAGATAACGTATTGTGCTTAATTAGAAGTTAGGACGCCTTGAATCGCTTTATGATGATGTTTCATGTCTGTTTCATGATGTGACGGTATCACTTACAGTTTTGGCAACTTCTTTCTGATTCTTCTGAGATCTTTCATTCCCTTGTTCAGTGGAGACAACTAACGACTCCTCGACTCCTTCAACATGATGGAAAACAAATGGATAACGATCACCGTTTGGCCATGTGACTTTATCTGTTTCACGATTCTTAACTTCAGGCGCTGTCTTCAATTTATCTTCGTAAAAGAACTTTGATGGAAACTGACATAGTTCCTCGTTCTAATATGTAAAAAAATGATGAATTAGTTTTAAAATCGATGATAAATATCTCAAAAGAAAACTTCAATTGCTTTATATCAAGCTTGCCTAATCATATTTGTCGCCATTAGTTAGTAGAAAACTGAAGTTATTTTTCGCTGTATGCTAACCAGGATGATGGCGATATTTCAGATTTTCAGTATTAAAATATAGTTAAGAACGAGCAATTCAATCATTTCTCACCATTCTGTACTGGATCTCAAGCATATGAGCGCTTTTTGAGTAGCGTTCAAACATTGAAATCCCTAGTCCCAGATCTTTCGCTTTTTCGCATTGAATGATAGGCTGCAGTTGCTTGTGGTCGCCAATGAGAACAACCTGATTCGCGTCTGAACCCAACATCCCGCAAAGCGTTTCGGCCTCGATACACATGCCGCATTCATCAATGATGCATTGAGTTACAAAACCCTCGCATGACGAAAGGATGCGGTTACTATACGTCGAAGTACACGTGGATAGAATCACTTCGACTCCTGACTGGGTGATGGCCCATTTCTCCGCTTTCTCTTTAAGCTGGAAGGAAAACAAGGGAATAAGAGGAAAATGGAAATGTCAGGTGTAATAGCTTCAAGTATCCGACTTCAGTTATATAATTAATTTTGACGATTAAAGAATGCGAAGATTTTACCTTGTTGAACTGACGTATCATTCTCCGAGGCGCGTTCAGTTTCAATTTGATGAGTTCCTTAAAATCTTGATCGTAACCCCTCAATTCTTCTGCAAACGGACACTCGTCACTGCGTATAACATGATGTAACGATACATGTTGAAGATCTTCGTCTGCCTTGAGTTGAGCTGCAACATGCCTCGATCGAAACTCGATGATTTTCTCCGGCACGGGAAAAACTTTTCGTTCGATTTCTTGACCGTAAACCCGCAAGATTTTCAGACCGTTGATTTTCAGGAGGTAACCTAAAGCCAAAAAATATATATGTAAATAAAAATAAATGTATACCCTGCCTGCGACAAGCCTAGCCTCCACACTTGCCCTACGAATCGCACGGATCTTTAATAAAACAAAACATTTTATACCTACGTTAATGATCATGCACAGACAATAGATATGTCCGATTCTTAAAACAACTGTGAATCAGCTTTGATATTGCAAAAAAGCATGCAGGCAACACTGAAGATAGTCATTGCAGTAAATGAATAACTCAACGTGCATTTCATCAATTGAAGTGTGTTTGAAATAATAATAATAATACTGAAGATTTTTTCCGATCAACATTTCTGTGGCAATAGACTATAGCTCATTTTTAAGTAAATCAACATATCTGGCAAGGATGGATTTAAAACAAGTCTTTAAGTCAGTGAAGTCTTCCTTCAAGTCTAAAGGAAGTTTTACTTCATTATAGCAATGAAAGCGAGTTTTTCTTCAATACATACGAGCGACAACGTCAACTGATTTGTTAGAAGGTCCACAATAGAACACCATAAAACCATTGCACTCTTCCCCATCTCTTCCCACAGAAGGCGTTCGTTTTTTGTTCATTTGGGCAAACCAATACGCAATATGGACACCAGTTACAGTTTTGCCTGTACCTATAAAGATCACGCGAGCGGACAGATTATTAGAAAGAATTAAATTTTCCCCTTAAACATGAGCCATTAGAAATGAACCTTTGAAGTCAATTCCTGGATTTGATATACAGTATATTCTCTTGCATGCAGTTTTACCTGGTGGACCCTGAATGAGGGTGAATGCTTTAGTCAAAGCCTGTTCAACTGCTTGGTGTTGGTATCTGTTCAGAGGATTGAAGCCTGGCAAAGTTAAATCCTTACTTGGAAGTTTGCCTCCTGGATAAAAAGTAGATATTGAAAAAAAGAGCGCTTTTAGTTATGGTAGAAATTTTTTAATCTGCATTATCATACACAACCTTGAATAGTACTAAAAGAACAAGTGGGATTTTAGACTTTAGGAAAACATGGAAGCACAAATTTTCCATAAGTTGAACTTTTATATAAGATCGAGCTTTGAAGATATGAAGCTACTTCACATCACAAATGCAAAAATCTTACTTTTAGTAACAACGGACAAATATGAAGCAGCCGAGGAGGGGACAGTTTACATTGTATGTCAGCAATGAACCTGAGAGGGAGAGCTTCTCTTTTCTAGATTTTTAGTTTATAAGTTAAAGAGAACTTGCAATGTATCAATACGAGTCATCTGTAGAAAAATAGCACCATCTCACCGTCATCAAATTCTGCCGTATCTTCACCGGTACAAATATTTTGAACTAGTTCAGTTGCCACAACCGAATCAACGAGAGCTCCAAGACGGCGTCTACAAGAACGAATACAAAGTCTGTGTGTGTGTGCATCTTAAGTTTGATTTAAAATTAATTTCCAATATAACCTAGTTGGGCGTTAAAAAGGCTGCTGACAGGCGACCATTTGATATTAACTAAAGTATAACTGCATGTCGAGACCCAGTCCATACACGGCCGGAGGACTAGCTGCCGTCAGAAATACAATCAATTGAAACAGTATGATTGTCAAGAGCTCCAATTTCCCAGGATTTTTGTTTGATGAAGACCAGGGTACGAGTGTATACAACAGCATAACTTCCAATTTAAGTTGGTGACAGAATTGACCAAACAGAACCGTGTGTTTGGAAGTTAACTACGATTTAACTTCCCTAAATGTAGTTTTATAAATGCGGGCCTTGCCAGCCATTTAGTGTGTCGTAGGGATATCTTTAAAGGGGTATCTTTAACAGCAACAATATTTATGCCCTGGTTATTTTAATCTTGACCAACCTGTCTGGAATGTTTAAAAATATTAACTCCACTGTAACGTAACAAAATAGTTCCGCTAATATTGCCTCGGGAATCGGCGACGAATTGTGTATTAATCGCGCCAAAACGGGACGATATTCTTCGCTCTTTTTATATTTTGCCTTGGAGTTCAATTTCTCATTTATTTTCTTTGCTTTTTGAGTTGAAGTTTTGGGAGCAGATATCGTCGATTCAGGTTCATCTTCACCTGCGAGGTGATCTTCACTTTCTTTGGTACTTTTCTTCTCCAACGCTTCCTCCAGGGTACCCTTGACATCCTTCTTCCTCCTCAATTCCTCGGAAATCTGAAAATGCCCGACCCAGAAGCCGGCGTCTTTTCCCGATTTTTTCTCCGGAACTTTCACACGGACACATAATAGGTTTAAATCTAGCGGTTCGAGGAAGTGATTATCGCAATATTCCAAGGACAAATCAAAATTCATCGTCACCAAGCCTAAAAAACAACATTTAATCTTTCAGGGCTTTCTGATGATTACAGCTTTACAATTTTGTCGGAAACGTCTCGCGAAAATCCCTGAAATTGTACGAGAGTTATGGTGACTTAAAAGGGATAATTTTTCTATGGGAAAGTATATTTCTCCCTCTAAAACGTTTGAGATTTGTTCTTCATTCTAAATTAAGTTCATTGCACAGCTAACCCAGGTGATAGTGGCGATTTTAGAAACGTTTGACACTTCTAGCGTTTATGTTTCTCGACAAATTACATTTTCAAATGCAAATGCAAAAGCCGGAAAATGGTACAGCTGACCGCGGAACAACGAGTTTTTATTGTGATATTATTCCAACAGAGTTCTTAGGCATTCAAATTCTAACAATTACATTGTTATGGGTGATTTCAATAATAGTTTTCGTTTTTTTTGAGACACCCTGTACTGATTCCTCCCTACTACTGGAAAAACTGCGGTGACTAATGCTTTTCAGTACTCAAGACTTAGCACCAGGGCTGTGCAACGAACTAAAAATGAAGGACAATTCTACATTATCGAGCCACATTAATGAATGCGAACGGGATAAAATTTAATTTACCTGAGGTTTCGACACGCGCAAAATTTACCCGAAGATTCGACAAAGTGATGACGTTATTCTCCCGCACTGCTGACGTAGCGATTTCCATCATAAGGACAGGTTTCCAGAGCCTCACGTAATTCTCGATGTCGGAAAACTTGGCGGTTTTGTTCGGTCGCCTGTGCGAAGTCTTCGCGAAGCAAGTAGTCGGAAAGCTTCGGTGCTCAACGCAAGCGTGTATCTGATCGGTCAGTTTGAAAAGTTGTATGGCAGGCGAAAGGACACCTCTGGTCATTTGGGGACATATTTGAACCTTGACTCGTTCGTAAGGCCTGAAAGACTTGGTAACTTCGTAAAAACCGTCCGTTTCTTTTTCAGACGGTTCTGGTTTGCCAGTATTTGGATGCTGATAAAAAGGATTACGCACATGTGGGTCTGGTTCCGGGTCAGTTTCCAATCTTTTCAGAAGAGACACTTTTGTAGCACTTCTGTGAGGCCTGTAGATAGATCAAAATTACAGTAACAAATATTGATAGGCAAAGCTTCATTCTAGTCATATGAATTACAGTATCTGAGTTAACAGAAATGGCTTGACTTTTCTTAATAGACTAGTTCGATTATACTACCTTCAGGGTGGCACATTCAAGTAATTATTTGGAAAAGGGTTGGCTGAACATTACTTAACGATGGATTTTTAGACGTTTTCGTGGGGATGGGGCAACACACTCCTTATGTGCGCCAATTTGAGGCGCATGCAAAGTAAGTTTATATGTTCCCGCAATACGCTTTAACTTACGCTTGTATTTGAACGTCATCATCAAGTTCCTTAAGGCGAGCCTTCAGCTCGTCTTCATTTTCATTCTTGACTGCATCCAAAACTGAACTCCATTGTTTTCCACTCACAGTGTAGTCAAAGTCATCATCTGCTACTTCGTCTGTATAGGACGGATCTTCATCCAAACAAAACAAATTTCAAGGTAAGTGACATTAAGGCCAGCGGGAGAGCAATCGAAGACGTTTAAGGGATGCTTTGGCATTTCAAGAAAAGTTAAAAGCCAACCAAGCCTTATTCTAACAAAGTCATCTTCCACTAAAAATCGAGGATCGAGCCATGATGTTATAAAATTCGAGATAAGCATATAAACATTGAAATGACATTTATGGCATATTCACATACGCGATTTACAAACGTGCTAAAAGTTTAATCTTAGTCGAAAACAATTCTCATTCCAGCTACCACTGTTATCAAAACGCTAATTGACCAAATTGGAATTATGACAATTCGATTAATTCATCGACTCATTTAGGTTACGTTAGACTCAATTCCAAAGTAGCTACTTTGAAGATATAGGATACCTTTCGCAACGTTATAATCTGCCGGAAAATCATTTCCCATGCAGCGAGTACAAATTTAAATTAAAACGCTTTAAAACAATTATAAAATATAGTTAGCATGAAATACTTTTTACTCTACACTGGATATAATCAACGCCCCAACCACAGATTTTATTCACCAACTTACCTTCTGATTGATTTTCTAGGGTCTTCTCAAGCTCTTGAGATTTCTCGTCGTGAGGGAAATCTGGTTTGGGTTGAGCCGTGCCTTGCTTGTCTATGCGCAAGAGACGGAATTTCCAATGCAACGCAATGCCATCGCCTTCTGGTTTCGGATCTTTATCGGGTCCGAGTCGTGCAATACGGAGTGACTTGTTACGAAGCCGTTCCATTTTTCCTGGACCAAAAAACAAATTCAAGCTGTCGGGCGTAATTTCGTCAATATACGCGGAAACAAATTTCGAGGAGCTTTTTAACTTTACGGCCAGTTTAAGTTTCTTCGCTTCGCGGTCAAAACGACTGGAATTTCGGGTGAGAAACGTGCAACGGTCGCAAATGGTCGTAACGTCCTCGGGATCCATAACGTTTCGTTTGCTCTCTAGGCTAGCCACAACCAAACGATGGACAATAATGTCTATATAACGACGGATGGGTGAGGTGAAATGACAGTAAGCGTCCAGACAAAGACTTGAGTGTCCCTTCAGTACAATCCTCAAGTCATCAGCATCAGATGAACATTGAGCTGCTCTGTTCGTGGCATCATTTTCGTGGCTCGTGGTATCCACTGCGACTGGTGTTTTATCCTGCTTTAGACTTGTAGAATCTGATTGCAAATTTGGCGAAGAATCGAAATATGCGTTCGAGGATGGTATACCATTTGTGGCATTTGTTTCAAGATTTTCTGAGCTGTTTTCGCTGTTTGCAGCCCTCGGAATGTTCACTGACGCTTCTCCATGCTTGGGCCAAGGGTATGGGATATTCCCAAAATCATCTCCTGAACAAATATAACTACCGCGCTGTTGTATTTGTTGTTGGTGCATGTTGGCAAGCGATAGTTGAGGAAAAAGATCAAGATCACAAATAACTTTAACCAAATCTTGGAGATTCGAACCTCTTCGTACTTCGCTCATTATTGCATTCCACGTTTGGAATGGGACCATGAGATCGATATTCTCATCATGGACGACACTGTTCGTATCTTCCCGCCATCCGAGCCCGAACGAAACGCTGAGGAATTTTTGAAAGCGTTTTTTCCACTCAACAACTTTGCGCGTCTTAGATGGTGGTTGTACACGAAGAGGTGTGCATTCGGGGAATCTATTCAACAAATATTTTGCTACCAAATGGTTGGCCAACACCATTACCTCTTCGATCATTTGATGAGCTTCTCTTTCATTTCCACCACCTTCATGATCATTATCTTGATCATCATCATCATCATTACCATCATCATCATCGTCGTCATCATCATCACTTTTTCGATAGTACATTGATCTCTCTAATCCCAGCCGTGATCTTCGATAACCTTTGGCAAAACGATGGACAATACCGATAGCTTCGTTGACTGGTATTTCTTTTGCCTTAAAAAGAATGAGTGGAAAAGTGAAAAAGATGCATAACGAAACTCTGACAATGAAAACTGGGAACAAAACAGATATGTGAGAGCCCGTTGCCGTCGTTTGACTGTATTTTAACTCATTTGACTGCCCTCGTTATATCTTATCATCATGGCTTACCTCGAGGTTGGTAGCGACGTCTGTTTCGCTTGAATCATCAATGATTTGTTGTGCTTCAAGATAACTCAACCGAGAACTCGAGCAGATCACGCTTCGCTCCATTTTCGCGTCACCGATAACTTTCCCATCAGACGTCACCTCAACTTTTACCGTAAGGACGAGGCGATCCTTTCCTTCCAGTAGACTACAACAATTTTCGGAAAGTCTTCGGGGAAGCATCGGAACATTCTCGTCAGGTTTTGGAGGATAATAGCTCGTACTTCGTAACAGAGCCTCTTTGTCTAGATTCGTATTCGGCAGGACGAAAAACGAAACGTCGGCGATATGAATGCGAAGCTCGTAGTTGCCGTTTCCAAGAGACCGCAGACTGATGGCGTCATCAAGATCCCGAGATTCCGGTGGATCGATAGTAAACACGTTCTCGCGGTACGCAGGGCGGCCTCTTTCGCTCGGTGGCACCTGCCAGTTCTCGCTGAATTTTTTCTGAACTGTATCGCGTATTTCCCTATGAAATTCTTTTTTAATATTGTGCTCTTCGTAGAGGACATCCATGCCTGTCCTGAAGTCTTTACCGTGGGGAATATGCCGTATAGCTAACCCAAGGGGGGTGGGACAGTCTTTACGCCATTTCAACAGTTTCAGAACGAAAAGACGTTCACCAGCCAGAGCAGCATTGTAAGGCTTTCCCTTCAAGATGCTCGCCCTAACAACCTTACTGCCTTCCATTGTGTAGATGGGAATGATGCCTTCTTCATCTGTTTTCGTAAAATTCATTAGTCTTGGGACGTTTTTGTTGATGGGTACCATCATACCAGGATTCGCCCGATCAACTGTGCACACAAACTGGCGTTCTTTAGGTTTGATGAGTTGCCTCAAAACACCTTTGGAATGAGAGAAAAATTGAGTGAACTTCACCTGTACTAAAAGCTTTCCAATAACACGATTTCATTGATCAGAAAGAAACTTTGTTAGGATCTTCTCTGAATGCAGAGGTCTGACTAGTATGACTATTGAATAAAAATCCCCCTTTGATTAATTGCTGAATAATGGAGAGTAATTTTCGTTGAAATAACCATTACAGTGATCATGGAAAGAAATTTTTGAGTATCAAGATTATGAAATTTGCGTAGAAATAGTTTCCATAATAATAAGAGGGGAACTGTATGGATTGTTTATTGTAAAACATTTCAGTAAACTTTTAAGCGAATCTTACCTCGTATATATCCAACATACAAAGTTTCTTGTTCTCGTCCATCCCCGCTTCGCAGCGTAGCCCTCGGTTGTAGCTCGAGTACAACGACATCGTCCTCGTAAACACCTCGGGCACGGCCGGGAATGTGAATATCAGGACTATCTGGTGTTGGAAGATGACCGTAATGTCGCGGAGGCCGGCTACTGTTGTCGGTACGGAAACAGCATTTTGTAAAACGAGTTTGATTTCCCTGAAGCAACTTTAGCAATTCCTCCCTTGGAAACTCGTCTACATTACAACAAAAACGATTCAGAGATTTTAGATGAAGATTAAAAAACAACAAACTTTTCAATTTTTTTAGATGAAATACATCAGCACCATCAGTAAATATTAACTTACTCTGAATATTGAAAAAATGTATAATATATAGAGTTTGCTTTGAATCATATAGTGAACATTTTAGAATTATAGTGACATTCTCTTCAGCTCAAATATTTTCATGCGCATTATGAGAAAGGTCTATTGACGGAGACCAGGCTCATTTGGGCTCGGTTTCGGATTTCAAATAATTATTTGGAACACGAACTTAGACTCTTGAATTTTGGAAAACGAACTTGAATTTTGCAACAGGACTTGGAGTCTTGATAGATTCGTGCACAACCCTGCCGCTTACCAATATCATGATGTGAAGATTCCCTGTCACCGCTTTCCTTGAAAGTCATCCTTCCACCGGTGAGACGAACGAGTCGATCGCTATCTCTGACATGAAAACCCAATTCAATTTTGCCGTCCCTCAAACCAGCTGAGAAGGTTCGATTAATGCTTTTAACAGGCCAGCTCGGGGCGGAGGTTTTAGGAAAGAGGTCGACGTCATTAAGTGCCGGAAATTCATTGGAAGTCACCTTTTGCTTGTCTTCGTCTTTCTCTTTCGTTTCTCGACATGCTTTTATAAGTTCTGTTATGATTCTATCATAGTTATCATCGTCATCTCTACGAAAGAATTCGTCTGTTGTATATTGGTTTGTACCCGAGTCATCTTCGTCCTCGTTCTGCCCTTCATCGATCGCTAGAAAGAGTTGGTAGATTAATTGGTTTTCTACGAAAGTAAATTAAAGTAAATAAAATTCAAATTGAAGTTGCAGTTAAACTAAGTTAAAGCGAGCTAGCTCAACGCAACAAAGACTTAGCAATGCCCCGGTTCATCAAAACTCAAATCAGTTGGGTTATACAGAGCTCGACTTAACATTATTTAACCCAAACTACGCTTTAACTCTGCTAAACCTAAGTTATAAACAAACTCTAAATCCAACGAAAAAGGATTGGAATCAACCCGCGCACTGATCACGTCAAAATAAAAAACTCAACTAACGACCCCACTTACCCCTATTATCATCATGGTTCTCATCATTCCCCAGCAAATCACCCCCGCTATCAACTTCAGTGCTTTCATTCCCATCAAGACTATCAACATCAGGTTGAGAAGCTGGTTTTATGTCCTGACTGGGCATTGTAGTTGAACTGGATGGTTGGGTATCATATGAAGACGTTGCAGGAGCGTTATTCATATCAGTTTCTGAAACAGTTCTTCCACTCACAACAATGTTCTCTTCACCTTAAATTGTCAGAAAAGTCTTTAAACTAAAATTCTTGAAATGTGTGACCAAAAACTCACGGTTGACAAATTTCCCCTGGTTTATGAGATTCTAAATTGTGACGTTAATTTGAGCTTGCCTACACATCTAAAGTGAGGTGTCTATACTTGAAAAATAAAGTATGCTGCATTCGGTCCGATGAGACCAATAATATTGCTTTACCTTTTGAGGATGTGCTTTTTGAAGTATCCTGTTTTCTATTATTTGCAACCACACTAGGTGTAAATTCATGCGCGCTCGGGTCAAGGGGCTGGGAGCGAAGACAGAAGTCCATAACAGTCTTAAGAGTGCAGCCGTGAAGTCCTTCATTTTCTTCGCAGCGTCTGAGATAATCTTTCCACAAATCTCTGCACGCACCCACACTGCATAGCGACATCGGATCTCCGACGACTGCGAGCAAAGACTGAGCACGAGTCACGGCAGTGTTCAAAAAACGTGGATCGGAAAGAAATCCAAAATCAAGTTCCGAAGGATTCGAGTTTCGTCCTTCAATCACCGAACAAGTTTACATCGTTCTGACCGTGCTAATAAACAGCGCCTTGAATTCCTTCCCTACAACAATAAAGTATTCAATCATTTTTCTCCTGAGTCGGGCGAATAAAATCCAACCCGTTGAATATACACGTCAATTAGGTTTTAAAGTCTGACAAAAGGTTTTCAACATCATGTTTAGTACAAAACTGTTGAGTGAATTCATTGAAATGTATAGTGCTTGTTAGCCAACGGAAATCTACCACACAGACCGTTCTCAGCTACATTACTGATTCGGTCAGTATATAGTAGCGAAATTACATTATAGAAGTATTTTAGAGAAAGAAAATACTTCTTTACCTACCTTGAACGTTTTCAACCGTTTCAACATCAACGTCACGAAGCCGACTTTTTCGTAAGCCCTCTCGAATTCGTTTCACCTAATAAACGGAAAGAAAGTTACTGAGCCCCTGAATTGCAGTTCTCAAAACTTCGCTGACAATAAATCAATAATTTTGCGGCAACAATTAATTTGCGAAGTGGAATTTCGGTAGATGAAAATAACCATAGCATTGAAAATAGATGATTACCAGGGGAGCCTAGGAGGGGGCATTTTGCCGTGGGTTAAAACAGTGCTCATCAAATTATACTGATTATACAGGCACTCAGGCAGAAGAACATCATGCGCATTACCTGATCACGGTATGGCGTGAGAACCCCAATACTTTTCGCTGGCCAGTCTTTTGGCAAGATATCGACAAGTTCTTTGACTCTTGCCACTACTTCATCAACCTCAGCGTCGTTATAATACGCCAACCCCTCTTCAACTCTTTGATCAACACCTTGGGCAGTGTAAAACGAGAGAACTGGTTTATTATCGAGGGTACTCTGGTCACCTTTGGCAACCAATTCGCCACCGTAAAAGCAGTCGGACGGAAACTTAAGAATCTTCTCGTGACAGCGGTAGTTTTCGCTGAGTAAGACTACATAAGGTGTCCCAACGTGAGTGGTGTCATTATTGGCTTGCTGCGACAAAGAGCTTGACTCGTAAGTAGATTTGTAGTCTCGTTCGTAATGTGCAAAAAGTCTTTGAAGAAGAGATATCTCTGGACCAAACTCCTCGGGCCACAGCCATTTTGAAAAAGCTCGCGCCCCCATCTATGATGATAAGCATAAATATTAGCGTGGATTAGATTCGTGACAGTTGTATAAATAAGTAGTTAAAGGTGTGGTTTGTGCGAAAACAAAATCTGGGAACTTTGTCGTTAGCCAAAATTTAAATGCTTTACGGTCAGTTCCCCGAGGATGATAGGAAAGTAAGATGCAACAAGGATATGCTGGTTGAAAATTTTAATTAAGTACTTAGTTGATAGAAAAATAGCATATCTATATTTTTATCTCTTAACGAATACTTATGCACCCACCCGCGGGTTAATTCAAGGCGACCTGAATGTAGCTTTTATTTACTTATTATTACCTGTTTGTGGTCTCCCGCCAAAACAATCTTTGTATTTTTATCAGCTATTGCAAGCGGGATCAAGCACTTAGATTCCAGGGCCTGCGCGGCTTCGTCAACTAAGATATGCGTTAAATGCAATTTTCCATTCTGATAGAATTTCCACAGCACACGAGCGGTGGCCAAAGTTGTTATAATGACGTTATTGTCACGAATGTCATTCCACGTTGATTCCCGTATTTCATCAGCTTGTTTCAGAAAAAAGCAAAACGTTAGACGTCTGGCAGAAAAATTAATAAAACTAGAGAATTTCCATCGTAATATCCTGAAACGACGACATCATAGACGTACTGGCAGCTGGGGGGCAGCTGCCCCTCAAGGGGCATAAACAAATTTAACATTTTCTAAACATAGATATTCCAACAAACAAATTTTTCACATGCGGTTTGCAAAACGTTTGCTCCGTCTACCTCTCTTAAGCCGCGTTTACACTATGTGGTTTGACCTGGCCTGGACCAGGCCTAGACCTAGGTGTTAACGTTATTTATTATTTATTTAAAATAATTCACAGTCTGTGATTGGCTAATAGCCATGTGTGAAATCGTCATATCCAACGTGTGACGTCATAAGGTGTGATACGACCTTTTTTAGTGTGATAAATAGTCGTATCCCACGTTTGACGTCACACGAATGGCGAAGACATCAACACAATGGCTTCCTCAAGTGAAAGGTTCGGCAACTTTGAGGACGAATACATGTTCGTTCTTTTAAATAAATGATAAAACTTTTATTGAATTCGGTTTTCACATGATATGAAGAATTATCAAGTCTCAGTTTGTCATTATCAACCTCAGCCTTCGGCCTCGGTTGATAATGACACACTTCGGCTTGATAATTCTCCATATCATGTTCAACCTCATTCAATAATTGCTAATTATCTGGCCTAGATCAGGCCAGACCTAATAGTATGATCCATACTAGTATTACCCCCTTTTCGTCGTGTTTGGAGATTTGTTCCAAGCATTTTGTCGATTACTTTGGCTATCCGATATCATCAACAACGAAGACAGTGTGAACGTCTTACATATTACCTAGACTTGTCTTAGATCCGGTTCAGGGTAGGTCTAGGCTTCTAGTGTAAACGCGACTATAAACGTACAGACAGAAAACCATTGTTCGCAGGACCTTTTGAACAGGCATCCACATTTACCTTTAATATTACAGTATCTCCGTAGTTCTGGAGGAACAGTCCGGATATTCCTGTAAAGTGGGAGCACTCGCATTGGTCGAATCCGTAAGGATGGTTTTTCTTTTATCTTTTCATGTAAATATTCCAGATGAATGTCAGCTGCGCTGTTTGAATTGGTGCAAATAAGAACTTTATACCGTCCTGGTTGGTTGAGAATTGACATACAAGCGAGGCTGAGGGTGAATGTTTTCCCAGTACCAAACGGTCCTATCACGAGAATAGGCGGAGTAGGATTGGGATCGAGAATCATCGCAATCGCTTCGTGTTGATTGTCGTTTGGTTTTCGGTCCATAAACCAATCAGATATTGACCTCTACGCAATTAAAAAAAGTGCCGATAGAACATAAAATAGGAGCTTTTTTATGAAATTTTTAACATGGTGATTTATTTCTCACCTTGTACTTATACGACACATTCTTTACATTTGGAAGAAGAATGTCAGTTTTGTGTTTACACATATCAACTGCTTCATGCATTTCACACAGCGGAAGACGGTTGTATCTGAATTTGAGGTCAATTTGAACAACTTGGTCTTTGGAAAATCTATAATCTTTGCATAACATCTCATTCAATTTTATAACAACAAACTGAGAAGTCTTTGATTGAATGTAACATTCATATACTTTCTTGCTGTGAGATTTTCCCATCTTTAGCCGCAAGACCACAGACATTACCGAGCGGGTAATAATATGGCCGGCAACTTCGTCCATAACAAGATAATCAGATAAATAGATTTCTCCAAAAAATTCACCAGGTGCCGCAAAAACTGTTGATTCAGCGCTAGCGAAGTTGTTTACAACTTTCATTTCGCCGTCCTGTATATCGTATCTAAATAGTGTCAAAGCCATAAACAACAATTATCAATAAGATTATCGATTATATCATTACCATTATCATTATAAAGACATTATCAATAACATCGTCGTGAAAAATATCATCATAACCATTAACAACAGTATCATCTTCACAACCATTTTCATTGCTTTCATCACCATTATGATGAAAAACATTGATAAAATAACGAGTCAATATCATTGATAACATGACCTATGACCTAACAAAACATAAAACACGGGGCAAAATGTAGAGAAAAGAACTTACCTTGCGACCGCTTCTTGAATGTGCTGTTCCTCAATAAACAGGATTTTGTGCCAAAGATCGCAGTATGTTCCACGTGTAAATGAACAGTTTTCAGGTACACTCGAATCATTTGGAATACTATATTGCTGACACAAACCATCCGAATCCAACTCCACTAATTCTTTACACAGAACTAATTCCACTTGTTCCATCGACCATTCAGCGATGCGACAGTATGTTGAACGTGAAGAAGACTTCTCTTTGGAATTATCTTTGCTCACAACTGACACGAAGAGTGGACGGGCAAGGACATTATCTTTGCCAAAATCAAATACTAACTTCTGTTCGAAATCACCAAAAACGCCGGACGAGAATTGAACACAAAATTGTACTGCCGACTCATTTCTAGCGATGTCTTCAACAAAATCCTCCTCACGAAAATGAACGCTTTGCAGGTTTAGGGATTGCCTTTGCTTTCCACTGCGGCGTAGGAATTTGAATTTATCCAAATGGGTCTCGAATAGAAAGGCTACTTGGTTTAGCGGTGATTGACGCATTCCCTGTTAGTGTGAAGACATTGTGAATCATTAATTGTGTGACTGATTACCTTTTCCGATCACCGAAATGGAACTACAGACGTCTTGGAGAATGTTCTAAAGAATGTTGCGAGAATGAATAAAATAATGATTTTTTACCTGAATTCGAACATCAATTATCCACTTATGGTCGACTTGCGAACCATCGACTTTTACCAATTTTAGTTTCCATCCTGAATCACAGCTCACAGTTACACCAGGAAGCTCTTGCTGGAGCTGAAAGTGAAATTATAGCAATATATTCAAACGTACAATTCACAAGAAGTTTCAAATGGAATACAATCTCGTATTTGTATTTGTTCCAACACATCGGTTGCAATTATATCATTTGTATGACAATTCAAACTAACCACACGATGCGGTCCTTCACGTTTGATTTTGCGCCAGAGTTTTTCACTGAAACCTTCTTTCAAGAGCTGTTTTTCTTCAAGCTGTGTGAAATGGCACGTCTGTTCGTCGTATAAAGCTTCCCAGTAGTCACGCTCTGCCTGGCCGTGTGCGAAGGTACAGTTCTTCTCGAGGTAACAGTAACCTTCCTCAAACCTATGAAATGAATTACTTTTGCAAAGAAGGACGTTTTCAGCGAAAGATAAATAACAATATAATCGCTAACCACTCTATATAACCAGGGTGCAAAATATCATTGCCTGTGCATAGCATATTTCTGTTTCCTGTGAAAATTGGCGCTCTCTTTTCTTAGACAAATATGCAGGCAGAAGTGCCCACTCTAATGAATTATCATACATCCTTGTCATACAAACTAAAAATATGAACATCACAGCCGAGGGACACATTGTATGCAGAATGTATACATAAGAATTGAATTTCTAACCTGCGACACACTTTATACCGGCCCATATAAACGCCATCGGGTGGTGGGCGAAATTTCGTAGCAGACTTCGTGTGAAGTTTCTTAGTGAGTCTTATCACATTAACCCTGTGCTGAGCATCTGAATAATGATGTTCGAGCTCTAACTGGGACGGAAACATTATGTTGCAAAATCTGCACCGTAGCTTTTCTTGTCCCATAACGGACGAAATGGTGTCGAAAGCGAAACTGGACTCCTTCAACTTTTTCTCCAGACCTTTGAAGGTAACGATAAGATTGAAGCAATTCGAGTGTAGAGGTAGCCGGGTTTTTATAGTTAAATGAGTTAAACATTCCAATCGAGCAATAGATTCTTATCACTGTTATCTCACTTTATGCATACATGATAATATTCTATTATTATACCTGAATTTAATCCCATTTGAAATTTCGTTGACCCCCCAACTGTAATCCAACCACCCAAATCTTCACCTATTGTTGTTTTTTCCGATTCTTCATTATTCTGGACGTCTTTGCCCGTCAAACAAACGTCGTCTTGTATTTCATCATGTAAAAATAAGGAGCCTTGACTTGATTCGTAGAAGGTGTCTTGGGAAAAGAAAAAGGACGAGTATTCTGAATTCGAATCAAAGTCCTCAGACTCAGACTCAGCAGTTTGCCAGTCGCCTGAACTCGAAACATCGTATGGACTTGAAAAGGATTGATTAGAATGGTGTAAACTCAAAGAATCGGTTCTGGAATGACGGCCATTAGTAGTTTCGGGTACTTCCTGTGCTGGATTGCCTGGATACCAAGCTGCATGGGTAGTTGTGCTTGTCCAAGTTGTGCTCGAGGCTGTGTTTCGAGGCTTCATTCCTACAAGAGCCAAGTCAAATACACCAAAACTAGTTCCATTCATTCATGCATGATATTAGTGATACTTATTCTACTCAGAGGCCTTTTTAGCTTCAACCGCTATAGTGGTTAAGTCTAAAATGTTTAACGAGTTCACAAGTTTTGAACTTTTGTTTCAAAGCGATATTGATTACAATGTTCAAAATACTTAGCGATTTCATTTCAGCTTACTTAGATATATCATCTATTTGCCTAACTCATTCTCTCTAGACTTTAGATTTAGATTAAGAATGAAGAATCAGGTTTGAATGGGAAAAAGTTGCACTCATCGTGTCGTCAAAAAAATATTTCATTGCTCAAATAATTTACTTGATAATACGCACCGTTTAAACGAAATAGGTCCCAAATTTCAACATCATCTTGTCCATGAGCAAACCTACACGGTATCTTGACACATGTTTTGCCCTGCGCATAATGCCTGCATTGTAGATAAGAACCTGATACGCCATCCGGAGGCTTTCGTGGTTTGACCCAATTGGTTGTGTTAATTTTTCTATACCAGACGACCATTTCGCTGTTACATGAATGACATCGAGCGCCGAGTGACACCGAAAAGACACGGGGGGTGTTACAAGTTGGGCAAACACGTCTAAGACGTGATTTACTCCGAAGAACGTGGTCGAAATCAGTTGACATGTCATTTAGCGTTGACTGAGGATCTTTAACTAAACAAGAAATGTGCAAAGTACATGTTACAAACTTACAGTGCCGAGAGTAGAATGATGTTGTTCCTACCTCCCAAGGGGGGATGGGGGTTGTTGTTTGTAAGCTATTTGATACGATACGATTAGGAATGGACATCCAGTAGTAGTCTGTGAGAAGTTCACGTGTGTTTTTATAATTGAGTCTTAGGATATGTATCTATTGTACACAAGAAATCCTCAGAGAATTTCTAATCTGATCAGTCTAATCTTACCAAGGCTAGATCCCAATCGGAGAGAAATCGTTCACTTGTAAAATGTTTGCCTATTTTCTTTTTAACTGAGTTCATGCAGTCGAAGTTTAGCTAAATTAAGGCCCTCAAAATTTGTTAGTTAACTCACCTTTCGTTGTCTTCATATTTGATGCATCAACACCTTTGCTACCACTAGAGCTCTTTGAAGATCCTTTTTGAGCACGTTTCTACAGAAAAAAGCGATGAAAAACAATATCCTTTCTCTTAGCTCTAACGTTGAACTGGTAGAAGCAAGTTCGGCTGCTACCCGTGCTTTTCTTACATTACTCGTCTGTTTCTTCTTCATTTCCTCCTTTTTGGCTCTTTCCAGCTTTCTCTTATGTTTTTCTTCTTCTTTTCGTCTCTCAGCTTCGTCTGCTAAAATTTTCCTAAATTCTTCCGCCTTTTCTTCCCGTTCTTTTTTCTTGCGTGCTTCCAGCTCCTGTTGCCTTTTAAACTTTTCTTCCTGTTCTTTGCTAGCCTTCTCAATTTCCTTTTTTATCTCCTAAAATTAAGGCATAATCATTGCAGATCGACTTTTGATCGATCGTTGTGTTGACATATCACGTTTACAATACAGAACTCATAACCGCATTTACTATATCATACCTCCTGTCTTTTCATATGCTCTCTCATCAACTGTTTCTTTGTCTTCTTAACGACCTAGACAGTTCAACGTCAGTTGCCAAATATCATTACATTTGAATTTCACCATAACGACAAGTGAAAAATCGTGAGAATGATTTTTTTATTAGTTTTGTATTTGAAAAAAGCAGAACGAAATAGAGAGACGTCGTTCATTCTCTTAGTACTTTTAAGGGCATCATATATCTAAACCAGTCTAATGTTTTAGGCACTGTACATGTACTTTAACATAATTTATTACGATACTCTTCTTTTTTACCTTTGGTGGCTCAGGTACCGGTTTAGGGAGAACAACAGTTTCAACATTTTGTTCGATTCCACCAGTAGCTTCATCTAACTTGTTCGTCTAAAAAAGCGAAAAAATATTATTGAATTTATTGAGAAGCTCCTTCACGAATCTATTAAAGGAAAGTAAGTATACAACTGATTGCAACTGTACGGGCTCTTGTACCGCTAATTTTAGGCTAAGACAGTCGGATAACCCATTGTTCTTGACTAACTTACGAATAAGCTAAGTTCAGATTCAGCTCGATTAAACCTGAACATTAAGTGTAAAAAATCCTCAAAAGTCTTTGCGAATTGCGGTGCCTTTGAGGTTCCGTTCACCAGAAGACATAAACATGCAAATGTGTATTATCGATTAGGGGAGTACTACAGCCTAATTTAGGAGGAAAATTGGTTGAATAACATTATATACTTACCTCATCACTTGTCCCGCCAACATCTTTGTCCCTCTCTTTGAGTTTTTCATCTGATCTCTTAGTCAATCTCTACAAAATTCATTTTAGAAACAGGATTTACTTGAAATAAACGGAAGGATGTTTAGCACTCAGTTTAATTTATCTTACATAGGGAAAATTCGACGAACAAGTTCATAAAAAATAAATCGCACATCAATAGATGTGGATAAACACTGACTATATATATAAAATAGCCCATTTAAAAGCTTCACAATGTCTCGACTAAAGGAGATCTGCTAAGGATAGCGAAACTAACTCTTCAGGCGAAGGTCCTTACACTGAAACTAATTTAGGCGCTTGTTATACCACATTTCACGAGGAATCATTCGTAGGCGCTGCAACTTTTCCCTCGGGTTGTTTTTAAATCGGAGGTCACTAGATCCGGCATATCACTCTAGATCTCACCTCGTTTCTAGTCTGACCAATGTTTACAGATGCGCAGCCTGTCACATTCGTTTTCCCACTGGATGCTTTGGTTAGATTCTGCAATTATTAAAGACGAGAAAATACTTTATTCTTTCATGATGATGCGGGCATGATCCAATCGTGAACGAATTTTTGACATTGAAAATCATTCAATCAATAGTAGATCAGTTGACCATTACAGATTACACGACAAACCGCGAACGCAATTAGATGTATGATTTTACGCTTCCGAAACTAAGTTATAAGGCACGTGTATTTATAATATATTAGCCTATACACGTGCACGTGCAATATATTATACACCTGATATTTGTTGTAATGGATCTAATCTAAGGGATCTAGGCATAGGTCCGTTGTAGATTCGAACAATAATAGCTAATAATGCAATAAAGTATCAAAAATATTAAGTATATATATAAGTATTGTTCCATAGGCTTCTCCTACAGTTTCGCAATAGTTCCACTACAGCCTCAAATAAAAGAACCTTTCTGCGCAACTCCGAAACTTGCAAATCGAAATATATTAATCAGGAGTAGCGATTCTTGAAGTAGAAAACCAAACGCACCTTCTTTACTTTCTTCTTCGCGCTTGTCGTCTTGCCCACCTGCCTACTTCTTTTAAGTGATCTGTTTATTTCTTTCAGCTTCGTTGAGAAATGGGGAACCTAAAAACACACTTGAGTTGAGTTGAATGGAGCTCCGTTTAATAGTTCATAAAAAGAACGGTGCACTTACACGTGGAAACGTTTCCGCCAAAGTTGAATAAAGAGCATAAGCCTCCTTTAATTTACCAATATCAATATATTCATCAATCGTTGCACATAATTCATCAAACTCGTCTACGTCACTAAGACGAATTGCTAAAAATATAGGAATTACAATTTTTTGGTGATTTGTGATTGTGCTATGGAGGCAAGCACAAAAATTATTATCAATTTGTCTTTAGGCAGCAATTCAAAAATGAGCTAACGATTCATAATGCCTTTGATATCAAGCTGGTAAATCAATCTTTATTTATTTAAAGATGATCAGTTGTTCCATCGTCACTCTAAAATATATTTCCTTACCTTTTCTTAAAGGGCTTATTGCAAGATCAAAACTTTTCTAAAAATATTACATAAATATTACAATTATTGAATATGAAAAATTGAAGTTATTATATATACGATGTATATCATACGATCAGGGAGGGAATACGCGTTTCATAGTTTCATACAGGGGGAGGGAGATTATTTATCAACATTAATCTAAAGCCATATGTTACATGTATACTGATAAAATACTCGATACGTACGAGCATGACATGGCACTGCGCTTCCCTAATAAAACAGACAGCAGAACTGGGCCAGAAATGACAGGCTTCTTTGAAGAAGTTGAGGGCAATCTTGGTTTTTCCTCTTGCGAAAAATTGATCACCAGTTTGCATAACCACATTGATGACGTACGTATCCAGCCCAAACATAATCCACTGCAAGAAAAATTATTCAAATCGGTTTAACTAACCTGAAATTGATATTGCCTATGAACTATACGACCAAGGTAGGTTGTCCTATGAGTACTGTTTTAAAAACAAGAGATTCATACGGTCCCTCCCCTTATATAGGGTCGCAGACATTGATATTTTAATTCCTTTCAAATGTATACTCAAAAGTAGATTGTCTTCTCAAAAGTGCATTTCGTAAATTTGACTTTATCTATTGACAAAGCTATTACTGTTACCACGACTATAAACATTTAACACGGCACTCCTTGCCATTTTTTTCGTGAAACTTACTAACGCCTGTCAGGCTGTAGTCAAAAAGCTCACTCACGCACGCTCACACTCTTTGAGTGTGACATAGAAATTTTGTTATTACTGATCAATGAGAAAGTTTCCTAGTCAATGAAAAGATTTAAAGTAAATTAACATTGAAAATCAAGCTATATATTGTTTGACTGAAAATACCGCCATGGAAAAGTTATGAGAATATTGCGAATTGCGATTTCCCACTCAATGAGTGAGCTTTTAGAATACAGGCGTAAAACTATACGTTTCGAGGACCGCTAAGTACGTACTAATATAGACTTTAAAAACAAAACATTTAGGCCTAAGCTTTATACTTTTGTTGAGAACTTCCTGAGAGGATTTACCTCGACCGAATCCAATCCCTCTTTAATAGCCTTTCGACAATGAATGAATCTTGCCATATCGTATGGGTTCTTTATTGCCTGAAAGGTCAGAAATGCGACTTATTTACTGTATTTTGTTAATTTTAATTGTACCACAATCATATACTGGCAACTTCTCATACTGACAACTTTGTCAAACTAATAAAATCTTTTCCGCAGAGCGACTTGACTGAAAAATACTGCGATTTTCTAAGTTTGCTAATTGCAGTAAATGCGAAATTCTGGCTTGAATAGAAGCTATAAGAAGAGTATTTTCCTGCGGAGAAAGCAGCCTTTTTTATTCACATACCCCCTGAGAGCGCATTATAGTTCCAAAAACAAAACCATCGAGAATTGTTTCGAACTGAGACATCCCGTCAACTATAAACTCGTTACCAGGGACAGGCCAGATGAGAGCACAATTTGTAAACTAAAAAGCATCAAAACAGAAAATTCAGAAAATAAAAAAATAATAATTTAAGCTGAAATCCGCAGCTCTTGGCAAACTATGTTTATTCTAGAAGAAATTATACACGCATGATGGCGTAGGGCCTGTTTACATGGAGCGAGTTATCTCAGCTAGGCGAGGTGAAAACTGCATATAATGAAAGACTAATTAGACTAATCAGCCTTTTATGTGATGCGCTTTTTACTTCGCCTAGCCAGGTTCCTATACGAGACCTTTCAATTCGTTTGTGAAATATTTCATATTGATATCGACGAATAAAATTATCACATCCGTTGGACGAATACACTGATTTCGTGATTTCATGATGATTGATGTTTAGCAAGACTGAAAAAATGTGGACGAAAGCTGATTTCAGTAGCCCATTTTAAAAAGGCTAGAACTTCAGTTGGCGTGGCACTGATGGCAGAAAGATAAGTCATTGGTTGAATACTGACCTGTGTAGATCGTGTTTAAACCTGTTCGCATATAAAACAAAGTCAACAAAAGACAGCATTTAAAAGCGTATAATTATGGCAGATTAATCATCACTCATTTTTTACGCGCGCTTTTGCTTCTTCCGGCGAAAAAGCGACATTGACTTCGTTGACCTTATACAGTATTATGAAATACCTCTTCTCAGAAATACAGTTCAAGGAAAAGCAAGGTATCATTAATAATTTATGACATAATAAAACGTCCTATGCTATATGTTTTATTTTGACAAAGTACAAGACTCCCTTGTTTCGGCGGATGTGATCGTGTTTTTTGTTATCTTTCGCTGGCATGGCTAAATTTCATAGCTTTTAACACAGCAGGGGCTGGTATTTATTGTATAGCATTTAAGCCCACCGACGCTTGAAATATATTATAATTTTTATACATTTCTATATGAGCTTCGGAAGGTTGGGATTCCACTGAGCCATGTTATTAATTTGGTTAAAAGTTGTCACAAGCACTGGGTCTAGCAAACACACGATTATATCAAATATCAAGCGAAATATTTAGATGAATTTCTAGGCTCATTAATTATATCTCCTTTATCAATTTAGAGGGAAACGATAAAATGATGTGACACAATGAATGTAAACAAACGAAACATGTCCTTTTAGAAACATAATTCCCCTCAATCTTTATAGTGTGAAAGACGGTCTTTTGTCTTAGACAGAAAGGGGAACAGTTTTAAACGTTCGTATGCGTACACTCACTACACAGTAGTCTACACTGGCCCTATATATTCTAAGCACTGCAATATAATATCGATAACTTACCTGTGTTTTTATTTCTTATATTTTGAGCTGGCGGAAGTAAATATGTCTGAAAGGATCGAAGAAAGTCAGAAGATTTTACCTGTAAATACGTTGCCTTTCACGCAGGTACCAAGATATATTTGAAGAAACATGTCAAATCATCTTCTCGGCTTCAAAGGAAAAGAGAAAGAAATTGAATGTTGAAAAATTTTGCTCGACAATTATTTTGCATTCGTTGACACAAATATCAATATAAATGCTACTGGAAAACGAAGCAACTTAAAATAGGCGATTGTAATGACACTGTCAGTCAATCCATACTCACGCTAACGCAATTATCCTTGAGAAACTATCGAAGTAGTTAATTTCATCTACCGACACTCTCCGCAACAAGAAAAATTGGGATTCTCCTGGCTTTATGACAGTGGCTTCAATGAATAAATTATCGCAAGTAAATAAAAGCACCCGGCATGAAAAACAATTGCCACCCCGCGGAGTTCTAGGAAAACACGAGTAATAGCTACGTAATGATGATCTTAAAGGGAGTTTTTGGTAGGCTCACGAAGCGTTGAATTGCATGAAACGACCAGGGGTTGATGGGGATTCACGGATGAAAGGCGTGTTATGGAATTATCTGGAAACATCATATTAATATTGTATGCGGTGTTTATCTAAGTCTTAATAGATTTAAATTGTCAAGTTCAAATTAAAAAACTGCGGCTGAGCCGGTTCTGGAAGCCAATGGCGCGAAGATTGCTGTATCGATCGTACACGCTTGATGTAATTCCAAAGGCAAGAGGGGAGAGAAGGTTCGTGAAAAGGCACTAGCTTGTTCTGAAAAATACTAAAGCAAAACATCGCTGGTTAAGCTTCGTCTCATCGTGTTTTATCGCTTGAGATAAATATATACCGCGTATATGGTGTCTAACCATCAGACGTACGAATGTGCCACTCTTGAAAAATATTGGCTGGATTTCTAGCGTTGTCAAAGAACTATTTTTAGTCCTCCGTGATCTTGCCGGTAAAAGGCAGTGGGAAAGCATTCCCTCATTCTGCTGTTGCATGCCCCTAACGCAAGACCGAGTTTGAGAGAACGATTTTATCACTTACTCTTATTAATTGGATGGGTAATCGATTTAAAATTCAATTCAGTAATCTAAGTACCTTGCGCAGGGGGTAGCCAAGGGGGCAAACCTTTGCAGTTATAAAGTAATATCTGTGAGTTCAGATCCAAACACTTTTTATTTGAGGTTGTGGATGCTATATTATACTATATTATTCAATTTAAAAATACAAATATTTTGAAAAAACTGAGTTTATAAATGAAATTATAATGTCGTCTATCACATAACACATTCAGATTTGTAGTGAAATACGTTTGAGAATACTAAAGCTGTGTTTACCACAAAAGAATGGTGCTTTTTGTACCCGATCAGAACACGAATTTTGTTGTATTTTCATATATTCTGCTTGAATGTACATGATTTCCCCATTTTTTGTATTCATTTTAGCGCAAGCAGTCGTTGCATGCACAGCTCGAATAATCCATACCTCGTCAACTAAGATTACAGTTGACATATACTACGATTAAAAATATTAAAATGACAATTTTGAACTGATTAGCGTACATTATCGAGTATTTCCACATTCACTGAAACATCCCTTATCTAAAAGCTCCAGATTCCGTAAACCTGTCTTTAAGTTTAAAGCAATGAACAATGGACCTTCGACGCCAAAAACTACGAATTCCTCATCGGAATCATCTACGATCCCATCTTTCGTTTCGTGCACCTTTGGGGTAGCCGAAAACTCTTCATTGCCATCTGCTTTCACGTTTAAAGCGACTTCGTCGTCGTCGCTAGAAGAGGAATATTTATCACTACTGCCAGATTCACTGCTATCCTCACTCAGCTCTTTGTCGGAACTCATCGCTTCCTGTGAATAAGGATCATCAACCTCACAGACACCGTAAGCAAACGCTTGTTTCACTTGATCGTCATCAAGAAAGCTTATAAGTGCCCCAGAGTCACCATTTTCTAAAAACGTCCCGGCCATTCCTTTAATAAGAATTGCATTTCTGAACAAAATTTCACCATCAGAGTTATAGGTATAATCACAATCAACGATGTAACCTTTATGATTGTCATTTGGCGAAAAACCGACCTTCTGCACCATCACCCGATCTCCTATGTTGCGATTTACTCTTCGATGCAGTTCTTCTGATATTCTATCCCAATCAGGATTTCCTATATCCTCAACACCACAGTCAACTTGAACATCTTCGTCAACTTGTATAGACATGATATCAGATTCACTATGAAAGCAACACTTGTAAAGCTGGCCTAGGCGAGTATAGTTAGCGGGGAGGCTGGCAACAATGTTTTCATTTTGATCTGCATTGTCCGTACCCCTTTTGTGATAATGATATTCTTGTCTTCTAGCAAAGTTTTCATAACCCTCCATGCATCCTTGAATATCCAGAAACCGTTGCCTGCGATTAAATGCTTCTTCAGAAAAAAACTCATCGGTTGCACAGCCGACATGGAAACAAGTGAGAGCATAGTGTTTATCATTCTGAGAACATAACATGGTTAATGTTCCTGATGCTATACTTGTAACTGATTTTTCGTCTTCAACGTCATTCGCTGGCTCGTTGAATCTATTTACAGCCAGGATGCTACCTCCCGATGTTGGATTTGATAAATACTTGAACGTTGGTTTCTTTTGTAAGTGACCGAGACGGACGTGTATTTTGGAGCTCTGTTGTTTCTCAAGTTCTGTTGAGTTAAAATGAATTCCTCAACTGTTTTAAATGTGTTATACAGTTATTTCAACATTAAGAAAAGTAAACTTATTTGGACGGGATCTCTTGAAACCCTGAAAGCGCTTGTACTAACCGAAATTGACGAGGAGACTGCCGAAGCAACAACATGGCGTTCCCCCAGTGGCGGTAAATGGTTATTTGAAAGTAAGCTGTTATCAGTTACTTGGCTAACAAAAAGCCAAAATATAAACTTTGGTGGTGAGAAAGGTAGTGACATAACGGCAAGAATACATTCGCTTTTAAATCAAGATCTGGACAGTACTTCTGAAATCGATAGCCATGCCGAACTACATCTAAATCAATCAATTGAAAATTTGCTAGCTGTCGAACCTGACGATGTCAATGATGATGCACTTGAACATTCGTTTAGTTATCAACCTGATGTTGAAAAGAAATTGGAATACCAAGACGAAAATCAAGCGAAAATAGATTCTGAAATCGGTGTAAAGTATGATGAGTTGAATGCGAAGTCAAAAAATTTGCATGAAGGCCCAATCGGTATGCACGCAAACTTAACAAATTGGCATAATCCCTTGGGAAGCAACTCCAGCTATAACTGCGACTCCGAGTCAATAGCAAGATTGAATTCGAAACTTGAGAGATTTTCCGAAAATGTGGCAAAAAACTACAGGATATTACAGTTGAGATAAACAATATTAAAGAAAGTAAACCCTACTCGATTCTGGTTTTGGAAAACGTAGTTAATGACCTAAAGAAAGACAAGCTTGAGCTAATCAGAATGAATGATGATCTTAGGGCACAAAATATGAACATGTCCTGTTCTATATCTGATTTGAAAATGGCAAATAAAAATTTGGAAAACGAAAAGAGCAGCCTTTTGACTGCTCTTAAGTTATTTCAAAATGACTCTCAACATACGTCCATGACTAACACTGTGATTTCAAAAGACGGAGAAATTAACATTGAACCGGCCTGTGAAATCATACATAATAATGAAGTCACTCAACTGAATCATGAATCTGATCAGCCTGTAATCTATAGTCAGCCCAACGCCAAAGAAAGTCTTACAAAAAAGAGTAAAAAGAAGAGTAAGAAAACCAAGTCTAAACCATCAGCTCATAATACCAGTCAACTAAATGCTCCGGATGCAAATACCTCTGGCTCTGGCGGGATTGCAAATACCTCCAACATTGAAACAACGAGACAGGGCCAGAACTCGCAGAAGCAATCAGTTGTTATTGCAGGAGACTCAATTGTTAAAAATATTATCGGTCCGAAGATGAATGCTGAAGATCCTAATCATTATTTTATTGTAAAGCCGTTCCCTGGAGCAACAGTCACAGACATGGAGGACTTTGTCAAGCCACTTACAAGAAGAACACCGGACAAGATGATTTTACATGTTGGAACAAACGACCTGAGAAGTCATTGCACGCCAAAAGTAATAGCTGACTCTATCGTCAACATTGTAACGCAAGTAAAAGAAGATTCACCAGGTACAGATGTTGGAATATCAGCCATTCTGGTAAGGTCTGATAATCATGACTTAACTGTTAAAGCTACTCAGGTTAATAACATTCTTAAAGGCTATTGTATTCGCAATAAAATTCCCTTCTTAAGTAATTCAAATATGAATGAAAGCCACCTAAACACGAAGGGCCTTCATTTAAATAGACAAGGTAGCTTAGCTTTACAACAAAACTTTTTAGATTTTGCTAAATCTATCTCAGATTGACAATTTCCCAAATCCGTTATTCCTACCTCACGCGGGTTTAAGTTAGCAGCCCTTAATGTGAGAAGCATAGTAAATCACATTGATGAGCTGCGAGTTTTGCTTGCTACTAGCCCAATCGATGTTCTAGCAATTAACGAGACATGGCTTAATTCTACAATAAGCGATAACGATGTTTACATACCTGGATATGAAATTATACGTCGGGACAGAGCATGTAGTAGTGCCGATGGAAAAACGTATGGAGGTGTTTGCTTTTATGTGCGCTCCTGCGTAAATTTTATACTTCGCAAGGACCTGTTTATCGATGACTTGGAAAATTTATGTATTCAAATTCAAAAACCAAATTCTAAGCCCTTTCTCGTTACAACATGGTATAGACCACCTAATTCGAATACTGATAAATTTAATCATTTCGAAACGTTTATTGATATGCTTGACGCAGAAAATGTCGAGTATTACCTATTGGGCGACCTAAATTGTGACCTTGGATCGCCTACTTTAGATTGCAATTCGAGATCTTTAATTGGCATCACTGAACTCTATGGTTTACATCAATTAATAAATGAACCAACTCGAATTACCGAAACTTCATCAACTATGATCGATCATATTTTTACCAATACACCAGATAATATTGTTTCCTCTGGTGTTTCTCATGTCGGTATCAGTGATCATAGCTTAATTTACGCATTCCGTAAGCTTTCTATCAGTCCACGCAACAAAGGCCATTCTACAATAAGTTATAGAAAACTTAAAAATTTCAACTCTGAATATTTTCGACGAGATATTTCTTTACAGAATTGGGACGTGATAAGGATTTATAATAATCCGAATGATATGTGGCGTATATGGAAAACGACCTTTAACAACGTAGTGGAAAAGCATGCCCCTTTACGAACTAGGCGAGTAAGATCTTCTAAGGCGCCGTGGATCACGCCTGAATTAAAAAGGCAAATGCATGAAAGAGATGTTTTGAAAATAAAAGCTATTCGATCCAAAGATATTTGTGATTGGACTGTTTTTAAGAAAGCTCGAAATTCTGTAAACAATGAAATTAAACTTGTTAAGAAAACCTATTATATGAACGCTTTTCATGAAAACGAGAATAATGTTAAAAAAACTTGGGGTATCATCAATGAATTGACCTCAAGAAAACAGATGAGTTCACGAGTAAATGAAATCAAAATAAACGGGGTTTCTATTACTGACCCCTCGGACCTATCTGAGACGTTTAATACTCATTTTGCTACTATTGGACCTAAGCTTAAGGAAAAATACCTGACGAAGAAAACAATCGCTCGTATTTAGAATATCTTACTTGCCACAATAGTAACAATAATATAGAGTTTAAGTCAATAACCCCATCATCAGTTTATTCGCTTCTTAACAAACTTTGTAAGTCCAAAGCAATTGGGCTAGACAAAATATCTGCCAAGCTTCTTCGTCATTGTCCTGACTTGCTTTCGGAATCCCTTGCCGTAATTTTTAACTGCTCTATCATTACCGGTATCTTTCCTGAAGAATGGAAATGCTCAAAAGTCATTCCATTATTCAAACAGGGCGAGCGTAGAGACTTAAATAATTATCGCCCAATTTCGATAATACCGGTTGTGGCGAAAGTTTTCGAACGAATTATTTATGATCAAATTTACGGTTTTCTTACTGAGAACAATTTACTATGTAATAGCCAGTCTGGATTTCGACGTTTGCATTCAACTGTTACTGCACTTCTAGAATCTACTAATAGCTGGGCCTACAATATTGACCAAGGACTGGTCAATGCTGTCGTTTTCCTAGATCTTAAGAAAGCCTTTGATACAGTTGACCATGGAATTTTGTTGTCAAAACTGTCAGCATATGGTCTTGGGGGTGCTGTGGCTAACTGGTTTAGGTCTTATTTAAGTAACCGCAGTCAAAAATGTTATGTCAATGGCCATCTTTCTACCAACCGTACGTTACTTTGTGGTATTCCACAGGGAACTATTTTGGGACCATTGCTTTTATTGTATATAAATGACTTGCCAAATTGTCTTGAGCACTCCCAAGCACGAATGTATGCAGACGACACCAATTTAACATTTGCAAGCAATAAAATTGAAGATATAGATTATTACTTTAATCAAGATCTTGAAAATGTTAATAAATGGCTTATCGCCAATAGGCTTACATTGAATCAATCCAAAACTGAATTTATGCTAATTGGCTCACGACAAAGAATAGCTACTTTCCAATCAGACCCATGTTTTAAAATAGACGGAATTCCTATAGACAAGGTTTCACATACAAAATCTCTAGGAGTTCACCTTGATGAAAATCTATCTTGGAATATACAGATCAAGGAATTAACAAAAAAAATTGCTTCTGGTATTGGCGCTTTAAAACTCGTTCGTTCATTTGTCCCAGTTGCAACATTGTATTTAATTTTTAATTCCCTTGTCCAGCCATATTTCAATTATTGCTGTACAGTTTGGGACAATTGCAATAAAACCTTGGCAGATAAACTTCAAAAACTACAAAATCGCGCAGCGAGAGTTTTGACCTTTTCAAGCTATGACACTAATGCCGACATCTTACTCGATAGACTTGGCTGGAAAAAGTTATCTTCCCAACGCCAATTTCAAAAGGCTGTCATGGTTATAAATCACTCAATGGACTTGCTCCACAATACATGGGTTCCATGTTTGTAAACCGTGACAGTGTCAATCCTTATTCGTTGAGAAACACAAATAGTAAGCTGGCTGTTCCTAAGCCTCGCACAAACTATCTGAAGAATAGTTTTAGTTATAGTGGTGCGATGCTATGGAACAGCCTACCGATTGGGCTACGGCTAGCAAATAACCTATCAAATTTTAAAGCGGGCTGTTCCAAATTATTTTAATCTACATTCACATTTGTATTATATTATATTTCTTGTATATATTCCTTACACGGCTCTCATGAAAAGCAGGTATATTAATTATTAGTTTGATTTATCATTGTAAATATTTTTGTAGTCTTATTTTGTAATTCATAATCTTGTCATTTGTCAGCATGAAAATCCTGATTGAGAATACCGTGTGTAAATAAAGTTTAATAATAATAATAATAATAATTTTCCGGTTCCCGAAAAAGTTCAAAATATTTTCTGGGATCACATTTAAACTGCTTTTTAATTTCCTTTAATACTTCGGATTTCTTTTTTCCTCTTTTGACAGTTAAATAAATATGAGTGCGTGGAATTGTTTTGTTAGGACCAGTAATACCGTATGCTCCACGTAACCACGAAAATCTATTGAAGTCAAACAATACATTGAGCACTGTGTTTTTATTGTGTTTTAATATGAAGCTTCACACACACACGAATATTCATTTCACACAATCGGATAGAAGCGTGAATGGATCTCTACGCAAGCTATGGCTTCTGTCGCAATGTTTTCAAAATATTTGATAAAAAAACTGTTATGTTAAGATACTTACCCTTTAAATATTTCATGTACCTCTTCTTTTATGTTATATTCTGAGTCAAGGATTATTTTTTCTAGAAAGTTCTGTTTCCCACTCTTTTTAACGGTCTTTTTGGCTTTTTTGTCGTCTTTTGTAAAGTTATGTTCAGAATCAATGATTGTTTGTTCCGGAAAATCCTTTTCGTTATTTTCTACAACACCCTCTTTTGCCTTTTTGTCGTCTAAAGAAACACAATTATTTTCTAAATTGATATATATAAAAAGCCGATAAAACGTTTAAAAGCTAATCACTACCATCTTCATAATTTACAGGGCCGAAGCGAGAAACATAATTGGGGGTGGGGGCTGTATATTTATATATTCGTCTTTTGTACGCTATTGTTCCTATACGGTAAATAAACATAAATATATGAATACACCCCCCCACAATTGAGCGGTCTAGCTACGGCCCTGATCATTTACTTTACCTTTTAAATATGTGAATTCCTGAGCGCTCGGATCAAGAGACTGGGAACACAGACAAAAATCCATCACAGCCTTAAGAGTGCAGCCGTGCAGACCTTTATTGTCTTCGCAACGTCTGAGATAATCTTTCCACAAATCTCTGCACGCACCCACACTGCATAGCGACATGGGATCTCCAACGACGGCAAGAAAAGACTGGGCACGAGTCACGGCAGTGTTCAAAAAACGTGGATCGGAAAGAAATCCAAAATCCAGTTCAGAAGGGTACTCATTTCGTCCTTCGATTACCGAGCAAGTCCACATCGTTCTGACCGTGCTAATAAATAACGCCCTGAATTCCTTACCTAAATGTTAAGACAAGGGATTAAAAACTAAGAAGCAGCCTGCAATAACCTAGAAGTGTCTGGCATCCCTTTTTTCGGTCCGTAAACAGGCGCCTCCGACCTCAGGGTTTAGTGTTAGTCTTTCAGAAACTTTGGCTTTATGTATAACGGTCGTGAATACTTTATTCTTGCAAGTTTGCAAAATTGTAACAGGTTTCCTGGTCTCCTGACATGTATACGTACTTACCAAAAGTCTTATTTACTTTGTTTCCATTCAAAAACGATAAAGTAGAATTTGGTTTATGAAATAACATATTTAAAGAGATTACCTTGGACGTTCTCAACAGTTTCAACATCAACATAACCAAGCCCTTTTTTTCGCAATGCATCTCGAATTCGTTTCACCTAATAAAAACGTTTCCATTCCGTGTGAGCGTAATTTTGAAAATATAAGTAATATACGTTTGCATTACAACGATTGCATTACAACAAAGTATACACCATTGAAACGCATCACTTTTTTTATATTGAAACCCAATTAGACAAGCCGCAGAACCAATGTGCATCGTTACCTGATCACGATAAGGCGTGAGTACTCCGATGTTCTTTTTCCAGTTTTTTGGCCAGAGAAAGATAAGATCTTCAACTCTTGCTACTACTTCAGCAACTTCAGCGTCGTTGTAGTACGACAAACCTTCTTCATCTTGTTTATCCACACCTTGGGCAGTGTAGAACGAAAGAACTGGCACCTTTTTGTAGGTAGTTTGGTCACCTCTGGCAACCAATTCGCCTCCATAAAAGTTATCAGATGGAAACTGAAGAATCTTCTCGTGGCAGCGGTAGTTTTCAGTAAGTAAGACTACATACGGTGTTTCAACGTAAGAGGTTTCCTCATTGCCTTCTTCTGGTGGTTTATTTGAAGATATGTTACATTGCTTGTAATGTGTAAATAGTCGTTCAAGAAGAGATACTTTTGGACCAAACTCATCAGCCCACATCCATTTTGAATAAGCTGATGGACCCATCTATAAAAAGCATACGCAAGTAGTATTATGATCTAGAGCTGCTGGTCGTACGTTTATGATTTAAAATGCAGATTCGAATAATCTGTGAATACGTGAATAGTTTCGTATTACCTGCTGATGGTCCCCAGCCAACACAATTTTTGTGTTCTCATCAGCCATGACAAACGGGGTCAAGGACTCGGGTTCCAGGGTCTGCGCGGCCTCGTCAATTAAGATATGCGTGAAACACAATTTTTTATCCTGATAAAATTTCCACAGCAAACGAGCGGTCGCCAAAGTCGTAATGATGACGTTATTGTCACGAATGTCAATCAGTGTTGGCTCCCGTATCTCATTGGTTTCTTCTAGAAAAAAATCGACTGCATCAGACTATTAATACAAGAGTGACTCTCGAAATCCCATAAAAAATGAAATCTTAAGAATATTTCGTTATTCACCAGAATGCTTTGCCCTGGTATTAATTTGCAATGAACATTCTAGTGAAATTCTAGCAAAGTATTTGGAAAAAGTGTTCTTAATTTCAGTTAATTTAATTGAAGACATGACATATATGGTATCCCTAAACAACGGTATTCTTTACCGACAGTTTTCGCGGGATACTTTAGATATACAGCCCCCCAAAAAATAGAGCAATCGTTTCTCTATAGAGCAAATAAAAGGCGTCCAGATTACCTTCAATGTTGCAATACTTCCGCAGTTTTTCAGGAATAGTGTTGACATTTCGAAACCAATTAACCACATGAAGTGGTCGAATGTTTATTAATGGTTTTTTTTGTATCTGCGAATCCAAATGATTCAGGTGAATGTGCGCTGCGCTGTGAGAGTGGGTGCAAATGAGAACTTTATTTGTTTTAGATTTGTTGAGAATGGCCACACAAGCGAGGCTCAAGGTGAATGTTTTCCCAGTGCCAAACGGCCCGATCACGAGAATCGGCGGAGTGGGAGTGGGATCGAGAATCATCGAAATCGCTTCGTGTTGATTTGGGTTTGGTTTTCTGTCCATAAACCAATCATGGATCAATTTCTACGAGAATGAAAAAATATTTTAGGATTGATTACAAAATTTGCGCATATGACTGGCGTACCCCATTTCACAATGCGTCGATGAAGAGACAGTTCTTACCTTGCACTTATAGGATGCATTCTTTGCATTTGGAAGTAGGATGTCGGTCTTCTCTCTACACAAGTCAATTGCTTGATGCATTTCACACATTGGACGACGATTGTACTTTAATTTGAGATCGATCTGGACGATTTGATCATATGCAAAATCATAATCTTTGCATAACTCCTCATTCAGTTTTATGATAACCGATTGCGAAGTTTTTGATTTGATGTTACATTCGTACACTCTATTTCTGTGAGATTTTTCCAACTTAAGTCGCAAGATCACAGACATTACTGAGCGATTTATAAGATGGCCACCAACTTCGTCCATAACAAGATAATCTGGTAAATCGATCACACCAAACATTTCACCGGGTAACGCAAAAACTGTTCCTTCAGCGCAAGCGAAGTTGTTTACCACTTGCATAAAGCCATCTTGGATATCATATCTGAACAAACAAGATCAAAGCAACGATTATTATTTTATAACGATTATAATTAAATTCACTATCTGGAGGTGTTGATGATATTGCTAATGTCGATTTTGATAGTGATTTTGTTAATTGTGATGTCAACATTAACATTACCATCATCGTCATCATAATTTGTAACGTCATCGACAACCACATCAACAATAATTTCTACCTAGCTACAAATATATATAGCACGTTCCTTATTCCTACAATTGACAAAACATATTATATATTATAAATAGGTGTACATGAATGTGAACAAAAAAAAACATTTCCTTACCTGGCAACCTCTGTCCGAATGTGTCTTTCTTCAATCAACAAAATTTGGTGCCAAATATTGCAGTATTTTTCACGTGAGAATGCTGGACACTTTGCAGGATCAGGCAAGATATCTGGAATGCTGTACCGTTCACATAAACCCTCCAAATCCCATCGCATCAGTTCTTTACACGGAACCAATTCCATTTTGTCCACAGACCATTCAGCGATGTGACAATATCTTGTACGTGAAGATTCTGCTCTAGAAAAATCTTTGCTCACGACCGACACAAAGAGTGGACGAACGAGTACGGAGCCCTGACCGAAGTCAAACACTAACTTCTGTTCGAAATCACCAAAAACACCTGACGAAAACTGAATACTGAATTGCACGGCTGACTCATTCTTGGCAGAGTCTTCAATGAAATCCTCTTCCTGAAAGCGAACACATTGCACGGTTGAAGAATGCTTTGTCGTCTCATTACAACGGAGAAGTTTGAATTTGTCTAAGTGGGTCTCCAAAAGAAAGGCGACTTGACTCAGCAGTAGTTGAAAATTTCTCTAAAAATGTAAGATATTGTGAATAACCAGCAATATAACTTATGAATTTCGTAAAGTAGTACACGGGGAAGACAAAGTATGTCCTGGATAATGAAACGTCACCTATTCACCACATTAAATCCATACACAACCATACTCTGTTAAAATTAGAATAAGCAAAATTTATAAAAAGGTTTTTCGAACGGTGAAGCTATCGAAACAACACGTCCTAGCTAAGTTTGGGCGCTTTGAAATTCTTCCTGGCAAAGCGGAAACACGGAAGACGATACTTCTACGCCCCGGCGTAATGATGCGCTGAACTGTGTCCTACCTGGATTCGAACATCAAATATCCACGTATGCTCGACTTGCGAACGATCCGTTTTTTCCAATTTTATTTGCTTTGGTGAATTACACTTAACTGTTACACCAGGAAGATCTTTCTTGAGCTGTTAATGAAATTAGAGCAATTAGATAAATATGGATATCTTTCCATGAAATAATTTCAGATTAACTGGACGAGACTTCATGTCCAAACTTATAATGATTCACTGAAATATAGCGGTTATAAACTTATGGTTCATCGTAGCTTTCACTAACCACATGGTTTTGACCTTCACATTTGATTCTACGCCGGAGTTTTTCGCTAAAGCTTTCTGCTAGAAGATGTTCCTCTTTAAGCTGTGTAAGCTGATTATTTTGTTGTTCGTGTAGAGCTTTCCAATAATCACGTTCCTCTTCACTATGCGCAAACGTGCATTTCTTACCGAAGTAACAGTAACCTTGCACAAATCTAGGAAACAGATTAGGCAGATTTGGAAAAGCATATCCATGACCAACTATCCATAATCACTGTTTCAGAGGCGCAGCTAGGGCGCGGTCCAGAGAAGTTGTAAACAGTATCGCTGTATTAAGGTTAAAAACATTTAGTACGCTTCCGTTGAATAAAACGATAGACTTGATTTCTATTTTAAGCTTAACCACCGTTTAAGCTTAAAAGGGCTCGATACAACCGGCCCCAGAAACGACATCGTCTGTCTAGTAAGGACCGAAGACCCTGAAAAGTTATTTTGTTTGATATAGGAAAATAATTACCAAATATATAGTGAAGTGTAATGGTTTACCATTACGAATAACAACAGCAATAAAAGATCACAATTTTCACAGTAGATCTCTTACCTTCGACACACTTTATACCGGCCCATATTAATTCCATCAGGCGGAGGACGAAATTTCTTGACAGGTTTGCGAAGTTTCTCCGTAAGTCTTATCACATTGACTTTGTGCTGAGGATCGGAATAATGATACTCAAGCTCTAACATGGATGAGAATTTTATATCACAGAATCTACATCTTAGTTCTTCTTGCTTCATAACGGACGACACGGACACTGTGTTCGTAGCTGTTTGACTGTTTGGTGTACATGGTTTTGCTGAGGATGTGCTCGATTTTTTCTTCTTTCTTCTTCTTTTACCTGAGAAGGGAAATGCACCTATCAAATTCCATTTTCCTGGCGTTGCCAGGATTGTTTTTTCCAGAAAGTTTTGTTTCCCAGTCTTTAATTTTAACGGTCTTTTTGGATTTTTTGTCGTCTTTTGTAAAATTATGTTCTGAATCAATGATTGTTTCTTCCGGAAAATCCTTTCCGTCATTTCCTACAACACCCTCTTTTGCCTTTTTGTCGTCTAAGCAAACACAATTATTTTTTAACTAATATATAAAAAACCCATAAAACGTTTAAAAGCTAATCACTGATTTCTTTTGTACGCTATTGTTGCTACGGTATATAAACATAAATATATGAATATACACCCACCACAATTAAGCGGTCTAGCTACGGCCCTGAGCATTAACTTTACCTTTTAAATATGTGAATTCCTGAGCGCTCGGATCAAGTGGCTCTGAACGAATACAAAAGTCCAATACAGTCTTCAAAGTGCAGCCGTGCAGACCTTTGTTGTCTTCGCAGCGTCTGAGATAATCTTTCCACAAATCTCTGCACGCACCCACACTGCATAGCGACATCGGATCTCCGACGACGGCGAGCAAAGACTGGGCACGAGTCACGGCTGTGTTTAAAAAACGTGGATCGGAAAGAAATCCAAAATCAAGTTCGGAAGGATCAGAGTTTCGTCCTTCGATAGCCGAACATGTCCACATCGTTCTGACCGTGCTAATAAACAGCGCCTTGAATTCCTTACCTAAATTGAGTGTGAAGACAATGGATCACTAACACTTGTGCTTACAACTGAATGCATTTATTAGTTCGAGGCTTGCTAGAAATTTAATTCATCGCATTTGTGCCGACTGCCGATTGTCGTAACATCTTTTCCGGAGTTAGGCTATCAGTTAATATCTCATGGGTGGATCCAGCACTAGTGCACTAATTTGCATGACACAAGAAAACTGCTCAAAATAGCCATTTTGTTTTGTAATGCAAATTAGTGCACTAGTGCTGGATCCACCTCTGTAATATCTAATTAGTGTTAACAGTGTGTCATTCGTGGTACTAATTCTACTTATTTAAAGCTACTGCATCTTTTCACTCTCATTACCTTGGGCGTTTTCTACAGTTTCAACATCGACAAAAGCAAGACCATTCTTTCGTAAGCCTTCTCTAATTCGTTTTACCTAACAAAAAGTAAGTTCACAGCAATGTACCCATATTTATTTAGCCCTATTTGAAACGCATATCATATTTTAAACAGCTATACTAAAAATAACAAGTACTTTTTCAACTAGTAACAAAATAGACAATAGTGAACCCCATCAAATCGAGGTATACCTGATCACGATAAGGCGTGAGTACTCCGATGTTCTTTGCCCAGTCTTCTGGCCAGAGAAAGATAAGCTCCTCAACTCTTGCTACTACTTCAGCAACTTCAGCGTCGTTATAGTACGACAAACCTTCTTCATCTTGTTTATCCACACCTTGGGCAGTGTAGAACGAAAGAACTGGCATCATTTTGAAGGTAGTTTGGTCGCCCCTGGCAACCAATTCGCCTCCATAAAAGTTATCAGAAGGAAACTCGAGTATCTTCTCGTGGCAGCGGTAATTTTCACTAAGTAAGACTACATACGGTGTTTCAACGTAAGAGGTTTCCTCTTTTACCGATGAGCTTGAATTGTAATATGAGAATAGTCTTTCAAGAAGAGAAATCTTCGGATCAAACTCTTCAGGCCATGTCGATTTTGAATAAACCGGTGGACTCATCTATTAAACAGTATTCCATTAACAACATCATAGTATATTGATAGTTTGAAACACGAATTTGGCTGGTCAACTAAAAATTTTGCGAATTATGTCAATTGGAGTTAATAAGAGTTCCTGTTTGAATCAGAAAATTTATTTTCTATTCAGTGAAGGAAATTCAAATAAAAATATATGTAGTAGCTGTTTATCAATTATTACCTGTTTGTGGTCCCCCGCCAAAACAATCTTTGTGTTTTCATCAGCCATTACAAGCGGGATCAAACACTCGGGTTCCAGGGCCTGCGCGGCCTCGTCAACTAAGATATGCGTGAAACGCAATTTTCCATCTTGATAATATTCCCACAGAACACGCGCGGTGGCCAAAGTTGTTATAATGACATTATGGTCACGGATTACATTCCACGTTGGCTTCTGTATTACGTTAGTTTCTTCTGGAAAGAAAAAGGCTTTTGCTTGTCAAAGCGATTGGTCGATCCCAATCTTAAAGAAAAGCGTATGAATGTCACAGGATCTTAAAGAAAAGCGTTATTTTAGTTTACCTTCAATATTGCAATATCTCCGGAGTTTTTCAGGAACAGCCCGAACATTTCTAAACAGATTAAGCACTCGTAGTGGTCGAATACATAATGATGGGTTTTCTGTTATTTTTACATGCAAATGTTCCAGATGAATGTCAGCTGCTCTGTTTGAATGGGTGCAAATAAGAACTTTATCGCCTTCAGATTGGCTAAGAATTGACACACAAGCGAGGTTCAGGGTGAAGGTTTTCCCAGTGCCAAACGGTCCAATCAAAAGAATTGGCGGGGTAGGATTGGGATCGAGTATCATCGCAATCGCTTTGTGTTGATTTGTGTTTGGTTTTCTTTCCAGATGCCAGTCAGGGATTGATTTCTAAAGGAAGGAAAAAATATCGATAAAACGTTTAGTATGAGCTGTTGGTAGAAGAAATATTTCCCAGCTTTAGAGCACTGCTCCGAATATGTTTAATTTGCAGTTGAAAGCTTGACCGCGAAAGTTATATATTAAAATGAATTAAATGGTTTGGAGTCCACATGCAAGAAATTTATGATCGATTCTATAATTTTGTTTCTTTGTAAGTCAATCAAGATATTCAATATTGTTTGAACAGAAATTCTAGTATAATTTTTAATAGCATGTTACAATTCAATCGTAAAATATAATTTTATGTGAACTATTGACAACGAAATTGACAAGTCGGAGTTTTACAAGTTTTCTGAACGCATGTGTCTGAAACGAGAACAAAGGTTCCACGAAATTTCTGTTCGTTTTTTCATTCGGACTTACAAAGATAACTTTGACAAGTGTTTAGTCAATTATCCCAGGACGCGCGAGGCAGCATCTTGTGATGCAAACTGATGCAAATTCTTACTCGTGACTCACCTGTGACGACAAATTCTTCACATTTGGAAATAAAATGTCAATTTTCTGTTTACACATATCAATGGCCTCGTGCATTTCACACAGTGGAAGATGGTTGTATCTGAACTTAAGATCAACTTGGACAACTTGATCATTTTCAAATGTATGTTCTTTACATAAAATCTCATTCAATTTTATAACAACCAACTGAGAAGTCTTTGATATAATGTAACATTCATATACTTTCTTGTTGTGAGATTTTTCCATCTTTAGTCGCAAGATCACAGACATTACTGAGCGATTTATAATATGGCCGGCAACTTCGTCCATAACAAAATAATCAGATAAATAGATTTCTCCAAAAAATTCACCAGGTGCCACGAAAACTGTCGATTCAGCGCTTTTAAAGGTGCTTACTACTTTCATTTTGCCGTCCTGTATATCGTATCTAAATAGACAATATTATACCTCAAATTCAAATTGTCCCACCAAAAAAATTATTTGTACCATGTGAAGATGCGATTTTTGGCGGTATTGCATCCCAGTCCCCTATTTCCGAGCTAGGCACATGACATTGATTAAATTTATCACACTGTGATATTAGAATTATCTCACGCGACGTCTCGCGAGGCAAAAATTGTCGGAATAGTGTTGTTGTTTGTTTGAAATAAAAAAATAGCGATTCTGACGAGAAAATAAGCAGTATTCCCGACGAAAGACAAACAAAGAAGGTTGAAGAGATGTTAAAATCTGTTCGACGGCAATTTTTTGACGCTTTCCTCGAGTACTTTTACTGATTTATAGAAATACTTTTTCAAACCTTGGCACTGTATGTTTGGCTATTCTCAAGCTCACAATATTTTTTCGGTGTAATATATCATTTATAGACCCTCCACTTGGGGGATTCGGCAAAATATTTCATGATGATACTTCCCTCGGGCGAAACCCTCGGAAAAGATCATATCACCTCGGGAAATATTTCGCCGAATTCCACTCACTCCGGATCTATAAATGATAAATATAACATGCGTTGCACAGTACAACATCACTAATAACATATTTCGGAGGTTTGTGTGTAAACACATTTTCTTACCTGGCGACCTCCTTTTGAATGTGTTGTTCCTCAATAAACAAGATATTGTGCCAAATATCGAAGTATGTTTCACGAGAGAATTCTGAACACTCTGTAAGATCAGTCTGTTGATTGTTCATTGGAATGCTGTACCGTTCACATAAACCATCCAGATCCATTCCCGTCAGTTCTTTACACGGAACCAATTCCATTTTGTCCACAGACCATTCAGCGATGTGACAATATCTTGTACGTGAAGAAGTCTCTTCTTCAGAAATATATTTTCCCACAACTGACACAAAAAGTGGACAGACGAGTACATTGTCTTTTCCAAAATCAAATACTAACTTCTGTTTGAAATCACCAAAAACACGTGACGAGAATTGAACACAAAATTGTACCGCCGACTCATTTCTGGCGACGTTTTTAAAATCCCCCTCAACAAAATGAACACTGTACAAGTTTGGTGATTGCCTTTGCTTTCCCCCACGGTATAGGAGTTTGAATTTGTCCAAATGAGTCTCCATGAGAAAAGCTACTTGTCTTGGCAGTGGTTGATGCATTCTCTGTTAATGTAAATTGTAGGAAAGACATTTTTTTAAATCAGTTGCATGTGGTACCGTGAATTGAATATGAACACACTCTCTGGGGTTATTCTAAGCTGGAGTTGCTACCAGTTTTTGAAATTGTACGAAAATTTCTGGAGAAGGCCGAAATTAGTAATAATTGTATATCTACAGCTACCCTTATAATAATTTCCATATCCAGAAATTTCCTTACAATTTAAAAAAGTGGTAGCATCTCCAGCTTAGAATAACCTCTGCTCTAAATAAATTCACCTTTTTATAACTCAATTTTAAGTGGGTGAGTAGGGCGATCATGCGTGAACTGTGAAGTGAAATTTAGTTTAAGATGATGCACTGTTCTGCGTAGATTTAGATTAACGAGCCGAATAAATATTTATTAATTTATTAATTAATCATTCTAATTAACAGTGCGAGATAGCCTTTCTTCGGGCGAGGCTGAAATCGAAACCGTTCCCGTTCAGAGAACCTGAAAGAAAACTTATACTTGCCTGAATTTTTACATCAAATATCCAGGTATGCCTGACGTGCGTAAGATTAATTTTTTCCAATTTTATTTGCATTGGTGAAGAACAGTCCACTGTTACACCAAAAAGTTCTTTCGTGAGCTGTTAAGAAATTAAAACAATATTGACAAACGCATACGCTATGAGAAGTAGATACGTTCCAATATAACCAGCGTAGCATGGTATGACTAACTCTCCTGACGAAGCCCCTCAGGTCGAAACGTCGAGAAGTGTTTTGTCTATTTAGGCAGTTGCTATACCACATTTGATGCTAAGTTAATAAGAGAAGTACATAAATAATTGGGGACTTGTCAGTTGTTCTTATGTGACTTAAACTGCTGTTAAAAAATATGCTGCGCTTTATTTGTTGCCTGATTATTGGTGATGAAATGATGAAATATTGGAGGTTTGAATTTAAGTTAAAGGTAAAGCTAACATATAATCACTAATGGATTGGTAAATGCACTTATTTTGTCCGGAAAATCGTCAAACCGTAAACATATAATCAGCATTATGAACTATAAACTTCTCAAAGTAAAGCCCTTCAATGCTGTTGTGATTGCGAAAAAATCAGCACAGCTTTTTCAGACCAACATTTTTTCAGACCAATAGCAAAATCCAATAAATAAAACGACTTTTTACTAACCACACGATCCAGACCTTCATACTTGATTCTAAGGCGGACTTTCTCGCCGAAACTTTCGGTCAAGAGCTGTCGCTCCTTAAGATATGTGAGATGGTCAGCCTGATGTTTATACAAAGATTTCCAATGATCACACTCTGCTTTCCCATGTGCAAAAGTACATTTCTTACCAAAGTAACAGTAACCTTGCTCAAATCTAGGAAAGAGACGAAAGAGAAAGTTTTTCATCATTGCTGATAATTAACATGCGTTAAGTTATAATTTGATTCAGACGTCAATAAGTCTCTACCTGCGACATTCTTTATACCGGCCCATATAAACGGCATCAGGGGGAGGACGAAAATTACTGGTGTTAGTCTTTTCGTAAAATTTTTGCGTTAGTCTTATCACATTGACCTTGTGCTGGGGTTCTGAAGAATGATATTCCAGATCTAACAAAGACGGGAACATTATGCCACAGAATGTGCATCGTTTGTCTTCTTTTTCCATAACTGAGGAAATTATTTTGGTTACTTGATCGCTTGCTTTAACTGAAGTGGAGCTCGATTTAGTTTCATCTACAAAGTAAAAAGAGAATAAACTATATAGGATTCCGCGGTCGTATCTATAGTGATCTGCTGTTTCGAGCGTATATTACATAGTTTCTCTTCTGTACGTATACCCGGATACTCATTGACCCTTCTATAACGTTCTTCATCTGATTCCCCGCGATATAGGGAGAGATCTTCATTTGTTGAATAAGCATCTTCATTTGTTGAATAAGCATCACATTCAGAATAAGCGTCCCATTCAGAATACAAGGATGAACATTCTGAAGACGGAATGCCAGAATCCTTTGAAAACGACGAATATTCTGATTTTAAATCGTCCAGCCAGCCATAATCATCATCACTGTCACATATATCCATATCGTCAGAACTCGAATCATCGATGAGGACTGATGCTAACTTCTAACGAGTCAGAAAGAAGATAATCATTGAAGGACTTTCTCAGTACAGTGGTTATAACTCTTCATCCATTTGAAACAAATTCGGCAAGTGTTTGATTTGCAAGAACAAGAAAGAATAAAAGTAGATAATCATATTACATATCACATATACATAATCTTCACCTTATCACTTGTTTGACTGCCATTTGCTCCAGACGATTTCGTTAATCCACCAGCCCCTTTACTAACATTCTATAGGTGTGAAAGATAATTCTATACTAAAAATACGATAGTCTACAAAAAAGATTCTAAAAAATGTTTTAAAAATACGGTATTTAACATTAAAGGCCACAGAATGTTTGCCGGCCTTTTTGAGGCCGCCTTCTTGTACATACAAATAATCTAGAGATGAAAATTACCTGTCTTTTGCTGGCACTCTTCTCTCTTTCAGGCTTCTCCCAAATCAATATTTGTAATACTCTCATTCTTTCCATGAAGTACAAGTTCTAAAAATGTCACAAAACACGCTACAATTCCACAGTCTCGCTCAATTAAATATAGGTTGGAATCTTACGTAACAACAGCGCAGCATGGTAATATGGGAACACGTTGTAAGCTTAATATACTTACACCGGGATATTTTTCCATCAGGGATTTATAAAGATCATAAGCGTCCCGCAGCCGTTCGTACTGCTCGAAAATGTTAATTATTGGAAGTAATTCAGCATACTGAGTTTGGTCACCAAATCGGATTGCTACAAATGAGAAAAGCGTATTTATAGTATGGGTCGCATGAACAAGAGAAACTGTCATACAAAGTTTGATTGGTTCTGTAAAAGTAACGAGCCAATCAAACTCCGTGTAACTTAAGGTTTTCGCGGCGTTTGACGTCAATATATGCACGAGAAAGGTTTCAAAGGCAAGTTCTCACCTTTTTTACACGCTTTCTTTGCTTGGTCAAAATAATCCTAAAATGAAAAATAATAAAAACACCCCTTTAAGACGCGTCCTTCTTCAAAATAAATTCACTTGATCGATAATCGCTCTCGTGAATAAAGTAAAATCACCCCCTAAATATTACAGTAACTGTAGAAGTCAAGCTTTATATATGTAAACAAACGGATTGTTCACATGCATTTGAACTTCGTGTACTTTAAAATATGATGTGCTGTCTGAATATTTAACACTGTTAACTACAGTTTATGTTCAGAAAAAATCAAATCATGCGAAATCAGGCTCGGCGATCACCTCAAAGTCAAAAGGGCCCTCACATTGTTATCCGGCATGCAGCTGTACCACTTCGTAGAGCGGAAAAACGACAATACAAATTAGCCCATCATGCCGGTAAACGAATTAGAAACTGAGATCACTGAAAGACGATACTTACGAGTTCGATGAGGCACTGTGCTTCTCTTATGAAACATATAGCAGTCTCGGGAAACAAAAAACCTGCTTCGCGATAAAAATTTAATGCCATCTCAATATCCCCTGTTCTAAAAAATTCATCACCCATCCTCATTACGACATTGATGACTTTCGTGTCCAAGCCCAAAAGCAACCACTACAATAACAGAAACAGGATCCATACTATCAAAATTACTACCTAACCATAGTATACAGTCTATACTTTTCTCACACTATACACTTGGTATTCTAGATTGTACTTTGCGATTGTCGGCAAAATAACCTCAAAATATAAGCAAATAACTTCACGTACCTCTACTGTATTCAGCCTTTGCCTAACTTCATTTCGACATTTGTCAAATTCATACATGATAAGACCATCAACTCCTTTAACCACTTGTACCTTGGACAAAAAAGTCATGTTACGTACAAAGTACACTTAAGTACAAAGTAATATTTAACATGAAATTTATTTATAGTGATCAGTCATTTACAATCAAAAGCATGACTGCATGTAATCCGTGAATTCTTTAGTGCCATTGTAACTCAAGTTTTATCAAAGTTGATAAAGTTTTATTATCATTTTTTTTCTGCACGAAATCACAAACATTTATCCAAATATAATATTAAATTTTTTCTGAGGAAATAGGGTCATATGTATAAAGAGTGTTGGTATACATTTGTATTTAAAATTCGCACCGTTTCATTGCAAAAGAGCAGTTTCGACACCTTACTTATGACTGAAATGCATTATATCTAATACGACTATTTTCAGAAAGCTCGTTGAATCGCATGAAAGTGATCTACTGGGGAAGAATTGATTCGCTAAAAAAGACTATAATTATACATACCCCCCGGGGTTGATTTATGATGTCGTGGACATAGCATTCGATGAGTGATTGGTATGACATCACGCCAACATATGAAGGGGGGGCAACGCTGAAAGCATGAAAAGCAATTAAGTAATTAACTGAGAAATATTGTATGTTATGATTAAAAGAATAAAGAGTTTCTTCAGTTTCTAGAATTTCCAAAAAGTTTTATCGGCAAATACATTATTTTTGGCGTGAAAGCCTCGCTCTCAATGACGACAGGATTAAACTACCATTTTTTGGGCGTTAAAATCATTTCCCAAAAACCTTTACAGAGAAATATATCAGTATTCTTTTACAACAGTCACACTAACGACTTTTTAGGCCAGTTTGTAGTTTTACTGAGTCTCTTTGCTGGCGCAGACGGGTCGGATTCGAAGTCGGTACAATATGCGCTGCTGAGTGTGGGAGTTTGCGAATTACGAGTTACGAGATGCATAGGCTATATACACACTGCATTTCACTCTTACAAATTCTACGCTTTGTGAATTTTCAATAATGTCAGAACCAATACACAAAACCTTTTAGCTATAGTTCATTCACTCCTTACTCTAATGTTGACCCCCGAAAACTCGCTACATCTCTAAAACACTCTTGCACTGAAACAGTTCATGTTCAAACTTGTCCGCGTAGCCAAAAAGCCGGACAAAGAACCATTTTAACGACTGATATTAAATAATTATGTAATATCCGATATCGTTTACAAAATGACTCTGCTTCTTAGAAATGAAATTCGAGGAAAACCGACCGAGGTCATAAATGATTTATGTCTAACATATAATTTTATAGTGTTTTGCGTTTGAGACAAAACAGGATAAAATATGAAACTCTTTTATTTGACCAGGCAATTGTAAATCCTGATTTGTCTTTATTTTAAAACAAATATATATTTGCATGACGAAACAGTTGGGCGAACCATTTTGAGCGGGTATTCATTTCCTGGCTAAAGTAAAAGCTTGTTAATATTAAAATGATTATTAGGGAATCCATTTGTGCTGAACTTATGGAAACATACAATCTTTCGCAAACGTTGGTGACATACATTAAGTAGCAAGCGAAGTGGCTTGAAAATTTTGCAATTTCTAAGAGGAAGTCTCGCTCGGATCGTATTTAAAATCAGTATCAAAGCGAGATATGAACCGATTGAAGAGGAGTGTCCGTAAATTACCTGGATCAACAAGTGCAAGAATTTTCAAAAAAGGTGGTCTACCAAATGTGACGAAAACAACCCGAAACCGTCTCCTTAGAAAGGTTGCAGCTATTAAAAGTCCGGTTAAAACGCCTCGCCTGACCTCGAGACATAAAATATTACGTGTAGAATGGTCCAAGAAATATATGAAAACTGAAATGAAGTTTGTCCTATTCACTGACGAATCAAGAGCAACGTTAGACGGTCCTGACGGCTGGGCAAACGGATGGGTTTTTAACGGTGATGATTGCCTCATAAGGATGAGGCGGCAACAACGAGGTGGAAGCGTAATGATTTATTCGGGGTGGTATTATTGGAGATGAGCTCATCGGTCCATTTCATGTTCCTGAAGGACTAAAACTGATCTCAGTCCGGTTTTTAAAGAATGTGATTGAACCCATGGCTGCATGGTGGCCTTCCATTGTCACAACTAAAGACGATCCTCTTCATGCATGACAATGTTCCGTTCCACGCGGCAAAGGCCCCAACAGCGTTTTTGAAATCTATCGGATTCATGAATGCTAACCTGATGATTTGGCCTCCAAACTCCCCTGACTTAAATCCCATTGAGAACTTCTGGTCGATCATTAAGCGCCAGGTTTATGCCGATGGGAAGTAGTATTCCTTCAAAAATGACCTGTGGATGGCAATAAAAGAATCCGTAACTTCCATCCCTAAGTCTACCATTACGAAACTCACAGATTCAGTGAACGACCGACTTTTTTATGTTATCAGACTTCACGGGGCTCATGTCAATAAATAACTTCAATGAAAATGGAATCACTCCGTGTTCCATTTCTATCACTAGAGACCTTTAGCTTGACGTTTACGGCAAACGCCAAACCGCTAACAAAGTTTGTGTTTTAACTCCACTATCTTTAAGTGTGCGGCAATTTTGCTAAATTACAAACGTTCTACATAAAACTTGTGATGCATGCTCAGCAGTAATGTAAGAAAGCAAAAGACTATTTCTGATGTAGACAGAATTTCATCTTTATATCGAAGGGAAAAATTAAGATCAACAATGTAACCTTTATGGGCTTCATTCGGTAAGGCACCGACTTTCTGCACTATTATACGATCTTCTTTGTCGTATACTTTATGATGCAGTTCATCCCATATTTGATCCCAATCAGGATTTTCAATATCCTCACCTCTACAATCAACTTGAACAGCTTCATCAACTTGTATGGACATGATATCGCATTCACTATCAAAACTATACTTGAAAAGCTAGCCTAGAGGAGTATATTTAGAACAGCTATATAGCAACAGGGTTTTCACTGCCTTCATCTTCATGGTCTATATCCTTTTCGCGATAATGATAGTCTTGTTGTCTAGCATAGATTTCATAATCCTTAATCGATGAGCGAATATTAGGAAGAAACTGAATATTTCCTAATAAATTATGCTTGTTCACGAAGGAACTCATCGGTTGGACAACCAACATGAAAACACGTGAGGGCGTAATGATTACCATTCTCAAAACAAAACATGGTTAATGTTTCTGACGGTTTATTCGTACCTAGTTCTTCGTCTTCACCATCATCCCATAGATCATCCCTCACTCGTAATAGATTTGGGACTCTGAACCTATTCACAGCCACGATGCTACCACCAGGCATTTGTTTTGAAAAAATTCTTTGATAAGAGTATTTTTTGGGATCGCAGTTAAACTGCTTTACAATTTCCTTCAACACCTCAGACTGCATTTTCCCCCTTTCGACATGTACAGTTAACTGATAATCATGGGGACGTGGAATGCTTTTACCGTATGCTCCACGCAAGGACGAAAAGCTATTAGAGTCAAACACTACATTAAGCAAAGTGTTTAAATAATGTGAAACACTGAACAAAACATATAGGTCCGTGAACGCTAGCGTGAATCAACCACGCATGTATGTACAGGGTGTAAATATAAGGATCGACCCGAAAGCAATTTGGAGCACTCCCTTTCTCATGAAGCATTCTCTTGACCTCAACCATTGAATTTATTTTTGGCAGAATGCCTAAATTTTTATACTTCATGTAAAATGGTAAATAATTTGCTTTTTACCGGAAGTAGTCTAAATTTATGCATTCTGATTGGGTTGCTGAAAATGTAAACAAACTTGCTGAATTGTCTAAATCGAAATTCCCCTCGTTTATCGGCAAGGGATATATATACAACCATTTGTGAATATTCAAAATAATGTTTTTAAACAATTTTATGAAAAATAACTTTTTATTCATACCTTCTAATTACTTCATGTACTTCTCTTTTCGTGTTATATTCTGAATTAACGATGCATTTCGGAAAATCATCCTCTTCCAAATTCTTCTTTGCATATATTATGAATGAAAGGAAATTTCGTACTCTTAGCGTTTTCTGGGGATCTAGTCCTCCTACCGCAGGGGAGATTTTTTCGCGAGAAATTAAATCTGAATGTGGCTACCCTTGGCTACCCTTCGCGTTTTACAAGATTATCTAATTTCCTACATGTATTCTCCCAACATCGTGCATTATTACATCATAAACCCAACACGACTTGCTTTTCAATTCTTGCAAGTCTGTTTTTTTTCCTTTAAAATAAGACAAACAGTAAATAACGTAGCTACGTATTTACCCAGTTTTTAATAAAGCCAAGACAGCGTTCGGTCGTATTATAATTTTGTAATGCGTCAGACTCGACAACGGCGACAAAAACAATCAACGCCTTATTCATTTAAATTACTATAAAATTCGCTTCAGTTTATCGTGATAATAATTTAGTTTACATTTTAGAATAAAGAAAATAGGATTCCAGACAATGCTGCGACTGGCTCCGCCCGTTGTTGATTTGTAAAAAATTAAATTTATATATTCTCTAAGGGCTGCGAAATTTAATTGTTAATTAAATAAGAACAAACCGTTTTTGGTGAAAACAGCCCTCTAGCTGATCCTTGTCTCTCTTGCTTTTCGTTTAAATCTTGTTTGATTCTAATAATTTGAATGAAACATTAGATTGTACTATCATTATTTGTCTTTAACGTCATCGATAGATATAATTAGGATAATATAATTCAACATAGGTGAGCCACGCAATGACTTATTGTAAAATTCAACCTAATTTTCGTTAAGATGAACTTCTATACCCAAAAAAGGGAGCAATAATTAATATTTACACAGTTATCCCACTCCAAGAGACGAATTTCTGGAATTCGGTGATGTGATTGGTTTGCGAAAAAGTTGTATTTTGTATTACCTTTCTTTCCTTTGATATTCCTGCAAAGGTTCAGCTGATTCCGACTTAAGAATAATTTCATCACTGCGACATCTGGCATCATCGTGAGCCTTCACTAATGTTCGAACTACAGCTATGTGATAATTAGTGCATGCTACCCTGAACGGTGAACGTCCGAAAGAATCTTTTCTATTAATATCTTTCGCAGCTCCATGTTCGAGAAGGTATTGAACAATTGTGTCACTGCCCCCGCGACAAGCTGAGTGCAGAACTGTTTCTAGGCAACTGTTGTCGTCGCTTGCTACCTCGGCACCATGTTCAACCAAATGTTTGACTATGTCTAAAGAAGACCCAAATTGTGCAGCGAGATGAAGCAAAGACAACTCTTCAGTAACTTTCTCGTTCACATCTACATAGGCTGGAACAAGTCGTCTTACTTCCTCTGTATCTCCTTTTTTGATTGCGTTCCACATTTTCGCGGTATTCCTATAATACAATCAGTATGTAGTGTAAAATGAACATTGTTAGAGCTTATTTATCATTAGCGCATGAGAACTGTCAAAGACGTTTTGCGGTTTATTGAAAACAGAAAACCTGGAAGCATACGATTTGTTCATATGGTATATTGTTGTATGGGATTATATTATTAATTGGAAAATTGTTAAAAAAATGTCCTACGGGGGTTGCAATTTGACCTGCGTTTGACAATCCCTATACTCCAATGAAAAAGATGTAAAGGCCTAAAACAATGAATCTATTTTGTAACATTTCGCCAATAATATGCATAAGTAAGAAGCACCATTCTTATATAAACATACTTTATTTTTTCAGATTCTTGGTCATCTCTATCATCACCCCCAAAACATCTCTTGATAGCGTGTTGGAACTGCGGAGAGTGAATTAAAGTTTTGGCAACGTTTTCAAGATCAACGCGAAATACCAATTGACTTCCTTCACAGCTTACATCCATTGTCGCTTCCGGTCTGTTTGCTGGTGGAAAAAATAGTGGGAAGTGATGCTCATTTTGTTAACCAAATTTAGACATGGGTGTTGGTTATGTAAATGCAGTGGATAGAATAGAATGGGAAAGGTCAAAGAAACAAAAATTCAGATTTCACATCAATGTTAAAGATACAACAGTTTAGAAAAACGCACCACCACCTTTAGGTAAAACATGATTAAATAAGAGCTCGATTAAAAATGATGATAAAACCGCATATTTCCACCATTACTGATTCTATGAAAAACTATCGAAATTCAACGCTAGATATGTGGCCTTAGTCACTGGCTTTGCATAATTGATTTTTATTTGCATGTTTAAAAAAGGGCGGTTTCGAGATGTTCGTGATTAATTGCTTTTTCTCTGGTTTAGCTTAGAGCAGATAGAGGTGGAAATATGCGATTTTCACGAAGATTTTTCAACGAACTAGAATGCATCAGCTGTCAGCATGTTTTTCTCCATTTGGTACAAAAAACATGAATAGCGTCATCAAACATCAACAGCGAAAAGCCAGATCTATCTTAATATTACAAAATTGCGCCTACAAATCAAGTGATTTATGCACAATAGCGCGCTTTAATTAATTTAAGTCATAATTACCTATTATCTCGTCTATTTTCAGCTTCATAATTTCTATGAATTGCTTGTTCTGTTGGCAGTCATCAGTCAACGTTGTTTTTTTCTTGTCAACGTTTTTCTTGAGAAAATTGTAATTCTCTAGTTCAGCATCCCTAATTTTTCTTTTCAACTCATCAACTTTCTCCGTTGGAAATTCTTTCTCATCAAGATTACCAATATAGTCAATTTGACATGTGGGAAATTGGACTGCAGCAAAAGCATCCTTAGCAAGTTGAACATAATTATCAAACGTAGCTTTTTCTATTGTGGGATGGGGGAGGTGACATAGAGCGTTTCTAAGCAGTCGAATTTGATCGGTTGCTAAAGCTCTTGTTTCATCGTTGTTACCAGTTAGACTGATCAGCGAGGAATGGAAAGGATTAGGTATTTTTCCCTGTATAAATTGATCGTTCAATGTTTTGATGGTCGGCGGTTTTCCGATGGTCGGCGAAATCGTCGAGGTGGCAAAGGTCTTGGCGTAAATGGTTGCATTAAACAGTGCAGTACAATCCCAATCCTCAAACGACTTACTGGTTGGTATTTTAGTTCTACCTCCTTCGCGTTTTAAAAAAAGGTTTCGTACTTCGGGTGTGTCGTCCCAAGCTTTGGGACCTGCCGGTGACGCGATCTTTGAATCCCACAATGTCACAAATATCGAACGTAACATCCTTGGAAATTCATCGTAAACGATGGATGCAAATTTAAAGAAATTCAATTCTTCTGTTGATAAACGTTTTGCTGCCATTCAGATGCTACTTCATTACCAGCATATACCAAATAAAGGACACAAATTCTTTGAGTCCTTCAGCAATGAGAAAAATCATGCGATATTTTAAACCAATTAGATAAGCAGGTAGAGGTTGTTTCTTGCATGGCCAAAACAGCTATGAAGGATCAATTTTATGAATCCGGCACACTATTATATATTTTGGACACGAAAAGATTATGTTATAAATTTCTTTCATTTGATAATCTTTTTGGCATGGTCAGTAGCGTACGAGGCACAATAATTGATTAATTGTGTATGTGCAGGTGGGGGGCACATACTCATTATTGCCGCTGCGATGAAGCGTCTCGAACATTCTGTTTAAAACAAACTTTCACTGTATACAATCGTACCTAAATGCTAAAGCAATAGACCTTTTCCCACCCTTTCTCAAATCTTATTATGGAATCTTTGTGAGAATCGAATACCGAACCTGAAATCCGTATAGCAAGGAAACATGATGTCACTAAACCGCAGTTTTGACTAAGACTGAACACCGAATATATACTTTACATATACTTATGCTTTGCATACTTCACATATATATACATTTATACATATTTTGCTAACACAGAATATATACTTTTACGTTTTAACATATACTTTGTAATCTAGTTCGATCAGTGTTGTTGGAGTGTACGTTCATCATTTGTCAATATATCTAGCTAAATCTCATTAAGAAGGAGAATTAGGCAAAGTTAGCATGATAGTCGTCGGTTTGTATGAAAATGGAGAAAAACAGAAATCCTCCGACAGTTAATACGAAAGAAATTCATTTATGGGAATTCCCTACTTTGCTTCGTAGTTTCTTATTAGTTGTAGTTTCTTATGTAGTCTCTTAAGTTGTCCATCAGACAGGAAGACATGAATGATCTGTTCCTTATTAAATCAGACAAACGTGGCAAGTTGCTTATGACTGTGATTATTAGAACATTATATCGCACAACCTTTTCTTTGATTCTTTGAATTAAGCATATATAAAAATATAATTCATGGATGTATACTTACGGCTTGAACACGTCTAAGGACATCTGCTGGTGGCTAGTTCACTTCAATTTATTATTGGAACAGCAAATTCGAGATTGACGGCATAGTTAAAACTCTGAAAACATAATAAATTTAAAAAATTATGCTAAACAAGGCTGCATGACGCTGCATATGAATTCCATGGATTAAACCAAGCATCAGTCTTGTATATATGCACCGACTAAAATAGCGACAGTTAATAGCTACGAAAGAAATCCATTTATGGGAATTCCCTACTTTGCTTCGTAGTTTCTTATTAGTTGTAGTTTCTTATGTAGTCTCTTAAGTTGTCCATCAGACAGGAAGACATGAATGATTCGTTCCTTATTAAATCAGACAAACGTGGCAAGTTGCTTATGACTGTGCTTATTAGAACATTATATCGCACAACCTTTTCTTTGATTCTTTGAATTAAGCATATATAAAAATATAATTCGTGGATGTATACTTACGGCTTGAACGCGTCTAAGGGCATCTGCTGGTGGCTAGTTCACTTCAATTTATTATTGAAACAGCAAATGCGAGGTTGATGGCATATATAGTTAAAACTCTGAAAACATTATAAATTAAAATGAAATTTTGATAAACAGTTAACTAACGTTTAAGACTGCATCATAGAGGCTGGACGCTGCATATGAAATCCATGCATTAAACCAAGCATGAAGCATCAGTCTTGTATCTAGGCACCGACGAAAATAGCCACACAACAAAGCTCATTATACTTAGCCACTGATCTATGTAGAGGCCTGTAGTGCACCTGTAGTGTGACTAAAAAACATTGTTACTGCTCCATCATACGACCTGCAATCACGTTACTGTCATTGTTCATGCATGAGAATAATATTTCTCGTGTGCTATAGTAATGGGTGAATGGCGCTGAATTACAACTGAGCACTGTTTTACTTCTTTAGCTGCACGCATTAAAATAAATTATGACAAATAACAATGTCGCCTCTAATGTATGCGATCTCAAAAACAGAATTTATTTAGGTTATGAAGATTTTTGGATTTTGAAGATTTTCTCTCAGAGTTTTTGTCCCGCTATTTAAATTTGAGTTATAATAATTTATGTCCTTAGAAATTTATTGTTTTCACAGTCAATGACTCAGTGAACAGCTATAGTGAGGCAAATCGTCAAGCTTGCTATGCTACTGGCTATATGAAGCGTGGGGAAAACGACCGCTCTTGATGGAAGGAGGGAATCAAAACCTACTTATGAAAAACATGTAACAGAATTATGAAGAATCACACCATTGATGTACACTATGTTTACCTAAATTGAAGCCTTGGTCATACTGTTTAGATAGATTCATTTAAAAAAAAACAAGTGCGAGCGTAGTGACTAGCGTTCACTTTTCTTAGAACAGAACATGGTTAAAATTCCCGGTGCTTCACTTGCTTTTTTGTCCTTCCGCGTCTCGTGAAGGAATGTTTCGCAGAAATCCCTCTTCGTTCTCTTTAGCATCCTCTTTTCGTTTATTGCTCTCTATACAACAAAGACAAAAAAATATTTTAACATATACAATACCAATGCAAATAACACCTTCAACGTAAAAAGTTGCGCCTTCAAGAAAAACCACAAAATTTTGCTCAATAATACAATAGATTTAAAATGTTTTCGTAATATTTAACATAGTTGGGTATCGTCAATTGTCAGAAATATTTTGTTGCAATGTTCTGTAGCGTGGCTACTGGCTAGAAGTAAAGTCCCGCAAATTTTGCCTTCGCAAAAACGTTGAGGAGGTGTCGTTCCAGTTATTAGAGCTCACTGAGCCAGCCTGACGATTTGTCCCGCCATGCTAATATTTTGTGTTGATTAACTGTGGGAACAATGAATAATATGAACAGTTATAATAACTCGAAATTACATAGCGGGACAAAATCGTCAGGCTGGCTACGCCACTAGTGGGCAATGTTGTTGTAGATTGAGGTCTCAATAGATAGCAGGAGAAATGGCAACACTGACAAGAGGGTCTACTACTACTTACTCCTTCTATTGTTGACAAAAAAAAATGGTAAAGTTACTATTAATTCTCCAGAAAACATGCTTATAGCAAGTTATTAACTCGCAGCAACTACACAACATATAGCTATAATCAGGGTCGTGGCAAGACCACTTAATTGGGTGGGTGTATATTCAGATATTCATGTTTATATATCGTAGGAACAATTAATTATTACAATCTACCTTGCAGAGATGCGTCTGTTAGAATGTTTTATTTTGTTCATAAACGCACGATATAAATTCATGAGCGCTTGGATCAAGAGGCTGGGCACGAAAACAGAAGTCCATCACAGACACACAGTCTTTCCACTTTCCGCATCGTGAGACGTTGCAAAGGCAAAGGTGAGGGGGAGAGTTGTTAATTTTAGTTTAAAGGTACCTTCGTGTTTATCATCGGCAATGTTAAAAGGGAGGCAGGGGCCCTGAGAGGAGACTGCGAATATGAGTTCTCGTAACATATTGATTTATTATAAAAAGTACATTAGAGTCGATAGGATATAGGATATATTGTGACAATGCTCCAAGTGTTATTACTGTAGTAATGTACATCATTTCCATAGTCTTCAAGACAAATTAATACATGTAAAATTTGTTGTGTTTCTACACTTTCTGCTTAAATGTACATTCATTTCCCTATTTTTCGCATTTATTTTAGCACAAGCAGTCGTGTCCTGGTTGACATGCATATACTATGATTAAAAGTATTAAAATTACAATTAAGTATATATTAATTACGAATAAGCATACATTAACGAGTATTGCCACATTCACTGAAACATCCGTTATCAAAAAGATCGAGATTCTGTAAACCTTTCTTCAAGTTAAAAGCAATGAAAGATGGTAGACTTATCTCGGCCTTTGGACTTTCATCGCGGAAAATTACGAATTCCTCTTCGGAATCGTCTACGTCATCACTAGAAGAGGAATACTGATCACTACTGCCAGGTTCACTGCGATCCTCACTCGGGTCTTCACTGCGATCCTCACTCGGGTCTTCAGTGCGATCCTCACTCGGGTCTTCAGTGCGATCCTCACTCGGGTCTTCAGTGCGATCCTCACTCGGGTCTTCAGTGCGATCCTCACTCGGGTCTTCAGTGCGATCCTCACTCGGGTCTTCAGTGCGATCCTCACTCGGGTCCTCAGTGCGATCCTCACTCGGGTCTTCAGTGCGATCCTCACTCGGGTCTTCAGTGCGATCCTCGTCAGAAGTCAACGGTTCCTTTGGATGAGGAGTATCAACTTCACAGACACCGTAAGCAAACGCTTGTTTCACTTGATCGTTATCAAGAAAGCTTATAAGTGCTCCAGAGTCACCATCTTTCAAAAACGTCCCGATCATTCCTTTAATAACGATTGCATTTTTGAACAAAATTTCATCCGCGTACTTATAGGTATAACTGCAATCGACGATGTAACCTTTATGATTGTCATTTGGCGAAAAACCGACTTTCTGCACCATCACCCGATTTCCTCGTTTGCAATTAACTCTTTGATGCAGTTCTTTTGATATTCTATCCCAATCAGGATTTCCTATATCCTCAACACCACAGTCAACTTGAACATCTTTATGAACTTGTATAGACATGATATCAGATTCACTATGAAAGCAACACTTGCAAAACTGGCCTAGAGGAGTATAGTTAGCGGGGAGGCCGGCAACAATGTTTTCATTTTCATCTGCATTGTCCGTACCCCTTTCGCGATAATGATATTCTTGTCCTCTAGCAAAGTTTTCATAACCCTCCATGCATCCTTGAATATCCAGAAACTGTTCCGTATCATTAAATGCTTGTGCAAACAAAAACTCATCGGTTGCACAGCCAACATGGAAACAAGTGAGAGCATAGTGTTTATCATTCTGAGAACAGAACATGGTTAATGTTCCTGATGCTTTACCTGTATCTGATTCTTCGTCTTCAACATTATTCGCTGTTCCTAATGGATTTGGTTCGCTGGATCTATTTACAGCCAGGATGCTACCTCCCGATGTTGGATTTGATAAATACTTGAACGTTGGTTTCTTTTCAGGTTCCCGAAAAAGTTCAAAATATTTTCTGGGATCACATTTAAACTGCTTTTTAATTTCCTTTAATACTTCGGATTTCTTTTTTCCTCTTTTGACAGTTAAATAAATATGAGTGCGTGGAATTGTTTTGTTAGGACCAGTAATACCGTATGCTCCACGTAACCACGAAAATCTATTGAAGTCAAACAAACAAAGGCATTGAGAAGTCTTTCAATAATAAAAAACTGTTTTGCACATGCATAAACACCCACCTATACGTATCATTTACATTTACATGTAGGGCGTGCTAAATGAGATCGATCCCAAACCAATTCATTATGTTCTCTTACAGAACACCCTTGATAATTTAACATGAACCAATTTTTTCTCAAGAATTTTTATTGAATGCGTCTAAGAAGTATCTATGTAGCATCGGATGAGTGTGGGATATATAATTATAGATCGACTCTATATATACGAGATGTGTGAGAACGCTGCATTCTTTCAAATAATATTATAAAACGAAATTATCTGTACCTTTTAAATATTTCATGCACTTCTTCCTTTATTTTATATTCTGAATCAAGGATGGTTCTTTCCAGAAAATCTTTTCTCCCATTCTTCTTAACATTCTTTTTTTCCTTTCTGCCACTTTCAATGTTTGATTCAGAATCAAGGATTGTTTCACCCCCTTTTTTTTCAACATCTTTATTTACCATTCTGACGTGTTCATTAAAATCACGTTCTGATTCAATGACTGTTTTACCTGAGAAACTATTTTCTCCGTCGGTCTGTTTAACGCCCACTCTTGCCTTTTTGTCGTCTATGCAGACACAGAAAGATTCTATTATCTAACGAATAACAATACCAGCATAATTATCCTTATATTAGACTCCAAAAAATAGCGTTACAAATTCCAAATCATATTGCTAACCAATAATCGAGAATATTCATTGCAATATTAGAGAGAGGTCCCAGCAGCACAGGGTTAATGAAAGCTAACACAGACAACAAATTTGTTTTCTCACAGAATTCTATTGTTGACGATTAAAATCAGTATCATAATCACAATCGTATTTCATTATAATCATCGTACTCATAATGGTAATGCTTAATATGAACTCACCATAAAGATGATCAAAATCATAATCACTTATCCCTTACCTTCAAAACATTTATTTGTCACAATTTTGGTGTCTTCATCTTGAACACGCTCGTCCAATGTAAATTTACATGGAACGACAGACTCGGAACCAAAACAATTATCGTCGTCATAGACTTCACCCTGGGCGGTGTGAAAGGGGAGCACTGATACCGAATGGCGAGAACTTTGATACCCTTTAGTAAAACAAATCTCACAAAGACGACTACAAGAAGAAAACCTAGGTCTCGTCGTCGTCGAATGTGAGTTTTTATCAGGTATTCCAACGAATGTGGTGTCCTGGTCTGAAAAAGGCCTTCGGTCGTTTACAGATCGGTTGCATAGTTTGTAATAAGCAAGTAATCTTTCCAGAAGGGATCTTTTTGGACCTAATCCTCCAGCCCACATCCATTTTGAATATGTTAGTGAACCCATCTATAAACGATATTAGCAGTATTATATAGCGACCTGCCATAAATTTGAAAAATGCACCACAGTTTGGACGTAGACGTAGTTTAACTCAGTTCGTGGGGTGCAGAAAGTATTAGGTGAATAGCTTTACGCAATGCGCAAACATTTAAAAGGTTTCTGGTTAATTAAAGAGGGATAATAATTTAAGACGTTCTTGATGAATGATTGATGATGATATTTTGAATTAAAAAAACTCAACCAAAAGAAGTTTAAATTTGATATTAACCTGTTTTTGGTCCCCGTTTAAAACAACTTTTGTGTTTTCATCAGCCATCACAAGCGGGGTTAAGCACTCGGGTTCCAGGGCCTGCGCGGCTTCGTCAATTAAGATATGCTTGAAGCGCAATTTTCCATCCTGATAAAATTTCCACAACACACGAGCGGTGGCCAAAGTTGTAATGAACACGTTATTGTCACGAATGTCACAGAGTGTTAGCTCCCGTGCAACATTCGTCTTTTCTAGAAAAATTTTCAATGACAATATACCTTGCTGAATGTTTTACAACACGTGATCATGAAGGACTATGTTAAATAGATGATTTTGCCGTGGTTCGAAAGTTATAGGGAAGTAAGGAGTAGCCATTTTACTTATGGTTTGTAAGAAATTTGATTGACATGCGAACACACTTACCTTCAATATTACAATATCTGCGTAGGTTTTCAGGAATTTTAAGAGCATCTTGGAATCCTTTATACACTCTTAATGGCCGAATATTTAATTCCCGCTTCGTAAGTATCTTTGCCATCCAAGTATCAGCCGCGCTGTTTGAATGAGTGCAGATAAGAACTTTATTGCTTCTTGCTATTCTAGAAATCATCCCAAAAGCACGCATCATGATCTCACTGCCTGATGGTCCAATCGTGAGAATTGGCGGGGAAGGACTGGGGTCGAAAAGCGTCCCGATCATTTTCTGTTGCTTTGTGTGTGGTTTTCGGTCCGGATAAAAATCACAGATTAAATTCTAGGGAATTGAAAGAAAAATGTTAGTTCACGTGCTAAGGGCTGTTTGTAGACAAAATATTTAAACTGGTTTGAGCGCTACACGAAAATCGCAAGCAACAAAGTCGACTCCTGGCACGGCTCCCGTTATTTTTGATTTGTAGCTGAATAGTGAAATGCAATTTTTATATGAAGTCGTATGATAATTTCAATAACTTTGCAATTCACAAATAAAGAAACGTTATGTGCCTTTCAAAACATTTATCGAAAAGATATAGCAGACTGAATTCACAAGATAAAAATTTACATGCATTCACGAAGGAGACAGCTAGTGATCATTTAACCGTTTAATGTATAATTCCGACGAGGTTTTTGGCACGTGCATATGAGGATATAATGCTCGCAATAGCATCAGGCCTTCAGATCTTTCCAGATTTATCGCATATTGACTCACCTCGTATTTATAACAGACATCCCTTATATTTGGAAGCAGAATACTAGTCTTCCGTTTACACATATCAATTGCTTCATGCATTTCACACAATGCCAGGCGGTTGTATCTGAGCTTGAGATCAATTTGCACGATTTGATCTTTAGCAAGACCAAAGTCTTTGCATAACTCCTTATTCAATTTTATAACAACCAATTTCGAAGTCTTTGATTTAATGATACACTCGTATACTCTATCAGTTCTAAAAGACTTTCTCATTTTTGGTCGCAAGATCACTGACGTTACTGAGAGGTTTATAATATGACTAGCAACTTCGTCCATCACAGGATAATCCCATGAATGGATTTCTCCAAACAAATCACCAGTACTTGCTGCATTAGCTGTCGATTCATCGCCAGCGGAGGTATTTACTACATTCATCATGCGATCTTGTAGGTCATATCTAAATGTGTAATATCGAAGTGGCGTAATTTATTTCATTAGAAATGGATGCGCTGCGCAAGTAGGACTAGAGATTGGTAAGCCTACTTCCATCTCACTATATGCCAGGGTACAAATTCATTTCATATGTGATCAATAAACATCAACAACATCAACATATCGACAACAATCAACATCATTATTAACAACTAAGGGAATTAGATGCGACTAATCAATAAAAACATTCCGTGATTAAACTATAGGATCGCGAGCGCGTGGAAATAGAACGTTTCCTAACCTGCCAATCTGTGTCTGAATGTGTTTTTCTTCAATAAACAAGATTTTGTGCCAAGTATTGCAGTATGTTCCACGTGAGAATTCTGAACACTCTGCAGGATCAGGCAAGTCATCTGGAATGCTGTACCGTTCACACAAACCATCCAGATCCATTCCCATCAGTTCTTTACACGGAACCAATTCTATTTTGTCCACAGACCATTCAGCGATGTGACAATATCGTGTACGTGAAGAAGTCTTTTCTTCAGAAGTATCCTTGTTCACAAACGACACAGAAAGTAGATGAGCGAGAACAGTATCAATGTCAAAATTCAATGGTAACTTCTGTTCGAAATCATCAGAACCCCCTGACGAATACTGATAAAAAGATTGGCCATGTGCGACGGTACGGTTCTTTTGAGAGTAACAGTAACCATCCTCAAACCTAAAAAAGAACAAATAAACACATTTTAAAGAAGGGCATAATTGGTTACGAACCAAAATGCATGAGAAATAACATTCAACGTCAACCATCTGGTCAGAGATGATCCTCAGGCCCGCTTAATAAATCGCAGTTAGATATGTCTCTAACCTGCGACACGCTTTAACTTCATCGGTTGGAGAACGAAATTTGTCACTGGATTTTGCACCAAGCGTCTGTATAAATCTTATCACCTTGACCCTGTGCTCAGGATCGCAATAATGATACTCAAGCTCTAAGATGGATGAAAATTTTATATCACAGAACCTGCATCGTTGCTCTTCTTGTTCCATAAAGGACGACACGGTGTTCGTATCTCGACTGCTTGGTTTTTCAAGCTTCGCTGAAGCTGTGCTTGATATTTTTATTCTTCTCTTGTGCTTACCTAGAAAGGAATCGTCGTAGGAATTTTTAGGCTGTCATGGTAATTTCTAGAGCTATTTTTCACACTACATAAAGAATTTCAACTAAATATCTAAAGCTCAGCTTTATTAATCAGCTATATTATTAGTAGATTTCTTGATGCTGAATGGCTATGGAGGAGAGCAGTTTGAAAATGCACTGCATGTAATAAAAAAAAACTTTTCCATGTTTCGATTTGAGCCTTCATCGCACTTTCTCTTCTGACGAAAGCCTTGAGATTGAAATATGGACTAGTTTTTCGTCTATTTTAGGCAGTTATTGTACACCACATTTGATCCGGTGTTATTAGATGAATCTGGCACGATGCTCCCTGGTTATTTTTCGTTTCATTATAATGCAATTTGCAAAGAGAACCCACCACATAAACGATAAAGTTCCCAAACTTCCAGTTCATCTTGTCCATGTGGGAATGAACATGGCGTTTTGAAGCACCTTTTCCCTTGTTTGAAATACTTGCATTCTACATAACAGCGTGATTTTTTCCGAGGCGGCTTCCTTGGATTTGTCCACTTAGTCGTGTAGACGTTTCTATACCAAGTCACAAGTTTACTCTTGCACGAATGGCATCGCTCTGCCTCAAAGGTACGAGGTGAGTTGCATTTAGGACAGACACTTCTAAGATGTGATCCGCTTGAAAGTATGTAATCAGTATCCGTTGGCATGTCGTTGAGCAAGCGCGCTACAGAACCTTCATAAAAAGTGTAAAGTCTGTATCAAGATAATCTATCAGTAAATAATCCATACAATGCGACAAAGCACTGCAATGCGACAAAGCACAATGCGACATTTGAATTATAGTAGATGGAAATATAACTTTTATTATTTGTTAGTGTTATGGATGTGCGTATAACCGAAATTACAGGACTTTTCAGGGAAACAGTGAACTTAGGAAAGAACTGAAGCAACTATCTATATTAGAATAAACAAGCATTGTTCAGAAGTATCTGTTCAGAAGTACCTGTGATGCGATTAGATCTTTTGGGAACTTTTGTTTCAGATTTCTAATATACAAAAACAAAAAATGATCGTTTGGTACAAACGATATTATGATCTAATGATATATATTATCTCAGCCGGTTCAAATGCACCCACCCGGTAATTACGTCAGAACTTTATCGTTTCCAGTTTAGAACGTAGAAAAAATTGAATAAGGAGTTATGCAAAGAAAGCGTAAAAAAGTGAAACAGATTTAAATTTTACTCTCACGAGCTATGTGCAAAGATGTAAAACATCCTTTTTAACACATGCGTCAGAAAGATTTTTTCATTTTGACCAATAAATGTGGAAATAAGCCATAAGACAAGAATGAAGCTGAAGGGCCAAAACCTGAGCCTCTTTTTTGTGTTATGGCTTATTTCCGCATTTATTGATCAAAACGAAAATTTTTTTCTTCATCTTCGCACATAGCTCATGACAGTAAACTTGAAATCTGTTTCACTTAAGGTGGTTCTAAACTGGAAACGGTAAAGTTCTGACGTAATTACCGGAAGGGTGTATCAGTGGGGTCGACGCGACAGAACCAGCTGATCTGGGTATAAAAATCAACCAATCAGAAGAACAAATCTTCGACAAAACTGAATTATCATTTCCTTCGTTGCATATGAAGTTTTGTCGAGACGCTTTATGACGTCATGATCTCAGATCAGCTAGAAGTAGCTACGTCTATTAAAACTAGCCCAATTTCCTACCATGGCCGAAAGAGAAATGCAGCTATAAATTCCCGAACAGCATAAATTCCCTAAAATTTAGTTGCAAATTGTTGCAAAATGTTATATGTATGTATCATGCACATGTATGATATAAATTGAAATGTTTTTATAAACTGTAAAATCGTGCATTTTTCTCGATCCTTTCATTGATTGAATTCAGCATCAACCGACATCAGTATAGCAAGCTTCAGCTTCAGATTCAATCGATAAAATAATTTAGTACAAAAATTAAAACAAATTTCAATTTCCGTCACTGTTTTCAGCTGTTCTATTACCAACCCAAGTAAACGAAATAGGGATAAAATACCTTCGGATTACTTGCAATAACATCTTTTCTTTCCATTTTACCCGGAGGTAACTTTTCTAACTTTTCTTTTCTTTGCATCCTGTCAGTGCATGAAGGGGCCGAAAGCTGCAGTAGTAAAAAAAGTACAGTGTTACTTCAACCTGATAATTATACATTGTTGTTCCCTATGCTAACTTCGCAAATTTTGTATATGCATGTATTACGCGAGGAAATTATGTTTACTGCATTGGGACCCAAAAATGGTAATAAATGGAATGGTTTGGAACAGTAAAGACTTCTCATGTATTTTGCTTCTTTGTTTTGATTCAAAACGCTCCTTCTAGGGGCTACATTGTTTGAATTTGACTTTGGAAAACGAATTGTACTTTAGCAATTAGCTACAAACTTTCGTTATCAAAGTCAAGATTATAATTAATAGCAAGCGAAATGTATATAGATTCAAACATGCACTAACTATAGTCTATTGCTGTATCTAACGTGCCTCGAAAGATTTTACAATTTTACATATACGATTTACCTGTTTATATTTTCTGTTGTGTAAAGGCATATAGAGCCATGGCAAGTTTGAACCGAATTGTTAGTCCATATACACTCATGCATCAGTGCAGCTTTAACAGAATAATGTTAAGTTTGTTACAAAGTTTCGAAGCTGATTACCTTTAGTTGCACAGAATAATGAGACGGGAAGTGAATGAATCGCCCGGTGTATCCAGAACTATAAATGATGATAGTTACGCCGAATATAGATCCGCTGATAAGACATGTTTTTTAATTTATTCAGGAATATTCTGATTAAAATTGTATGGTGTTTGTCGCGACGCAGCTTATCAATTATTTAACAACTCCCTAATATAGGCAAAACACTCCTCGATGAGTCTAAGTAAGGGCCTTCGTTATACTAACTATTCTGATGAGCGACAAAGTCTCTTAGGTTGAAACGTTGAGAAGTGTTTTCTCAGTTTTAGAATATCAAGTTTAAATCAAGTATATAACTGAGCCGTAGCAGCCGAAGCAATTATAATAAAAACTAGAAGCTTATATAGATTTGACTTCTTGGTTTAACAAAAAAAAAAACCAGTTTTAGGGGGATGAATCAAAACCTTTATTCTGAAAGTAAGAAGTTTCGTCGTCGTGCACAGAAAACCATGTATCATGATTTGCATGAAGATATAGCTGGTACCAGTCGCGATATTTTCTCTTTCAAAAGAACTATCGGGGAAAGCAGAATTACCCTTTTACAAATCTGAAGTAGCCCTCTAAAAATATCTTCTATTAAGTGACGCATGCAAACTCGTGATTTAGATCGTTTAGAGCTAGAGGTCTCGCGTGTTAAAAGACAAAAACAGCAGCTACCACATAGTCATAGCTAATTGATTAAAATATTTCGTCTTAAAAATAATTTTAATACAAATGAAAGCGATAACAAATTTATTTTATTAGAACGACGTTTCGATGTCATCTTTACATCATTTTCAAGTTCAATTAAAGTTCGTATTACTTAGTGTTCGTACGTATTACGGTTATCTTATATGCTAGCGTCATGAACCGTAATACGTATTACGGTTATTTTATATGCTAGCGTCATGGACCGTAATACGTATTACGGTTATTTTATATGCTAGCGTCATGGACCGTAATACGTATTACGGTTATTTTATATGCTAGGGTCATGGACCGTAATACGAACACTAATTAAGTAATACGAACTTTAATTGAACTTGAAAATGATGTAAAGATGACATCGAAACGTCGTTTTAATCAAATAAATTTGTTATCGCTTTCATTTGTATCAAAAAATATAACGAAAGCTTTCCTTATTAAAAATAATTCTTCAGAAAATTTAATCCAAATCACAAATTTGCGACTTTAATATATGCGTCACCTGTCGCTCGTACTTTAACTGGTACTTATACTGATATTCAAATCATGTTCGTCTAGTCATAGGTCATTTCAGTAGAGTTATTTGTATATGGAGTCATCGTTCCAGGTGTTTTGCAGCTCAGTGTACAGACATAGCTACATTTCAATGATTTTATTATCAATTAGACGATCTTGTTTGGCGTGGATTCTACAATGATCTTACTATTAAAACTCAATTATACCTTTATTTCCAATCGCAATTCATAGCATTGCTCAATTGCTAAATAAAAATTTACTAATAATAAAAACAGAAAATCTTGGTTACCTGCATTGAAAACCTTCTAAGCTCTATTTAAAAAACACGTTTTTAAAGAATTCTAAATTCTTAATCTATAAAAAGAGTTAATAACTGTTCAAGGATAGACGAATTTTTCGTCTCCCTCTTTTTGTTTTATAAATTATAATATTATAAGTTAGATTAATCTTATAGACCAAAACGAAGGCAATGTGGAAAGATATAACAATGATTAAATATATTTACACATATATTTACAATAACATTTTTCAGTTATATACCTAATTTTAATAGTTATATTTTAAAATATAGCTCAGATCACAGATAGAGTAGGAAACAGATGCTACTACACAGACCCTCGTCAGCTACGCTATCTTGCGACTGACATATTTAACAGTTTTAAAGGTTGTTAAAACTCTGCAAATATGTGTGCATTATCGATTAATTACTGCCGCATTCGCAACGCAATAGCATCCTCCATCCAAAAGATTCAGATTTGGGTAAATAAAACATGGTTTACGTTTTCATCGTAATGGACGAATTTGGTTTACTGCGTCTATTTACGGTCAAGATGCAACTCCTCGATGTTGGTCATGATAAATACCTGAACGCTGGTTTCCTTTCAGGTATTTTCTGGGATCACACTGCCTCTCAATTTCCTTCAATATTTGAGTTTTTTTACAGTTTTGACAGTTAAATAAATATGTACGTTTTCTTTTATGTTATTGCTATATAAGTTTGTGTCCCAGAAAGCTTTTCCCCCTTTGCTTTTTTCGCTGTCTTTGCAAGACTAAAAATATTTTAACATAAGCAATACTAACGTAAATTAAGTAATAATAATCATCACAACTATCGCAACTATTATCATCCCTATCATTCATAATCATCATTATTATCGTCAGCATAATCATTAAAATCATCATATTCATCGTCATTATAATCATCTTTATTATTATAATCACCATAATCATTATTATAATCATCATTATTATCGTCACCATAATTATTAAAATAACCGTATTCGTAATAATAATACTTTGTATACTGATTTCATCTTTTCGATGATGACGATATAAATTCATGAGCGCTCGGGTCAAGAGGCTGGGAACGAAGACAGTAGTCCATCACCGTCTTTAGTGTGCAGCCGTGAAGACCTTTGTTTTTCTCGCAACGTTTGAGATAATCTTTCCACAAATCTCTGCACGCACCCACACTGCATAGCGACATCGGATCTCCGACGACGGCGAGCAAGGACTGGGCACGAGTCACGGCAGTGTTTAAAAAACGTGGGTCGGAAAGAAATCCAAAATCAAGTTCGGAAGGATCAGAGTTTCGTCCTTCGATCAAAGAACAAGTCCACATCGTTCTTACGGTGCTAATAAACAGCGCCTTGAATTGCTTCCCTAAATCATAAATGAACGGGTTATCAAACTAAGACGGGACAGGTCCATATGCCGACAGTTGGCAAGTTGTATTTATAGATAGAGGCGGCCAGTTGGCAACCTCGTTTACTTTATAATTATAGAATTCTTGTAGTATATAATAACAATATAAAAACACTATTAATTAGCTTCGAAAACTTACGTGCATACGTGGGTTAATTAATATATTTACTTTGTCATTTATTTTTATAACAATCAAACTAATGGAAAGAGAATTAGAGTAAATGTATATTTTTGCTTTGATAATGAAAAAATAGATTACCTTGGACATTTTCAACAGTTTCAACATCAACATAGTCAAGACCTTCCTTCGATAAAATATCCCTAATTCGTTTTACCTATAAATAAGTTTACATATATTTATTTTTATTTACAAACTTTATCAAATGTGCCTGCTGCTTATGTCTACGAAGCTCCATTCGACAGGGTACCTAATTTTATATACATGCAGTATAAAAAGATTATCTAATCATCATGTAGCTCATATATGTGTAATAGATCATGTGGTAGGTATACTGTTCTACTCAAACTCAGTATTCATCGACAAATTTGAGGAAAAAATGAAACAAAAAGCTTCAAGACCGTTTTTAGACAAATTTGCTGAGATTATAATTACCCATAAGGCCATAACAAAATCGATGTACATCATTACCTGATCAAAATATGGTGTGATAACTCCAATCTTCCTAGGCCAACCTTCTGGCCAAAGAACGTCAAGTTTTTTGACTCTTGCTACAACTTCATCCACCTCGGCGTCATTGTAGTACGCTAAACCTCCTTCAACTTTTCTATCCACACCCTGTGCGGTGTAAAACGAGAGAACTGGTACGACTTCGTGCGTGCTCTGGTCGCCCCTGGCAACCAACATGCCACCGTAAAAGTTATAAGATGGAAACTCGAGTATCTTTGCATGGGAGCGATAGTTTTCACTGAGCAACACTACATAAGGTATTCCATCAAAGTTTCTATCACGCTCGTTTGAAGTTTGTTTGCATTGTTCGTAATGTGCGAATAATCTTTCGAGAAGAGATATTCTTGGACCAAACCTTTTAGTCCATATCGATTTTGAATAAACTCGTGGACCCATCTAACAAATGAAATGAAGTAAAACGCAAGTGAAAAAGAGTATTGCATGGATCTGACAAAACTGGAGTTTCTATAGCACTGCGAAAAACACCAGTGAAAGATCGCCAATATTAACTGCTGAACTTTCCGTGTTCGAAAAAATATCCTAAGATGCCTAATAATATATTGTTACAATGCATTTGGCACGTATAAAGTTCGATGTTTTAAAAGGTACATATATTTTGAATTCGTAGACTTCCCTATGAACAGATGTGAGACCATCAATGTTAAAATCTATTCAGCAACAGTAGTTGCATGTTAAGCCATCAAAAAACATATTACTACAATTACTCATTCATTTTATACAGCACATTTCATTTACATTTTTCATCTTGTTCACTGAGTGAATTTTCTATTCATTACGATATTTTTTGGATTACCTGTTTGTGATCTCCTGCCAAGACTATCTTTGTTTTCCCATCAGCCATTGCAAGCGGGGCAAGGCACTCGGGTTCGAGAGCTTGGGTCACCTGGTCAACTAATATATGCGTAAAACGCAATTCATTGTTTTGACAGAACTTCCACAACACACGTGCAACCGAAAGAGTCGTAATGATAACGTTGTTATCGTGAATATCATTTGCTGTTAGCTCCCGCGTATCGTTGCTCTCCTCTAAAAAAAAATCCACGAGTTACACTCTTCACAAATACTCAGGTCGTTTACTGCAACTGATCTAATGTTTCGACATGAAGACTGTAACATGAATGGAACAATGGCATGTATGACATATAACTGCAGTGTTTTGAGAAACATTTATACATATTGCTAGGAATCATACATAGGTTACAATTGAAAGGGCACATGAACTATATTAATATCCATAACATATTAGATACCGCCAAACAAGGAGAACTTTACAAAAGATTCGCTCGTATTTTGCTCAACCCATCATTACCTTTAATGTTACAATATTTCCGTAGTTTTTCAGGAACATCCATAACATTCCGAGAAAGATTGAGCACTCGCAGGGGTCGAATACTCAAAGATGTTTTTTGATCTTGTATTTTTTTATCCAAATGCCCCAGATGGATGTCGGCTGCGGTGTTTGAATGGGTGCAAATGAGGACTTTGTTGCTTTCTGATTGGCTAAGGATTGCCACACAAGCGAGGCTAAGGGTGAATGTTTTTCCTGTGCCAAACGGTCCAATCACGAGAATTGGCGGAGTGGGATTGGGATCGAGGATCATCGCAATCGCCTCGTGTTGGTTTGTGTTTGGTTTTTGGTCCAGATACCAGTCAGGGATTGATTTCTAATTGAAAATTGAAACAAATTGTCTCAATTTATAATCCATATCAGAAAGTGCCTTAAAACGTATCTAAACAAGTTGTCATGTGCTATGCTTTTTCAGCAGCTTCAAGTTCATTAAACAAATTCCTAATTCAATAAATATTTTGGTAAACATATAGAAAATAAAGACTTTAGTAATAATCAATAAAGACTTTAGTAAACATATACTTTCAACGCGCGCATTAGAAGTCGTGGAAATAAACGACACGGCTATAAATCTTTAGGTTTTCTACTAAATATTGTATATGCTATATATGAACAAAAGAAAAAAGTATAAATCGAGTCGTTACTCACCTTAAACTTATACGACACATTCTTTACATTTGGAAGCAGAATGTCAGTTTTGTGTTTACACATATCAACTGCTTCATGCATTTCACACAGCGGAAGACGGTTGTATCTAAATTTAAGATCGATTTCGACCTTTTGATCTTTAGTAAGACTAAAATCTTTGCATAACTCCTTATTCAATTGTATAACAACAGATTTGGACGTCTTTGATTTGATTATACATTCGTATACTTTCTTTCTGGAAGACTTTCTCTTTTTTGGTCGCAAGATCACTGACGTTACTGAGCGGTTAATAATATGACCGGCAACTTCGTCCATAATCAGGTGATCAGATAGAACGATTTCTCCAAACAATTCACCAGAAACTGCATTAGCGAATGATCTTTCTTTGGTTAATTTGGAGTATTTTACTACCTTCATCACACCATCTTGTATATCATATCTATAAAATAGTTGTTTCGTTGAAATTAGACGTATTCCCCCGGAACATATTTAAATACAGTCATCAAACAACTATAGAACTCTCGAATACCAGAATTGAGGTCTAATGTCGCCTACATCAACAGCATTGTCACCAACATGCGTCACTGTCGACAACATCAACATCGATAACATCATCATCATTACAACGGCATCATCGACATTGATCAATAACATCATCAACAATGACATCATCATTATCATCATCAACAACATTATCAACAACATTATCAACATTAACAACAACATTATCAATGATAACATTATCAATAATAACATCATCACCAACAACATTATCAATAATAACAACATCATCACCAACAACATTATCGTTAATAACATCATCAACATAAACAACATCGTCACAATATCAGAATTGCCAACACTGCACCAATACTCATCATCATAATTGAAACAGAACACTACTTTACCTTGAGACCTCTGTCTGAATGTGTTGTTCTTCAATAAACAAGATTTTATGCCAAGTATTGCAGTATGTTTCACGTGACAAATCTGAACACTCTGATGGAACAGGCAAGTCATCTGGAATGCTGTACCGTTCACACAAACCATTCAGATCCATTCCCATCAGTTCTTTACACCGAACCAATTCCATTTTGTCCACAGACCATTCAGCGATGCGACAATATCTTGTACGTGAAGAAGTCTCTTCTTTAGAAGAATCTTTGCTCACAACCGACACAATAAGTGAATAAACGAGTACATCATCACTGCCAAAACCAAATACTAACTTCTGTTCGAAATCACCAAAAACCCCGGACGCGAATTGAACACGAAATTGTACCGCCGACTCATTTTCAGCTACGCTTTCAACAAAATCCTCCTCAACAAAACGAGCATTATGCCAGTCTGGTGGTTGCTTTTGCCTCCCACTACTACGGCACAGGAGTTTGAATTTGTCTAAATGGGTCTCCAATAAGAAGGCGACTTCGCTAAGCAGTAGTTGATATTTTCTCTAAATTGTGAATAATCAAGTAAGTTACATAATTTATGTAAGATGCCTGCGTAATGAAGCAGTTTGCAAACCAAGCATGAACTTACCTGAATACGAACTTCAAATATCCACGTATGTTCGACCTGACCACCATCTATTTTAACTAGTTTCAATTGCCTCTCTGAACTACAGGTCAATGTCACACCAAGGAGATTTTGTTTGAGCTAAATAAAAAACACCAAGGTCGACAATGTACTTTGTTATATAGGTGCTGTGTATTTTAAATGTGATTGGTTCATTCGTAGTCACATGACTTTAAATAAATGCAATGTTTCCCGCCAGGGAAACAAGTGAAAAATTGTTGCCCGCATATTATCATAACAAAGTTTTTTGAAATGAAATTGTCGTGTAACATGTATGTTTTTGTTCCTATATAACAAAACACTTAATGTTTGCTACACCTCGGGAAATAGTGAGTTTTGTTTTCCCTCGAGTCTCAACGTTTCCCTCGACTTCGTCTCGGGAAACATTCAGACTCTTGGAAAAACAAAACTCACTATTTCCCTCGGGAGCATACATTAAGTGTATATTATGTAGAAACTGGGAATGGGCGTTTCTGGCGTAAATCTCAATAATTTAAAAGCTTTTCACTAACCACTTGACATAAACCTTCCTGTTTGACTCTACGCCGGACCTTTTCTCCAAAACTTTCTGCCATGGACTGTTTCTCTTCAAGGTGTGTAATATCGTGAGTTTGTTTGCGATATAAAGCTTTCCAATAATCGCACTCTCCCTGGCCGTGTGCAAAAGTACACTTCTTCTTTAGGTAACAATAACCTTCCTCAAACCTAGTAAAGAAAAACGGACTTTTGTAGATAGGGCAAATATTTCTGGGGAAAGAAAGAACATAGTTTAGAACTTTTTAAGGAACTTTTCAATAATAAATACAAACACATTTAGGAGTTAAAGAACCGAATCAACTTGTGGAAATAATTTTAGTAAATTAACCGTTTTTAAAGGAATCTCCAATCAAAATTTTAAAAGCTTATTGTAGAAACCCAGTGCCTTTCTGCAAAACATGAATTCAGTTTGAAGGAAGAACATTTCTTACCTGCGACACACTTTATACCGGCCGTTGTTAACTCCATCAGGTGGGGGACGAAATTTTTCACTGGATTTTGCATGACGTTCCCCTTTTCTCTTGTTGCTTAAGACCCTCCCCCAAGAGATCGTTTCCTCTTTAGATTTTTTGGACGTGGTTACCGTCGTCCAACCATCCTCTTCAATTCCATCACCTTCAGTTTCTTCACGATTTGGGTCAGAATCCGTCGTACAGGCGTCTACTTCATTATAAAGCAATGTTGATGGTGTAGATAGAGCTTGGACCGAGTCTTGACTTGATCCGTACGCGGTATCTTGGGAAAGGACGGATGAAGATTCTGAATCAATATCGTCAAGATTATCTTTAGCGGTCGGCGTGTCGTTTGAGTTTAGAGCTACAAAGCGGTTTGATAATAATGGCAAAGCATCGAATGAGCTCAAATTTTCTGTTTTAGAGCGAGGACCTGTACTAGTAGAGTTTGAAAGCGTGCATTCTTTGGATTTTTGCAAAGGTGAAATGGTAGCGTCGTCTATCTCTCGTAATTGGTTTTCGGCCAAATGAGAGGTTGTGTTTGTCTTTGATGTGCGTGTCTCTGTTGTGCGTGTCGTGACTGCGCGTGTATCTGTTTTGCGTGTCGTTGCTGATGGTGTCTTCGTTGTGCGTGTCTCTTCTGTGCGTGACACTGTTGTTGTATGCGTGTTTTCTGTACGTGTTTCTCTTTCATTTCGTAGCTTGACGCCTACAACAGTGTAAGAATGAAGCGCCCTTTTTATGAAGTGAGAAACGGAGTCAAATCAGAACTATTCTACGTGATCGTAATTATCGCTACTCTGGTTTTAACAAATGAAAGTAATCACCACACAAAGATTAACTTTCACGACCCTAACTTCAATTATTCTAGGTGATGTACGTAATATATTTTTAAAAATGATGTTAATATAAACAGGACCACACATAGACCTGAGGGCTGAACCAGTCTTAATCTTTCTGTGTGATCTATTCAACAATATCTTTAGACAAAACATGATTCAAAGGAGAAGGCATGTAAATATTTTCCATTCATTTTCTTGCCAAAAGAAAATTCTGAGATAAAAATAAAATTACTTTATGCCCATTTTACTGCATAATACTCGCCTTTCAAACGACATAGGTTCCAAATTTCTACCTCATCTTGTCCATGAGCAAACCCACAGGGCGTTTTAAAACACTTTTTCCCCTGCATGAAATGCTTGCATTCTCGATAATGACCGCGTACTTTATCCGGTGGTTTCCGAGGCCGGACCCAAGCGGTTGTGTTAATTTTTCTATAGCGAACGACCAGTTCGCTTTTACACGAATGACATTGAACGTCGTGGGTGAAGGCACGAGGGGTGTCACAAGAAGGACAGACACGCCTCAGAATTGATCCATCTGCGAGGACCTCATCGTAAACTGATGACATATTGTCGAGAGAACGTTCACCCTGGGGAAACTGCATTGGAATTGAGAAATTTCAAGTTGACTGGGAATCGGTGACTACACCTGAATTGTTCAAATTAGATGAAATGTCAGCGTTGAAGGTGAATGTTGCTTTCGTGTTGGCGACCCAGGGCCGTTTGTTTTAGAATCGCAAGCACATTATATGATATGAATGACTGAATCTAAATATGAATATATGCAGAAGATGCCGTTCAAACGTAATTGTTCTCATCGTTGGCTAAAGCTCTGTTCATCATAGACTATATTCTAATAATCTGAGAAACAATATCATTGATCTACGGAAATGAAATTATATTCATTAGCGATTACATCAGCACATTGAATCTGACTTATTTTTGATTAGCTATATGTGCAACAAAGAGCGCATGTCATCATGAAAAAATGGATATTTGACTAATCTAATCCTTCTGCTTCGCGCGATGCCTCGTCATCGTGCGTTGCTAATATTAAAAAGAGGGACTATTAATATATATTACGGTGAAAATATAACACACAATTCCCCCTTATTAACACACATGAAAGCTCTCATGCTGATGAGAAACAGATCGTGTTTAAACCTGTTAGTTTGGCTCACCTGCATGTGGACAAACAATCAATTGTATTACGTAAGCAAAATACATCATTTTCTTAGAAATACATTTCCCGGGAAAACCAAGGTCATTAATAATTTACGTCATAACATCCTATATCATATTTTGTATCGGAAACAAAAATACTTCTGTCAAGGTCCAAATATCTCTTGTTTCAAGTGATATAGAGACATATATTTTTTGAGGCAAACGTTCGTGAAAACAGCAGGGGGCGGGAACTTAGTGCGAGCATCGATTGTTAAGAATCAAATGCTTGGAAAATGATGATGCAATTCTTATACGATTCTAACCAAGCGTTTAATTTATTTGTGCTGAAGTTTGAAGCGCTAAATTCGCAATAAAATGTTCGGCAAACGCACGTTTGTAATTGAAATAAGAAGCGAAGAATTTCGGTGAACGTATATGATTTCTTTTTAAACCTGTTTTGGTGAATGAAATATAGACACGACAAAATATTGCAGTAATACAGTGAATGTAAATAAACGATAAATACGTTTAAAACAAATATTCTCGTCCATCTTTAATAGGTGAGATATTACTTGTTGTAAATTTAGTTTAAATACAATCGAAGGTCAAACAGGTTTGGACAAGTACTGAGACAGACACTGGCCTATATATACATACGCTTGTAAGACCTTTGCCTTTGTTCGTAATAATTCTTATATCTTGGGCTCACGTAAGTAGCTAAGTATGCCTAAAGAATAGAAATACTCGAGATTTACCTGTAAATATCTTCAGTCTACATTCCAAGTACCCGAAATCAAGGCATATTTGAAGAAAATTGTCTGTTTATTTTCTTAGCTTTAAAAGAGAGAAACATAAAATTGTGTTCTAATCTTCTAGAATTTTTTTCGATAAATTATGCTGCGTAGACACAAAGTACTGTGAGAGTATAGCGAGAAAAACAAGATACGGAATGTTCACGACTCCGCGTTAATTCATCTATACTCACGTTTTTGCTATTATCTTTGAAATAATATCGATCGTACTAAATTTCTTCTATACTTTTCTTCAATACTGTTTGAGGTTATCCTGGCTTTCTACCGGCTCTACCTGCACTGAATAAATTACCGCGAGAAAATACTTACAGGTATACGTATATTAATCGCCACCCCGTCGGGCCTTGTACGAGCAAATGCTTGACCTGCGTGTAATAGGATCGCAGAAACACTTTTCAAACTCGTGTTAAAATGTGAAAATGAAACGACCATGTGAATGGGGTCAGATGTATAAGGTATAGTTTTAAATTAAGTTTATTCACAGATTTGCAGATCCAAGCTATCACAGGCGACATTCACTTGAGATTCACCGGACCGGAATTCCGGAGCGTGCTCGATGTCGTCCGGTTTGCTTCGTGTGAACACCGGAAATGGACGAATCCGAGTACGACCCGACGTGGGATGAGTGAGTTTTAATGCGATGATCAGGCAGTATAAAGCCAGGTTTTTATTTAAACTAAAAACCGGAAATGTCAACGTGGTTTATGTATTGTAATGTGGTGAGACTGAAGAGTGTTTTCACTGTAGACAGAGCACGTTGACAGACATTGCAATACGCAAATATAAAGTTTACATTTTCAAGGATATTTATAAATCGTCGTTAATGCAACCAGAACTCTTTCATCTGTTCTTATTAACAAGAGATTCCATGAACATTATAGATGTCAATGAATTGGATGTCAATGTCAGTGAATTAAATTAAATTATTTAAAATATGAATGTCGGCTAGTGAATTGCTTTATGAAAAACATAGCAATATATACCTCGCCAGTAACATTTTCATTTATCTTAATAATCGAAAATCTTTCTCTATATAAATCTATATATTTCTACAGAATAAGCCTAACGGAGTTCTCATTCATGAGAGGTTTAAAATATTCCTCGTGTTGGTTAGTTCGCCTTAGTTCAAAGTATATTGGTAGCCGTTGGTAGTATTCCAGTATATGCAAAATTTTCGTGTATTGCACTATAGGAGACCCAAACAGTGGCAAGCGAAACTACCCATCAACAAAATCCAATAATCGCCAATTTTTTCTCCCAAGTGAAATCAGAGAAGGTAGATATGTGAACAATCAGGATTTGGACACAGCTCCATGTTAACTAACCTTTTTCCAGAGCATTCCTTCGAGGCATCTTTCTAACGTAAGAATTATTTTAGCTCAAACCTGCGTCTGTTGGTTCACTCGAAGTTCGCGCAGGATTTCCTTAAGTTTGGTAAGTCTTTGTTTATGCCCTTCCCTGTCGATCACGGCTTGGCTTCGCGCGTACAAATTGAGAATGTTTTCATATTCGGCATCTGAATATTTGGCCCCTTGTTCGACCAAGACAACAAAGAAATCCTGAAATATTTAAAACCCGGTCAGCAAAGGATGATTCCAGTTATAGCATTGATCAAATTTGATCCATGCAAGAAATCAAAACACCACGCTCAGCTTTAAGGAACATCATAACGTAAATACAACTGCAAAGTTTGGTCAAATTGTTGTGTTCCTGAAATATGCAACACGTACGGTATTGTTTTCCAGGTTTATAATCATACTCAAAATAAGCTGCTTCCAAAAATAATTTTATATGATTCTTCCCCGTACGCGGAAAGTAAAGTTGGTCATTTTTCATTATAAAAGTTAGTCAATGTCACATAAACCCCCCTCCAATCGTAGCTCGTTTGCCAAGCCCCCTGCGCGTGCATGCGTGTTTCGTGCAAATCGAGGACTTACCCCAGGAATTTTGTACAGCAAGTCATAGTATAATCTTGCTTTATCCAAATCAGGTTCACGAGATTGCGTGATATTCAGAAGATTTTGTTGTATCGCAAAAATATTTCTCGACCTAAATCGATATATAGGAGTAATGTAAAGGTGAACTGTCCATGGTGGGCAATCGCAGTAGAATCAGTGGCGTAGCCAGCCCGAGAATTTATAGTCATGCTATGCTAATATTTTGGTGTTTATTGACTGTGAAAACAATGAATTTGTAAAGAAATGAATAATGATAATAACATAAAATTTGCATAGCATGACTAAATTGTCAGGCTGGCTACGCCACTGAGTAGAATTTGAGTATACGCAGAATGGTTTCTACTAACATTTTCTTTACGCCATTTGAGTTGATTTTCTTGACGGTTGGTGCAGCTGAGATTATGAGAGATGACATCATATGACCAAGACCTTCAAACATGTATCTGAAAATACAATGACTCGGTGTTAAACGTTTTTTGCTTGTGGTAAATAAGTCTTCTGTATTCTGGTGCGACTTTATACTGATCGCCGATAGTAGTTAAGAGTGCTTACTTGAACTTGTGTGTCGCCAAACTGGTTGCAACGATATCTTCCAATGTTATCAAATCCTTGTTCATCTGAATAACCAGGTTATCGGCATCAACAGACTCAACACTGCACACGTAAGTGGTCTAGAAATAGGAATGAATTCATGTTAGGGAGATATAGACTACAGTGGTTTGTAATACCAAGGTAGTTGCATTCACTGTGCTGTCGGTCGGTTGACTTTAGTAAGGAGTACAGAACAGTAAAAAATGCTGTGGAGTTTATCAAATGCTAAGACTTATTAAAGAGAATCAGTTTGCTCACTTGTATATTTCTATTTATACTTAAAAGATCAACGTTGTTTTTTAAGATTAAAACGTATCCAAGGGGCAGTGTTCTTACACATCCCTTAGTTTCCAAGGCAATGTACAGTATTGTACCTGTTTCAAAGCCTGTAGTAAGTAATAGAAGCAGTGACAACGGATTTCCAAATGCAAAACCAACAGGCACATTTCAGCAAGGTTTTGAAATTCTTGTCCAAGGTTATTCAAGATTCTAAACATTTGAAAAACACTATACTTTAGCAACCACAGTTGTACCGAATTACACACCTGACTATCAATTGCTTTGTACATGAATATACCTTAGCATCTCTTCAGAAATTGGTGGGATTTCTTGCTGCAATTTGAAGAAAGATATTTTAGCATTGCAGTATTTATACTGTATATATACATTGCAGCATTTTGTTGGTCGAACAGAATGAGTCTCTTTTTTACCACTTTCAATTTCTCGTGAGATCCGGGAGAGACAACATTGATTCCTGTCGACTTGGCGCTTAGGTTACTAGCGAATGTCTTTATGCGGCTTGTCAACCATTCCTATAGAGAAAATAGAACATAAGAGCCTTCTCTCCCTTACTCAGGGCTTAGTGGGAGAAATCTTTTTCCTGCCACCATAGAGCTTAGACGTCCATAAAACGTCCTCTGCTAATCCACGCTCTTTTAGCAATGTAATAGAGAAAGTATGAAAGATCCTTTAGGGTTAGTCTCTACCAAGCTGCAGATTGAGGGAACTATAAGATTGCTCTGCTAAGTAATTGGATATTTAATTAAATTTTATCACAATTTTTTTCATATTTTTTCCTACTACTGAAATTGAGGTAACTGAAATCGACTATTGTGGAATTTGAAATTTTCTAATATCTCAAAAGTTATGGAGCGCAAAGGTAAGCACAACTGAGGGTCGAAATAACACGAGAATGATGTGAAAGTTCCCTAGAGGACAACACACCGTGCTCTCTTGTAAGTTAGCCAGAGTCTTGAGATCTGCAGAATTGAGAATAACTTCGTTCTTTTTGATGACTTCACTAAGGTTGTTAATTAACAGCTCTGATTCCTAAGAGAAAAAAATTCCAAACTCACAAATAAATTATAAAATGTACAATATATTAGGAACATTAGGTAACTCATATCTATATGAAATCATATCATATTTACCCTTTCGTTTCTCAAACGGATTGCTTCAGAATTTTCTTCAATTTCCTTTAAGATAAAGCAATTTATAAAACAACAATTTTAAAGTCTATTGAAAGTGGAGAAAGGTCCGAGACTGAACAATTGAAACGAATTGTATGGATGGACTAAAAGAATTTTTAAACCATATATATTGATAAGTCATGAAGAGCTTACGTATTGTAGTTTTCGTGATTAATAAATGGGACGTCAGTGCTTTCAAATAAGCAAAAGATATACGAACCTTTTTCCGAGGTTTTGAATGTCCATGAATATTGGTCCAGTTTGGTAATGATCTAAAGAGAATATAATTGCTGATCATTTTCGAGAAATACTCTTTTCATACACGAAAAGTTATAATTTGAAATAGGAACATTTGAGTATATTCATACCCAATCACAAGCATATTAATTGGTCAGGACTAACCTTAACAATCGACTGATGTCCTCATCTTTAGCCCAGGTTGCACTGATGATTGGCGAGACAGAATTGCTTTGGGTGACTTTAACAATAGCTGTGAATAAAGCAAAGGTTCATGAAGGTTCACGCTGGTTTCATACAATTGGCCCCCGATCAAGAACCTATGCACTCAGCTTCACAAAGTACAGTTAAAGACAAAGCTTACTTTTATATGCAGCGTAACATGTTTCTTTATAGTTGTTCAGGATTGCGCAAATCATCTCCATAAACTTTGAAGCATACAACGGCAGAGACTGCATTAAACCTTTCAAGTCCTGAATCATTTCTTCAACTAACACAGTGCTCTAAAAACACATTTTTACAATTTGCATCCATGCATGTTTTTCTTTCCTATATTCGATGGTTGAGGTTGGGGCATGAAATATCTAAAATTCAGTCGAAAACCTTATGATTTACTTTCACATGTGATTTAAAGTTTGCAGTTTGTCGTAACGTCAATCCTAAGGTCTATATTACTGTTACTTGCAAATTACAAATTCAAAGTCTACCTTCAGTAATGGTCGATCAGCTTCGAGAGTTTTTGTGACCGATGCGGAAACGAGTGTCTTAAAACCATCGTTACCTGTATAGCAAAATTTGAAAAAATATTGACGGAGATCTCCCGTGCTATTGTCTCTCATCAACTCTTATGCGCCGTCGTTTAGGTGAGGCTCAATACCTCTATGACAATGATTCAGTTCTTTCTGATCCATACCTTTTGTGACTGAATCAATTTGTTGATTAATCTCATATTGTTTCTCTCCAAGATAGACATCTTTCACGTAGTCAGTGATGAACTGATACAAAAGACATCTCTCTCTGCAAAAAAGAATCTCAACGATATAACAAGCAATTGACTTTACTTTGAGCAAAATATAGGTTTTACACACCAACTTTATGTTCATGTATATTGTGTTCAGGGGTCGCGCCAGAGGGGGACCCGGGGGAGGGCAGGGGGGGAAACAGCCCGTACAATTCGTCGGGGAATGAACAACAGATATAATTTGAATTTCGAAAGTTGTTTTTTGATTGACGCTTTCGGCAGTCCACACTCAGCACTTAGAAGTCCAGCTTCCAGCCCCCCTGTCGCGGACCTTAGCCCGAGTCTCGGGAAATTCTTGGCGCCACCCCTGATTGTGTTACTGCATGGTGAAACACTATTGTAACTATGCTAACTTTGAATCGCAATGCATGGAAGATTCGACTGTCTCCACGAATTTCATCACTGGGCGAAAAATAACTAGATAAAGAAAACAAAATGATGGCATATTCTAAACTGTAAAACAACGGCCCGTTTACAATTGCGATTTTTGCAGCGATTTTCCTCTTTTGATAGATGTGAATGAGTGAATTAGTTCCTGATGTTCAAATGAGAGCTCTTATACACCAGAGCATTCGTAACTAGCCACTCATTCACATCTGCCAAAAGAAGAAAATCGCACATAATATCGCACCAAAAATTGTGTAAACGGGCCTTAATGCTTCTACAATACCTGTTATATTCTTGATACTTGGAGGACAAAGTAACTCTGGTTTTGTTTTGTAAATCTCATTTCCATAAGGATCTTCCTCCTCAGTTATACTAAACTACAAACAATAAGAGATACCGTGGTCTTTCAGATCAAAATTATGCTTGCATGATGATTATTTCAGATCGATTTTGAGAACCTATAAAGCCTTGCTTATACGATCTCTGTTCGCCTTCTTCGTAGGCTCTCAATTCGCATTCAGTACACGCATAGATCAGGGGGGAAAGAGGAGAAACGGGACTGGGAATGAGAACATGTTGTAACTTACTGGTGAAGCAGCCTCCTGTCTCTTCTCCCGGATGTACGTATTCATACTGAGAGATGAAGACGAGCCCTCGAAGCGAAATAATGGGATCTACATAATGAAATATTCAGGATTAGTAGTAACTATCGATGATCGATCTGTAGACTATATTCAACAACATAGATGAACGACGGTGCTAATTACTGCGATATATTATTGCTTGAATATTAACTTGAGCCTAGATTGAGATATACCATAAACATAAACGATATAAAAATATCATGATTCACAAGTTTAATGTTTGTGTCAAACTGCAAATACCTTTTTTGGTGGAGGAGCGCCTTTCTTTTTCATGGAGAAAAAAGAAGAAATATCCCTGTATATAAGAGATATTGAAAGAATATAAGGCGACGACTAAAGTATATTTACAATATGCAGAATATACGAATCACCACATAGTCTGCTGTTGCAATATGATGTACATGAAATGGTTGAATAATAAATAACCTACATTTCAGACTCCGAGAACAATGCCGGAGCTGTATGGTGAGGTGATTGTCTGTTTTGTATGTCAAGATAATCACTGAGCAGACCTTGGATCTAGAACAAACGTTATACATCAGTTATGTTCATTGCATGTATGAATAGGTCTTGTGCACTGTGCTGGTAACCTGTCTTATATAAATAAAGAATGCAAAGAACGCAAATAGGAATAATGATTGGGAATATAGATTGGGAATAATGAAGGCAAATAGGAACAACATACTCGAAAGGTATAGTAGGTCAAAAACAGAATATTCAATGTAGGGAACATATGATTAACAATGTATCGATACATTATGCTATAATCAACTCACAATGATATCTTTTTTATGCTCATAATATTGAATTATTTTCGAATTTACCGTGTACTGGATCTCCGACCAAACGTCCTCCATTGTGTAGAGTTTTGTTGCTTCTAAAATTGTTTAATATTCAAATGTGTCAAAAAGGAAGCATGCACATATCAAGCACTGGGCTAGCCACACACAAAAACTCATCTTGCCTCTCCCAATATTCCCATTGAAAATTTTACTAATCGGGAATTACTGAGATTTCTTTTTTAGTCCTGGTAGAGATTTTAGTTCTGATAAAGATCCAGAAATATTTATTTTAGGGAGCTCAACTCACCCACGTCTGCTTCATCCTTTCGTGTCAGTCTAAAGTGTGTTTTTTTACCTTGTTCGAATTTTCTAATCGTCAATTTTTCAACGACTTCCGTATCATGGGCATCTTCCTCATCTATCGGCATAAGAGTTTCTTCAGTTTTCTTTAATTCCTGTTAAAATAAGGGCATCGTTTTGTTGTTTTCATATTACTGCCGTTCAAAAACGTGAAGTCTTCAAGACTTTCATTTTATCTCAGTTTTCCTGCAGTATCCTTGCGATAACTCAGCTTACCTCAGCTGCTACACGCTGTAGCGCTTTAAGAACAACCTCGTGTGCCCGTGCGACACCTTTGAACTTTTCAAAAATAACTTCCAAAAGTTTTAGGAGAACATTCTAAAAAAATATGCAAACAGAATGTTGTTTTCCTTGCAGAGAACGTTGCGAAAATCGATGTTGCTTTTTGTTACCAATTTAGACTTCATTTCTTCTCTATTTCCCAACCTGAAATAATGATGTTAAAACCAATCACTGACGCTGTTGTGTTTTAGTGTATTTGCGAGACGAGGTTTTAATCTTATTGAAGCATACTTGCTTTTTAACGTTCAAACACATACAGTGTTGCATTAGTCAAGACAGTCTTCATTAATGATAGTCATTTATATTAAGATGAATATAACAAGAACTCTTTCTTCTGATATTGAGTCATTTCACTCATTTGTTAAAGTGGAGCAAAATTTTGGAATCCAATGACCTTCGAAGCCGCACGAAGTTCGTGTCTCGGTCTCGAGCATGTGAAGTTCGAGCGTTCTCATTGGAAGAGGATTCCCATGCGTGTTTAAACACAGACAAACGTGGCTCCAATTTTCCGGTTGGAGACATGGCTTACCAGTTATATTCGTTTCAAGGAAAACTGCAAAGAGACTCATACCTTTCTTTAACCTCTGTTGTGGCTCGATGAACGATACCAGTCATCTCTCGCTTCATACAATTTTTCAATTCCTGTACAAGAGACAAAGACGAGCTTGCTTGTCATCTAAAAAATTTTGCCGAAGAGAAGAAAAACTTCGGCAATTTTGTTTACCTCAGTAGCTTCTGGGATTTTCTCTAGTAAAGCCAGACATTGAACAAGGATTGTCATGAAATGAGCGCTGTCGGATTCAGGATTAATGTGGAGATCTTCATGGACGAACTAGAAATATGTAATATTGTTTCAAGAGTTATAGAACTGATGAAATCCCGCGGCAGCATTCCACATAATAAATTTGAAACCTCTTCTTTATCCTCGGAGTTTTCTGCGGCCAAAGTTTCCTCCATAATTTGATTTCCTAAAAATTATACACGTTAGACACGTGGAAACACACTCACCAATCAGGACAGGAGGCATGTAACAACCAGTGAACTGGTAACAACCAGTGAACTGGTAACAACCAGTGAACTGTAATAAAATCTGGAACGCTAACTTGGCCGCCATCTTTAAAGCCAAATTTGAAGGTAGTTTTTCGGAACGTTTGAGACAAGCATAGAGAGTGATTATCAAGGAAAGTCTAGAGCTATGTAAAATATAATCATTTGCTAATTTTTATAAAAATTGAACGAGAAACAGAGTCTTCAATTTTTAGCTTCCACCAAATATAGCGCTGAACTATAAAGGTTAGCGTTCCAGGTTTTATTACAGTTCATATCGCATGGTAAGAACTTTTATAATTTCATTTTCTTAAAAATTCAACATGGATTTCATGAACTAACAAGACATTTTGTTATGGCGGGGCATTTCTGAATGCGTGTGAAAGTAAAGCTCAGTAAAACTTACTTGATGCAGTGGTTCTATGAGTGCGTTTGAACTCTCCACCGGGTGATTCAGGAACAGGGATGCTTTCCACGCTTACAATACTTTGATCTGAAAAGTTATGCATGTACGGTTGAGTTTTTAATGCAGGATTTTTATTCCTGTATGAATTAAGTCCTCAGGACCAGGGCTTCCACAATTGAAGGAAATTTCTTTCCAAATGACAACTACAAGGGAATGAGGGCTCTGTGGTATAAGAATAATATTTCATGCATTCTTATCAAAAGTTCTTTGTTTCTTCTCTCTTTTGTCATTTGAAAGCTATTTGAAAGCCCTGCTCGGGACTTTAACTCAGTTGACTGTTGAGACATGCACTACTCAAGAAATTATTTCATTTTCTTAACTATAATCACGTAAACGACAAAATTTTCAATTCCTTCCTATTGTACCTTTGTCATCTCGCTTTGGTGAGAAGGTTCCTGTAAAATGTAAATTACTCAGTTACTGTCTTACTACATGAATAAAAATACCATTTTAATTTTAGCGCACAAAATAGGGCCAATAAGGTACTACACTTTCCGATAGGAATCAAACCTCTAGCCTTAAGATTACAATTTATTCTACTGGTAGCATATTTCATACAGTATGATCGATCAATCCCGTGATTGACGCTGAAGAATATATTGATTTATTTCCTTATGTATGATGACTATTATAGTTTAGAGTTTGGTTTTTAGTTTAATTCTTTAAAACGTAACTATGTAACTCTATGAATGTCTGTTCTAAATACCTTTAAGACCTAGGGATTTCAGCTGTGTGGTTTTGGATGATTCCAGGTAAAGATGTCTGTTCAATTCATCAAGAAGTCGTTCGTGCATTCTCTGAAATGTTTCAGTGAAGTAACAATCATCTAACAACTTATATTGACATTACAGTTTGAAGTCACTTAATAAATTGATCTTTACAAAGTCTGGACTGTGCGATGCAGTTGGCAGATGAATCTATGATTGGCCAATAGAAGCATTGGTTGACGGTTGTCCACAAATTACATCCAAACGCTGACTCTTTGTGAATATAGGCGTTGGAGAAACTAACCTCTTTTCTGGTTTGTAAGTCAACTCTCAGTTCCCGTAATGCTTCCACTCCTTTTAGATTCTTATCCAACACTTCCACTAATGAAAAATACAAAACGTACGTTTTCAGCAATTGCTGTGAAGTTCATTTTGGCTTTCATTTCATTTGGTGAATATAATTTTTGCATTAATGTGTCTCAAAATTTACTTGGGGTCTGAAACATCACGTAAATCTCTACCTGTTTGCACAAGAAGTTTAGTTGCATGAAGATAGTATTTTGATTCGGTGTATTTTTGAAGTTCTTCAGGAACATTTCTTGCTTTATCGCTAGACAAGGGCATGCAGGAGGCAGTTAAATTACAAAATGATCCCACAGACTTTTAAATTACAATTTGTATTTTATGCAGGCACTAAATATATCATTTTTACTAGACTTTAACTGGCATACATTTTATCCAGCAAGAAGAGAACATCATTGAGTTCCATGCTTTCAATCCAGTGTTTCCGAAGATCATCTCTTTTGCAGTGCAGTAGGTTTTTGCAGTTGTTCAAAGTTTCTTTCAAAACCTTCACTTTATCACGAGAATCTGAACAAATCAGGAGTAGTAAGATATAAAATAATACTTTGAACAGTAGGAGCTATATTTATACTGCAGCTATAAATTCATTTGATTCAATGTGTAAAACAGATTATTTGATTCTATATACATGGTGTGAATTAATGCAATAATACTAGAAATACTGGAGCACATCTGAACAAAAAGCAAGTACTCAAGTTATTGCAAGGATAAGGGACTTTCAACCATTGTATAATAGCAGCATGCACATGTGTATTTTGAGTAAAATTTACCTTTTATCCTTGATGCAATTCCAGTAAACGACTGAAGAGTGGAATTCAAGGAGACATGTCTTTCTATAAAATGAAAATGCTATATCTCAGGGATCTCACTTATTGAGCAAGACCACTAAAGCAAGGTACTCCTGAACACTTGCCTTCAACCAACTTGTTTAGTATTTGATCTTGGTCATTAAATTCATATTCCAGACGTTTCTTTTCAAGATCTCTTTCACTTTTGTTTTCTCCACTATATCCAAAATTATGTATAAACCTTAGGTGCCCTAGCTACCATGCCATACTAGCATAGGGGTTTTCCAAACATTTTGTCACGTCAAATGTTTTCTAAATCTCATATACTGTGAGTGATGATTCAGGAATAGCATGTTAGCTCGTAATGTTTAGGTGTAACGCATGCACGAACACTTCAGCATAGCTGTTACCATTCACATAAGATTGAAATTTTAGCAATGAAATATCCTTCTCAATTTAGGGAAGTTTGGTATAAGCAAGCTATACTTCCTGCTTGCTGATGACCTGAGCACAAATATAATGCATGCATTTCAAATTATGCGAGACTCTTCACCCAAATGGGATTAATATAAAGGTGGAATGGGTCATCCAACAAAGATCTATGCTCTCCTTATCGAGAAACTTTCCGTCATACAGAATTTGAGTGGTTTCAACTCTGATGAAAAAAGAACATCTGAAGGTGATTTGTAAGAAGAGGGTTGTATAACTTTAACTTATTCAGTAGGATGGATGTTTTGTGGATTAAACTAATGTATTACAATAGTGGTCACCACGATCGATCGTGCAAGTAGATGAGAGTACATTACAGACAGTACAATAGTACATTTAGATGTACAAAGACGCAGTACGAGTATTTATCATTGATTACCTTGATGTTAAACTTTTCACAACTCTCAGCAAGGCTGGAGACTAAATGCAACAGAAAATACAACTTCTTGTATTATTACACTACAAAGAATAGTCCAAAAAAAGCGAGAAAATCTAAAAGAAGTTGCAAAATACGGCGTACCTTCACCGTTTCATCTTTACTCCCTGTAAACTCCATGTTTTTTACCTTTAAATTCCTGGTCGGCATCGGCACTTGTCGTCGAGGTATCGGACAATGTTCGTTGTACCCATGAGTTCCGACGGTATCAGGTGGACGGTATTATTTTAAGAGCTCTATCCGCCACATTTGACACAAAGTTGTTTGAAGACGCTGCTCATTGGTTATATCCGAACATAGCTACATGTCTGATGACACCATCTATTAGCAATACCATCCATATTCTCATTTATGGTATTGGTAATGGTGGTATCATCCATTATGTAATACATGGTAATCATGGTATCATCCATTGCCAACACAACAACTCCACGATACTCAGTTCTGGGCCACCGGTTTTCACAAAGCCGTTGTGGTCTTGCCTTCGGTTTCGTTTTCCATAAAAAAAAATGTCTATTGCATTACATATACAATGGGATCAAGAAGCACTCCTTCAGATTTCCGGCTTTAAGACGCGACGTGTTATCAACCGTGCGTACACAACGTGACCTCACCTGTACTAGCGCAAACAACGTGGAGAGTCCAACTTGAAACAAGCTTTCTTCATTTCTTCCGGAATCAAAGGCATGGCTACTGAAGAGGATGTGTTTAAGAAGGCGCGCAGAACTCGTACGATTGAGCTAGACTTGTGTCAGTTTCCAGCCTGGGTCGGTGAAGCAAGCGATGCTGTTTTACTCGAGCTGTTTGCGATTGGTGTTAAAGTCAAGGAATCGATCACGATAAACATCACTGAAACCCCAGATCACATCCAGAACATTGTGGGCGAGAAACTTAAGCCAGTTTACGACAAGGTTGGTGAAATTTCGCAGAAATTTGTTGCGGTACAAAACGAGGTCACCACATCTTTAACGAAGATGCACACTGGTGTGTCGGAAATGCAAGTCAAACTCGTTAGCGATATACACGAAGTGGCGAGCAAAGTTCCATCATTGGAATCGCTAAATACCACGCTGGGAAAAAGGATAGACGCCATTCAGTCGTCGATTAGACATTCTGATGACAACTTGACGAAACTAGTAACTAAATACGAGAATCCTGCGATAAAAGGGGCCTTGGGAGAAGACAGAGTGGAGTCAATTTTACAAGCTTACTTTCCTACGTACACAATCTACAGCGTCGCCAGCCAAGGACGCAAAGCGGACATTCAGATCACGTCTGCGCACTCGCGGCAGAAATACCTCGTCGAAGTGAAAGACCGCCAAAATGAAGTTCCAGCAAAAGATATTGAAAGATTTGAGAAAAATGTGGTGGAGAACAAAGATTTCAAGGTCGGCATCTTATTTTCTCTAAGAAGCGGTATCAGTGTTCGGGCAAGTCAAGGTCGGTTTAAAATCAAGTATCAAGACGAGCAATACTACATCTACGTCCCCAACGCCATCACAGGCCTCACTGACGGCCAAAATCTGATAATCTGGATTGTCCTATTGGCAGACCAGTTGGCTAGTTTGAATCAAGGTCTCAATAACAAGCAAACTGAGGCGGTCGAGAATTTGCTTCAAGAATTTCAGCAAAGTGCGGAGGCAAGTAAAAACTGCCGAACCCATTTGAACGCCCTCAGAGGAAGCGTTGAGGCCTTGGAGAAAGACTTGGTGCCTTTGTTAAAGTTGATCGACAATGCAAAGAGAAAATTGAACCGTGCACTTAATAAGGACGGTTAAGTTGAAACAAACCATAAGACTATAGTTCATTAACATTTAGAAAACTTTTGTATTTTGATTTTTGATGTATAGCGATCATGAATGCCAACGTTAATAAGTATATAGTTGAAAACAAACTGTATTAGCTAATTCATAATTTAATAAAGTTTTTCAATACGGATTTTCTTGCCTTGTCTGAAAATGAATATTATGATATTATCATTTTGAAACTAAAAGCGGCACACAAAATATAGCGACTTCCTTCAATGACAATAGATGAGAAAGTATTATGTGACGTAAGTCGTCGCCAAGGAAATTAAGGACGGTGTTCATCAGTTAGCCGAGAAACTGTTAACAATTTTAAGGTTAATGTCAGCTCTATCGATCATTAGTAAGAAAACGCGATGTGCTTCCTTTAACATTTGTACTGTTATCGTATAGAACAATTAAGCTGGCACCTGAACCACAGTGTGTCTGAGGTATTGGACGCCTAGAAGCAAATTGTGAAATGTTAAATTGATTTAACAAGAAACACTGGATGCTACGTATATATAACTGAGCATCAAATGTGGTATAACAACTGCCTAAATAGACAAAACACTTCTCGACGTTTCGACCTGAGGGCCTTCGTCAGGAGAGTTAGTAACTCTCCCTCATACTAACTCTCCTGAGGAAGGCCCTCAGGTCGAAACGTCGAGAAGTGTTTTGTCTATTTAGGCAGTTGTTATACCACATTTAATGCCGGTTGTTTGAAGACGCTGCCACGCTGCTCTTTGGTTATATTGGAACGTATATATATAACTGTATTGCATATAGTAGTCACGGTACATCCACCAGTAAAAGTTGCGGCTATTTTCTCGTAAACAAAAAAACCGCGTGTACGCACATAGCAGAATTGTTTTTAAATCTCACGGTATTGTTTATATTGTTGATGTAATAATAACTCGGTTTACTAAATGATCGCCCACATACCTCGAATGAGTGGGCAATGAAATGGCTATATATACACTTATGTCAGATATATTACCGTTATATGGATATTGGGGCCAATGATGGAAGAAACTAAAATGACAAGGCAAAGTTGTCTGAGAGTTCATTCGCATCATACTCAAGAGATTGCTTGCGTCAGATAAAGAAGCTTTTCATGGAAAGAAAATGATTTAACGTTCACAAAGGGAGAATACAGTAACAGATATGCCATACTGGGTCACCCGTAAATATATACCGCAAAAGTGTTTGGCAGTGACCGTGGAGACAACAGCTTACATAAGCAGCACTTGAGACGTGTGAACTGTGAAATGATTTATAAAAGAGTATAGGGAAGAAGAGGAATCGCTTCAGCCTGTGTGAGAAAGTGTGGGGGTGCGGTTAAATCGCATTCTTCTAGAAAATATTGAACTAAAGGCCCTTTTTATACTTGCAATTTCAACCCCTATCCTGTAGGTGTATAACATTTCACTTCCGCTGAGCAAGGACGTGTCTCGTGAAACTCTGTTTCAAATATAAAATGTTCCCTTACTCAGTAACCATTCGTATAACTATTAACTTCATAGTGATTAGGAGAAAATCCCAACTGATCGTGGCAAAAATTCACAGTACTTATGTATGTTGTACATATTTTAGGCTTACTTGGTAGGGATAACCGGCAGTTCTCGTATACACATCTTCACAACTTCATAATATGATTAGTTTGTTATCGGAAAGTCTTCGGCACTGAATATAAACGGCATTTAAAATACTTAAGCATAGTACTTGTGCGTAACTGGATAGATTTCTGTGTTAAGTCTGTAATCAATTTGAACCGGTACATGCTGATGATGAATGGAATTTAGTTTTTGGCTTGAACCTTCGATAAAACAGAAATCAGAGTTTTTATGCATGTGTAGGTAGGGAAGTGCAAGTATATAGCTGTCATGAAAAACTCACTCCCCATTTTGAACTTGTTAATCATATAAATCTTTACCATGCAATGGCGTCTATACTTTTAACGCGTGTGAAAATCTGTCATTTTGTAGTGCAAGTGTGAGAATTTTCTAGGCGCATTACAACAGTAGCTTTGTGCAGCAACGCTATTTCATATGAATCATCATTAGTGCAATATACTGTAGTACATACAAAGTGTCATTGTGTCAACTTTCGCCCACTATTTTGCTGAGTGGGCGCTCTCTCACACCACCGCATAATTAATATATTGTGGTATACGGCGACATGCATGCCGATAGTGTTGCTAACTTATAACTGTACGCATGGTGACAGGAACCCACGCAAGCCTGCAAGGACCATGTGGTTTTCAAGTGATATATACTTGGAATGATTAGCATATAATGTTTTATAACTGTAGGCTTCAATAGCGTATAAACTGCAGTGCATATAGAAACAGATAGTCTACGATAGCACACAGTGATCTTTTGCGTCAAAAGTCAGTACAAAACAATACTAGAATACTTTGAATGATATATGCCAAATGCAACCCCCTTTATAATATATGCTTATAATCAGTTCTGGTTCCGGTCTAAACCTCACGTTTCAACTCTAGTATATAGGCCTGTATTTCACTTTCTGATTATTCCTTCTCTGTCAATCCCCACGTCCTTAGCTCCGAGTGCTTTACTTCGGGTACCCGGTATTTCTTCCTACGTAAACGAGAACGGCTGTTTTATGAAAATTTCTTGGGCTCTCGTACGATTCAAAGGCGTTTTCGAAAGGCGGGTCCGAAGGGCGGATTTCCACTGTCCCGTTTTTTATACGGGAAAAAAGGCATGCTCATAAAGTTTAAAACCTTCTAAGATGGTATATTCAAGTAATTTCTTATGCTAGAAAAACACATCAAATTATGAACGTAATCCAACATGCTGCATAGATTCAAAGGGTGATTTTATATAAGTATCATTCATTTAAATGATTTTAAACCGTTTTACATGCGTGTACGCACTTGCAAAAAATGCGACAGTGCATGAAATCCTGCCTTTATTAAATCGAAACACGGCCTCGATTATACGGCGTCCCAATGAAGAATAAATTGAAGAATCATACTATATATATATATATATATATATATATATATATATATATATATATATATATATATATATATATATATATATATATATATATATATACATTAACTATACTATTGACGTATTTGCGACAGATTAGCCTATGGGAAAGCGAGTCAATTCTAATTATTCTATATTTATACTCTCAGCAGGACGATGTTTTACGCATAAAGGCCAATTTAATCATTTTAATTATAGAATTTCCAGTACGAGCAAGCTCAAGCTAAGCTTATATAGCTAACGTCATACCCTACTCGACTTGGATCAATGACGCAGACTTGGACTATTAAGAATGTTAGGCATACAAACGAATTAAAAATAGCATTCAGCCGTGAATATATTTAGGCTTGTAGCACCTGCAGGCTCTCTAGGAATATGACTATTGCACAAAATGAAGTCCTGTGCGTCATAACGCGACTCACTTAGAGTCATGCAGCCGTTGGCAACCGGTTGAAATGTAATTTTAGACACGGGTAAAGCGATGCTGCATGAGTGAAAAATATACTTTCTGAGAAAGTGTATGTGAAACTCTCGTGATATTCATTAGATTCTCGTAGATTAACTCGAAGAATGAAGAGGCAAATGCATGAATTGAATATGATATATGACTCAATGCTACTCGTGTTTTCCATAATATTTACTTCAAGCAGTCTGCGTGTATTATTATTTTGAATTAATTTTCGCTTATCAAAATTGATCTCCGATAACCATTCCGTTTGTCTCCTTACGTCGTGATCTTATACGTGGATGTTCAACGCATTCATTTCGACGTAAAAGACCACTTTAGCTACACGTTGCATAGCACTTGGCAGGGAAATTCATGAGCATATTATATTTTTTACCGATAGTTATCTTTCCGTGACCAGATGTCTAGTGGGTATACGAATATCACAGCAGATAATATTAATCGAGCCTTTTTCCTGAGAATAATTTTTGTCATTTCCTATAGCAAAGGTCTATCGCAGCAAATCCAACTATTTCACATAATACTTAGTGAAAACCAGAAACAATATATCGTGTCAGCTAGCTGGATGGCACTGAGTATATCCACGCAGCTATATCAGTTAAATGTCACCAGACGCTAAAGCATTTCTCATAATTAATTCCTTTCTGAAACGCGCAATTTCTTGCAACATCAAGTTCAATCAGTTGCGCGTTTCCGAAAATTCAGTCAGTTACGGATGAGTCGTTAAAGTCGAGAGTGAGTTGCGGAGCAGTCGTTAAAGTTGATTGATCCGCGCTCATTGGAGGACCACTTGCACGTCGACAGGATTCTTGCGTGCAGTGCAAGTTCCATGAACGTGCGTGCAGTGCAGTTTCATGAACGTGCGTGCAGTGCAGTTCCATGAACGTGCGTGCAGTTCCATATAACGATGACCGTTGATCATTAATTGATGTTAGGGAATGTTAATCATTATTTAGGCGCGGAGTTGATATAGAAGTGGAAGAAACTGCATGGGCTGCATGCGTGGTTGAGCAAAAGACCCATGCACCCAACAGAAATCATACTGATTTCTGACCGATAACATTCATACACAAACTTGCATCGGCGAATTATAGCCTTTTAATGTCACCAATAAACAAGAGAGGTCCATTTGAAGCCTTGCTAAAATTGATCTTACATGCAGGAAAGCGACAAAACTGTGACTTAACTGCCCATGCACATGAAAATAGAGCGACACGTGGGATTTTACAATTGATGATGTTTTCTCATGCATGCTTGCTGACCATTATCATTCGGTTTTATATTACGCGAGTCCTGAAGAGAACCTTGACCTAGGTTTGTCTGGAAATATAGCTTGCCCTTTTGAAGTTTGGACCGACCTAATCGTATTAGTGAAAGGTCGTCATATAATGAAATTACATGCAACTATATATTCCGAAATCTTCTCGACCGTAATGACTAATTTAACCAATAATTTATAATCCAAGTTAGTTGAAAAAACCAGGATCATAATATTAATTGCAGTCTAGACGCGTTTGGTTAAGCTGTCGGCATAGCATTTAGTTCACCGCTTACTAAAAAATAACTATATTTACGGCAATAAAATTTCATAAATTTTTTCGTTATATCCCTAATTATAAAGACGCTTAGCAGTAATT